CCTTTGTTGCACGCGGAAAATAAGGGACGTCCCTTTTCCACGAGCAACAAAGGAAATAGGAGACGTCTGCACGCAGGCAACTAATTGATTGATTAACTTAATTATTGATTGTGCCACCTTGCACAGCCAGTTATGAAGCAGCTGTAAACAAAGTCGATCGGTTAGTTACCTTAAGTCTAGTCTGCGAGCAAGCTCTGCATTTGGGGAAGTCGCGGGAAGTCACGCGAGAGCAGCACGCGAAAGGAGACGCGAGTGCGCGGGGCGCTCACTCGCGTGTTCTCTCGCGGCTCACTTCCTTGCCATAAAATATACAGAAAGCTTGTTAGCACAGGCCGCTAAGGTAAATCTAAAATCCCATGATGTGACCGTGATGATGGTATGATCAACAGAATTTTGGATAATGTTGATTTTTTATCTATCTATTTTTTATCTATTCCCAATTTATTAATTCCCGGTTACTTTTTATATTTTTCGCGTTTTTAGGCGAGCACACGATGCCTGCATGGAGCGTGAGTTGAGTCGTTTTCACTGTAGCCTGAATTTCATCCGATTACTTCGAGTCGTTATTACTCCCTCAGTGACTTCTTTGCTGAGAGGAGAAAACGACTCGAAGAAATCGGATGAAATTCAGGCTATTTTCACTGCCGTCTTCGTTCTTGTTCTTGTCTCTGTTGGCGCATGAAGATAACTACTTTTTTAAAGACATGATAGACCACTCTGTCGGGCGTGTACCTCAGTATTTGTGAAGAAATACGAGACTGTCCACAAACAACATCTTTACTTATTTCCTTTACTTTTACTGTCCTTTGTTAGGTGTTATTTCTCTGTTTTGAAACTCTCATAAAATCCCACAAAGGTTGTACGTTGATCTTAACATAATCGCCACGACTCAGCATGTTCATGGGCCAGTTTCTCGAAAGTACAGGTAACTTTTCGGGACCGAAATCAAATATTCAAATCCAAATATAGAGAATAACATCGTGGGTCCTGGCTAGCAAACTACTCCATTTTGTTTCATTAACTGACAGTTTCAACATGTTAGATGCCCAGTTACTGAACTCTACCTTGCACGTAATCAACAACAGCTTTGCAGGCCGGTTGATAATCGGGACTTTCTAGAAACGGGCCCACAGATATAAATATTCATTAAAAAAAAGAAAAATGAATTAACTTACCAAAAAAGACTCTTCTCAAGATGTTTGTCCAAGTCAAACCAAATGAAACTTAAGAGGAAGGCAACTGTGAAAAAACTTTGAAATTATTGATCTCTTCTCCTGAATTGATCGTACTTGAGTGAAGGATCGATAAAATGGCCTGCACAAGCTGACGGGTAAGAACTATATTAAAGTCAAAAATCAAAGTTCACAAAAATGATTGGAATGACCAATCAAGCAGAGAAACCAAACGATTGTCATGATTTTGGTCAAAAAATTGATTTTTTTTTTCATTTTCGGTTTTTGGGTAAAAATGATCTTGAAAAAAATGTTTGGGGATCTTTTAGATAGAAAACAATCGTTTCTAGCCTATAAAAATATGCACCTCAGATAGTCGTATTTTTGCATATTTTCCAAAATTAACAACGAATTAACTTACCAAAAAAGACTCTTCTCGAGACGTTTGTCCAAGCAAACGAAATGAAACTGAAGAGGAACCGTGAAACAACATTGAAATTATTGATCTCTTCTCCTGAATTGATCGTACTCGAGTGAAGGATCGATCAAACTGGCCTGCACAAGCTGACGCGTAAGAACTATATTAAATTCCAAACTCAAAGTTCACAAAAATGATTGGAATGACCAATCAAGCAGAAAAACCAAACAATTGTCATTGATTTTGGTCAAAAAATGGAATTTTTTTCTTTTCCGGTTTTTGGGCAAAAATGATCTTGAAAAAATGTTTGGGGATCTTTTAGATAGAAAAGAATAAAAAATATGCACTTCAGATAGTCGAATTTTTGCATATTTTCGAAAGGGGTTGACCCATGATTTTAGTCAAAAAATTGAAGTTTTTCATTTTCTGTTTTGGGGCAAAAATGATCTTGAAATAATGTTTGGGGATCTTTTAGATAGAAAAGAATCGTTTCTAGCCTATAAAAATATGCATTTTAGATAGTCGCATTTTGCATATTTTGCAAAGGGGTTAGGGGTTAACCCATGATTTTGGTCAAAACATTTATATTGTTTTTCAACTTCTGTTTTACAGTAAAATAGAACTACAAATAATTCTTGGGGATGTTTTGGAGAGAAAGAATAGTTTTTTGCCTATACAAATATGCACTTCAGATAATCGCAATTTTCCTTTTTGTTTTGCTTTTCAGTTTTTGGGCAAAAACAAAACTAGAAATAATGGGTGGGGATGTTCTACTTTAAAAAAAAAGACTTCTAGATTATGAAAAAATGTTTTTCTATGGTCGGAATCACCCTTGTCAGAATTTGAATATTTTCTAAAGGGGTTCACCCATGATTCTGCTTGAAAATTTGAAGTTTCTAAATTTTTTGTTCTTGAAATTAATAACATTTTGAATGTTTCAAGATTATAAAAATCCCTCGCTAGATCTTAAAATATGTATTTAACATAGTCGCCAAAAAGGATTTCATATGTATCATTTTTTGTTTTAATTGATATTTAATGTCACGTTGTAATCACCTGTTTGCTTTACTCTGCATGTAGCACATATCACTAGGAATATGTGTTCCGGGGAGGGGAAACAAATATCACTAGGGATATGTGTTCCCGGGAAGGGGAAACACATATTAGTAGGGATATGTGTTCCCGCGTACGGGAAACACATATAACAAGGGATATGTGTTCCCTGGTAGGGGAAACACATTTCACTAGGGATATGTGTTTCCCAGGTGGGGGAACACATATCACTAGGGATACGTGTTCCCTGGTAGGGGAAACACATATCACTAGGGATATGTGTTTCCCAGGTGGGGGAACACATATCACTAGGGATACGTGTTCCCTGGTAGGGGAAACACATATCACTAGGAATATGTGTTCCCGGGGAGGGGAAACAAATATTATTAGGAATATGTGTTCCCTGGTAGGGGAAACACATATCACTAGGGATATCTGTTCCCTGGTAGGGAAACACATATCCCCGGGTAGCCAAAACACTTACCAGTAGGGATATGTGTTCCCAGGTACTGAAACACATAGCACTGGGGATATGTGTTCCCAGATAGGGGAAACACATATACATCGCTAGCGATATGTTTTCCCGGGTAGGGAAAACACATACCACTAGGGATATGTGTTCTCGGGTAGGAGAAACACATATCACTAGGGATATCAGTTTCCGGGTAGGGGAAACACATATCACTAGGGATATGTGTTCCCGGGTAGGGGAAACACACTTCACTAGGGATATGTGTTTCCCAGGTGGGGGAACACATATCACTAGGGATACGTGTTCCCAGGTAGGGGAAACACATATCACTAGGAATATGTGTTCCCGGGGAGGGGAAACAAATATCACTAGGAATATGTGTTCCCTGGTAGGGGAAACACATATCACTAGGGATATCTGTTCCCTGGTAGGGAAACACATATCCCCGGGTAGCCAAAACACTTATCAGTAGGGATATGTGTCCCCAGGTACGGAAACACATAGCACTGGGGATATGTGTTCCCAGATAGGGGAAACACATATACATCGCTAGAGATATGTTTTCCCGGGTAGGGGAAACACATACCACTAGGGATATGTGTTCCCGGGTAGGGGAAACACATATCACTAGGGATATGTGTCCCCAGGTACGGAAACACATAGCACTGGGGATATGTGTTCCCAGATAGGGGAAACACATATACATCACTGGTAGGGGAAACACATATCACTAGGGATATCTGTTCCCTGGTAGGGAAACACATATCCCCGGGTAGCCAAAACACTTATCAGTAGGGATATGTGTCCCCAGGTACGGAAACACATAGCACTGGGGATATGTGTTCCCAGATAGGGGAAACACATATACATCGCTAGAGATATGTTTTCCCGGGTAGGGGAAACACATATCACTAGGGATATGTGTTTCCCAGGTGGGGAAACACATATCACTGGGGATATGTGTTAACATTTAGGGGAAACACATATCACTAGGGATATGTGTTTCCCAGGTGGGGAAACACATATCACTGGGGATATGTGTTACAATTTAGGGGAAACACATATCACTAGGGATATGTGTTTTCGGGTAAGGGAAACACATATCACTAGAAATATGTTTTCATAGGTAAGGGAAACATATATCACTAGGAATATGTGTTCCCGGGTAGGGGAAACATATATCACTAAGGATATGTGTTTTCCAGGTGGGGAAACACATATAACTAGGGATATGTGTTCCCGGGAAGGGGAAACACATATAACTAGGGATATGTGTTTTCGGATAAGGGAAACACATGTCACTAGGGATTTGTGTTCCCGGGTAGGGCAAACACATATCACTAGGAATATGTGTTCCTGGGTAGGGGAAACACATATCACTAGGGATATGTGTTCCCGGGTAGGGGAAACACATATCACTAGGAATATGTGTTCCTGGGTAGGGGAAACACATATCACTAGGGATATGTGTTCCCGGGTAGGGGAAACACATATCACTAGCGATATCAGTTTCCTGGTAGGGGAAACACATATCACTAGGGATACGTGTTCCCGGGAAGGGGGAAAAAATTTTACTAGGGAAAAGTGTTCCCGGGTAGGGAAAACACATACTGCTTGGGATATGTGTTTGTGGGTTTGGGAAACAAATACCACTAGGGATATGTGTTTCCTTTGATGTAACGTAATCTCGGTATGTTGAACTAATTTGCCAGTCCGTTGGCCTTGGGTATATCGAAGTTGCACTATATTAACTAACCCCAGTCCTAGGGTACTAGGGGTTCAAATCTCCTCACCCTTACCCGCTTAGGAAGGTTTGGAACTCGTTTATCGTAATATATTGACACCTTCCAGATATCTCGAGTTGTCTCTCGCGACGAACGGCGGAATGGCACCCAACTCGAAACAGCCTCTCAAATTTTCCAAGTTTCTGAAGTCGAAGTGGCTCACGGACGCTCAAGATTTTGAAGTTAAGAAACCCACTATCGTTGTAAACATTTCCAACTCGGAGGCAATTATTTCAGGGTCGCCACCGCACAAGGTTTTACGACCAAGAAAGTCGACCATTCTTCGAGGTAATTTGCGAGCCTTACTTTTGTATGTAATAAAATGTCTATCAGACCGTTACCCTTTAAATTTTTGAGCAACTACAGAATACAGGGCCATATTTTAAGGTCTTAAACAGACGTGGCTCGGTGACTCGGTACTCATTACAAGCGTTTAAAGAACGAGAAAGACATAACACATATAAGTATAAGACAGACATAGAAGGCATATATTTTAGTATGTATTATAAGACAGACCTAGAAGGCATATATTTTAGTATGTATTATAGCAGATTATAGGTATATATATTTTCGTGGCTCGGCGGCTCGATGGCTCTTCAGTCGAGGTTATTATAGTTTAGTGGCTCGACGGCTCGGTGGCTCGTCAGTCGGGACTACCGAGCCACCGAGCCACCCCAACGAATATATCGAGAAAATTTGCCCTGTATTCTGTAGTTAAGCCAATTGGGAGCTTAACATTTATTTACTATGGTTATATTAAGCAAGTATATTTTTCAATTTCTTTGTGTGCGATATGCAAATTTTTTGCCTCATATGCGTGTCGTACTTGTTTTTGTGATCGTGCTTTTTTGGTTTGCAAATTCTTTGAGGAACTCGAGACAAACTTTTTAACACGGAAAATCTCTCTTTTTTCTCGACATAGAGATCCCCAAGCTCTCTTTTTCTTGACTTAGGACCAATTTTCTTCCCGTTGCGTGACATGTATACATTGCCCCAGCGGGTTGGAAGCAACATCAGAGGACCAAGGAACGTGAATGATATGGGTGGATAAAATTGAAGATATTGATTTTAGTTCCGCATGGAAAGCCAATATTTTTACCCATCCGGGTATTGCTAATGGGGTGTTGCGTGAAGAAATATCTGGTTTAAAAAAAACATACTGTGTCGAAGACAACATTCTAGTGTTTGTCAACATATTTAGTGATGTTAAATTTACATTTGATTGTCTCTGCATGATCTTCCCCACCCCCACCCCCGAACCCGGGAGAATTTACACAGCTATCTCAAGAATCGTCCGAAGACCGTTGGGTAGCGGTAAATCCTTTGAAAGCGACTTGCAATTCGGTCATAACTTGGCATAAAATGTCGCAAAAGTTGACACAAGTGTCGCTTAATTCATGGATGAATTTTTTACATTTTTGTGAAACTACACTTATTGCTATGCGTTATCGTCGCGTGGGGGTCCTAAAACGTCAATCGAAGGAGCTGTATCTCCGAGAACTAGTAAAAACTAAAGAAAAATTAAACTTTTATATACAACGGTTCACGACCTTTCGCAGTGCAATTTGTGGGCCACTCATTGAAAACTCAGGTTCACAGAAGATAAGCAAGGTCACAACACAAAACCAATATTCGTTTGATTAACCTGCTATGTCATTTGCATGAGCTCCAACCAATCATCTCGCAATAAAACGGAAAAAAAAATGCCGTGCTTCGTTTCGCCTTCTCTTCCACCGTTTTAAAGGCTCAACAAAGAAACAACGAGGGGCAAAAGAGTATTAAAGAGTTGAACCTTTATCCCTTCCATTCTCCCCTCCTTGGTAGAGCTTCTGGTTTGTTTCTGTGCCAGTTTCGCCATGTATTTACACTAGAAGGGAACTCTGTAACACATCTGTATTATAAGGCGCGTTCACACCGGGAGCAGCCGATTAATCCACTCTTGTTCACGCTTGTTGCTAGACTGACCGCGCCCATTTTATAGCCAACACAACTTGAACTGTTTAATTGTAACATTGTTTTACTAAGGTGTGAAGATCGTCAGTGGAGAGTCTCTTGTCCTGATTAAGCTCCCGGAGGAAGACAATCTTGGTGGCGTCATCCTTGATGAAGGATGGTACCAGCTATCAGCCCAGGACTCGACTTACCCACGTGATGTACCGCTATACAAATCACCTCAATTTGAAGTGGGAACAGTGGAATTTGATCCCTACATAGTGACTGGAACAAAGAAACCCAGCCAAGAATGCGGTGTTACAAAGTACAACATCAAGGTAAACGTCTGGTTTAGCCCTGCTAAGACCCACTGCGGAATTCATAATCACCACACAGACCCAGAGATGCTGGAGGTACACACTCAGGTGTATGGAACAGGAAGGATGCAGAAATTTCACGAGAATGATTTCAAAAGTCTGTACGAGGAGGTGATGATGGCTCCTGGGTTTACTCACGATCCGTTTACTGGGGTCAAGAAAAATGGCGACCTTTTTTATGGCTGGCATCAGTACTATAGTGACACCGACTGCATCTGGATGGCAATTGAGTATCACCCAGCATGAAACTGTAATTTCAAAAGTGGCCAGAAAATTTTTTATCCATTTCACTGTAATATTGTAAGCATTGTAATGTAAAGCGCATTAGATCATATACCCATGTATTTTGCGCTAAATAAATAATAAAGTTATGTTATGTTAAAAACCTTCTGGAGGTTTTATTTGACTGGCCACATCACAAGACAGAGTTTTGTCCAGACTCAAAAGTTAGAAAGCTGTTAACTCAGTTAATCTTGGGAAATTAATATAACACGATTTTACGATTGAATTCAAGGTCCTTCCGTTTGAGTTCGTGTTTATTGAGAGTAATGTCTTTCACAGTTATTCTCATCAAACAAAATCAACATTCACGAGGAAAGATAACCTTTGATTCATTTAGTTATACCCATTCTAAACTGTTTAGCGTGTTATTTTTCTGTGAGATCGTCGAAATCGGGCACTTTCTACAACGGGCGGCTATCTTCAGCTACCATGGTTTCAAATGTATCAAGTGTAATTTGTGGGAGAGTACCAAATCACCCTAACTGTAAATACTGATACCTACTCTTCAATATCCTGGAAACTAAGACACTTCTCCACTTCTTTATAATCAAAGAAAAAGCCCTTTATGGGTGGTTTTATTTAAAATAAAATTAACTTACACAACAAATGTCATTGGTCACTGACAAGTTACAGTTGCCATTTGCTTATTACCGTATTTATTCGATTAACCGCCCTGGGCGCTTATTAAATTTTTGGACCTTGAGAGTGGACGCTTATTCGAGGTGGGCGCTTATTATTAATACGCTTATTATTAATTTTCACCATTTTCAGCAAGTGAAGTATGTTTATTTTGCAACAAAACAACAAAAAGCTAATAACAAAACGCGAAGAAGTAACAAAGCAAGATTTCTGCAAAATACTCTGAAGAAGACTCCGTCCTCGGGGAAGTATCTTATTACAATTTATTCACTCAAGTGGGTGGGGTGGGGGTGAGCGCTTATTTGAGTTTGATTGTGAGGAGGAGGAGGTGGGCGCTTATTAACTTTTTCTGCCTTTAGGATGGGCGCTTATTCGAGGTGGGCGCTAATTCGAGGTTGGGCGCTTATTCGAATAAATACGGTACCGTAGAATCCCGGTTATAAGCCCTGGGCTTATACAATTTCGTAAGGGTTTTTGGGTGGGCCTATAATCGGGGGGGCTTATAATAGGGAGGAAAAAAACGTCTAAAAAATACGGTATGTCGCTAATTTACCGCCTAATTATTGTTAACTGTATACGGTACCCGGTATAACAGGGGTATAACCGGGAGGAAATTTCTATTAGCAGAGAGTTGGGCTTATAATCGGGTGGGCTTATAACCGGGGGGGCTTATAACCGGGAGGAAATTTCTATTAGCAGAGAGGTGGGCTTATAATCGGGGGGGCTTATAACCGGGATTCTACGGTATTTGAAGATGAGAGAATATTTTGTACTTTTGTTGATATCTCCTTTACTCCGGCCAAAAATGAAAGAAAAAAGACACCAAAACGGGTTAATGAGCAGTAATTGAACAAAACACAAACAGCTTTGATTAAACCGCAAATAAATTATTTCTGGACAGAGTGACAACTTTTCTTGGTCATTTTTCAGATAACTGATCCAAAAGGATTCTTTTTTGTCTCATATTCATTCTCTCAGTACAAATAAGTAAAATACAAGCTCATTTTTCCTGCTATTATCTTACATGTATAATATATACACTTATACTCTGTCCCAAGAAGAGAGACTAATGACTCACCCCTCCCCCCTAGTGACACAAACGATTCACCCCTTCCCCTTTGGTGGCACTTTCCCGAAGACATAAAAATCTAATCTCTTTGCAAGGGAAACTAATTGTACACTCCTAGCATCTAATAATAAGGCGTCCATTGATCGCAACCTTTTCCCTGGGCTCCTCGGATACTTAAGATACACCTAGAATGGTCCACCGTTCCTTACCCCACCCCTCTAATATTACTCCTTCGCCCTATCCCCACTCCTCCCTCTAGTTGATAGTTGCTACGCTTGTTCCACCCGAGTCTGAAATGCGTTTGCGCAGAACTCCCACCAATCTTTCTAACCTACAAAAATAAAGCAAAAAGAAAAGCAAATATAGCAACGGGCAAGTAAATTTAGTTTTTTTGGAAAGAAATATAACCGAGGTTGGACAAAATGGGCCCCCTTAACGTTGGAAGATACATGAAAATTGAAAAATATATATGGTAGGTTTCAATGACTGACTAACCTCGTAAACAATAGTTCAGCCTGTAAATTAGGAAGTACAAGCAACTTGTGCGCAAAATTACAGAGTGCTCAGGAGCAACGGGAAAAGAGGGGGTTGAAAAAAAGGGGAGAAGACGGGACAGTTCCCTCGCCATTTTAACTTATGGGTTCTCTTTCTTGCACCGTTCTTAATATTTGAGAGTAAGAAAAAGGGGAGGTAGGAGAAAATGAGGGCGATCAGATCGTAAACTTAACGGTAGTCTCATACGGAGCCAAAACTTTTTTTCATCAAGAAACGATGCTCCTTGCGTTGCGTGACGACACAAAGAACGACTGCGCACTACAATTTTGGGCAGCAAAAAGGCTACAGCACTCTCCCCATCTCCCCTAAATCAAGGATAAAGCCGCTCAAAGGCCAAAACCCCAATGTTCTTATCCTTGACCTGGAGGGGGGAAGGGGAAGAGGGAAGGGGGAGGGGTCGAAATGTTCCATCGGTCTTGTTTAAGATTGTTGCTCAACTTCATTGCCGTGTTACTAAGTTGTCTTGAACTTACTTGTCAGCTCTGTCTTTCTCCCGTTGTCTGTTTTTAGAAGACTCCTCAAGTTGTTTAGCGAGCGTGTTTCTTTCCTGTGACACAGACTTAAGTTTCGCAACCACTTCATCATAACTCCGCTGTGCTTGCTGGATGTCTACATCACGGGCTCTTAATCGACTTTCAAAGTTATCCATGGTTTGGTTAAATTGGTCGCGAAGAGATTGTTCTTGCGTTAGGGATCCGTGTAAACTGTGAAATAATTCATGATTAATAAAAAAAAAGAAACTAAAGTAGTAAAAAGTAAAGTAACAAAGAAATTTTAGTCATCGAAGAGACCTTCTCGTTCTCGTTTCACTTGAAACATTTAGGCAGAGTTTTTGAAGATATCGAACAGTGAGGTAACTTGCAAGCAGCCGTTCGCCTTTAACGTTCATATTTCAGTCAGCACTGAAAAAAGTTTTACAAGTCACAAAAATTTTTGAGGAGTTCCTAACCTGTAATAAACTCTGATAGTTTCAATTTCTTCCTCAAGTCTTTTGCTCTTCTTCAAGGCTAAATCTCTCTCTTGTATCGCCTGGGCCGACTGATTCTGTTACAAAGAGTAAAAAACAGATTTACAAATCTTAATCCACTAAGTCCTATGAAACACCCTGCAAACTGACTGAAGTCTGAAAATGAGATCTTTATGCTGCCTGTGAAGTCAGTGCAACCCAGTTCTATACCACCAGCACGCATTGAGCTGCAAACCTTACGTCGCTTGCTAAATCATACTTCCAATTCAGATTTTCACATAGACCACAATGCACCTTGTTTGACCCCTCAAATTTTTTATAACAATTATTGTTTCTAGTTTCTCCTGGGTATTACAGTTGTGCCAAGAGAAATCAAAGACAATGGTTATGCACATATTTTGGGGGATAAAATTAATGGACCATTATGGTCTACCTGGAAATGCTGAATTATGCCAACTTTTTTATAGCCTCCCACTCAAATATTCTTATGGCTTGTCACGCAATCCTCCCCAACATGGGGAAGGAACACGTGACAAAGCCCTCCACTTTATTTTCACCAATAAACAAAACGTTTCAGATAAAGAATCTCAAGTCTAATCCATTAAGTGTGTATACCTCAATCATCAACGGTAGTCTGTTAATTTAAATTCTTTTACATCCATGCTTGTCAAACCCAAAAGCTCCCTTCATGAGCCTGCACAGAATGCTTTTTCCTGAAAAACTGATATTCCTGAAGATACGGTGTGGTCTGGCAGTGTATACTTTACCTGAATGGCCTTAAGCCTTTGTCTATCAATTAACTTGTGCTGGTTTTTCATTATTTCAATTTCTTTCCGGAGATTGATGACCTCTGCTTCCAGTGCCTTTGACTGCAAAATGAAAAAAGATATGGAATTACTTCAGTGAACATGATCTTACAGTGTAAGCATACAAAGTATTTGTTTAGCCTGCCCAAGCAGAACTCAGAGCAGTTAAATCTCAGAGCAACACAATGAGAGTTAAGCAAAAGAACTAGAACTTCTTGCGAAGTACAACAAACTCATACTTTGGCTGTATTAATTAGAACCTTAAACAGACTGTTAACCCTTTAAGCCCCAATATCCTCATACAAATTCTCCAAACTGATCTCCATACATCTCCTTCAAGAATTAGTTAAGAGAATTTGATAAAAGGTCATGGAATTTTCTCTATTATGATCATTTTATCAATTCTCATAACTTTATCTCTTGACAGTGTATGGATATTGTTAGGAGAAACTTGTTGTTGGTCACTATTGGGACTTAAAGGGTTAAAATCAAGCAATCTGAGAATTGACCTTTTCCACAGCAGCATCTCTTTCAGCGATAACAGCTTTAAGTTCTTCCGTCACCATTTTCTTTCTGTTTTTCTGTACTGTCCTTATCTTGTGAGCCATTAAATTACCATGTTTGTCAATTGATTCAGGAGTTTCAGAGGAGGCTATTCTACCAAGTAAAGATCTCATGGTCTGTTGAAAAAATATATATACAATTTTATTTTAATGTTTTAATATTCAGAATCATGTACAACTATAGCTTGAAACTTTCTTTGTTAGTACAAAGTAAGGAAAGATTAACCCTTTAAAACCCTAAGGCCCGGTTCAGACGCCGAACTTTTCATGAGCTGAACCTAATACATTGAATTAAGTACATGAAAAGTTCGGCGTCTGAATCAATTAGGAACACCTGTTTCAATTTGGAACGGCTCAGCCGTTCTTTTCACCTAGCCTGGCCGGGAATTTCGCCTCTGGAACGGCTTTGGAACGGCTTTGATTCAGACGCCGAACTTTTCATGTACCTAACCTAATGCATAAATAATGTATTTTCTAAGCAGTTTGACCGAAATGAGCATATTTCTCCTCCTGAATTTAGTTCGGCTGGAATTAAGATCGGCGTCTGAATCAATTCAGCCGGTCCAAATAATTTGGGTCGGTCTTAATTCGAATTAGGTTCGGCTCATGAAAAGTACGGTGTCTGAACTGCAGGTCATATTTGAAAATAAATTCAATATTTGAAAATAAATTCAATTTGAAAATAAATTCAATTTTTAATCTTAGGCCCATGGGCCTAAGATTAAAAATTGAATTCTCATTTGTTGCCCCTATTCATTTCCTACAGAGGTAGTGGGGAGAAATTGATAAAATATCAAGCAAATTCATCTTCTGTGATCATGTCCCTAATTCTCATGACGAATCTGTTTTACAAAGCATTGATATTACAAAGAGAAATTTGATGCTGATCACTCTTAGGGCTTAAAGGGTTACGAACACTTACTGGTTCGGATTCTTCTTCATCATAGACACTATCAACACCAGAATCAAAACTGTAAAACAAGAATGACACAAAACAATATTAACACAGCCACAGATCTAGGTGTCAGTATTGTAATAGCCATTGCTGTAGATCGAATAGACCATTTTACAAAAGTGGACTGTAGTACTAATTTTTGAGTGAATGTGAGGCATAGGCTGACCTTCTTAAAAATACTAGTTAGCATAGAAAAAAAAAAGGAAATGGTGTGATTTGGATCAATGAGCAGGGTTCTGACCTAGGCCTGTGGGCTGGGTATTTTCCCTGCAGGGTGCAAAGAAAATAATTTTTACAGCTTACCATTCGATCAAGCTGAAGCTAGCATTGACTAGCCCAGACGTCATTTCAACTAGCCCCAAAAGGTTTTTGTTCTTTTGTTATTCAAATTCCTCATAAAACATCACTTGCCCGTCGGGCAAGTTAAAAACAGAATTTACTAGCCCGATAGCAAAATCCACTAGCCCCAGGCTATCGGACAGTACTTTCTTTGCACGCTGCCCTGGCTACTACAAGTGTGACCCTCGGCAACTTTCATCAAAATCGAACATGACAATATGACCAAAAGAACTTTCTAGCAGTTGAATACCCCACCTACTAATTGCATATACCTTACTCCTGAAATCTTAGGGCTCAGGCTCTCTCCACTAGTTAGAACTGGCCAACCAGACCAGTTCAGTTGAAAGAGAATTCCACTATTAATCACAACTATCCAGCCAGTTCAATGGTTCGCTGTGGTAGGTTTAAGTGAAGATTTTAAGAAAGAGTTAACATTTTATTTTCAAATATGACCTGTCCGGCTGGCCAGTTCTGACTTTAGGAAAACACCCTTAGTAACGGTGTTGAATAGGGCCAATACAGCTGGCAGGACCTTATCAAAGTTCAGCATGAGGTACCTAGAAGTATTGCAGGGGCCTCCTACATGGCAAAACAAGAAGGAAAAATGAAAGCATATTTTCATACCCTGTATGTTCTCTTTCAGTTCTTCTTAGTTTATCCAGTAATTCCTCACGCTCACTGGAAGCCATCTTCAGTCTTGCATTCATTGCTGCATCACGTTCTTTTTGAGCTTGGTAGATTTTTTCAACAAGAGCTGAAAAAATTGATCAAAACATAAAAATCAGTCTACCATCAATGTAAATTAAAAGTAATTTACTTAGATTATCACAGTAGTTTTGTCAGAGGCTGTCAGCAATATTTTTTTACTTGAGCCAACTTTTTCATAACTGGTGCGAGGTACCAGATAGCATCCATCTAACCCTATACAGTCGACTCCCGGTAACTCGAACCCTCTGTAACTCGAACCTTCTGCTAACTCGAAGCAATTTTCATTTCCCTTGAGATAATTTTCTATATAATTTTACCCTCAATAACTCAAACTCCCGAAAACTTGAACTTTTTTCTATTTCCCTTGAAGGTTCGAAGCAACAGGAGTCTGTAGTTGCTTTGGCAAGACCACTTAACATGTCCTTGAACATGATTCCTTTCAAACTGTAATAGCCATGACATGTTATTCATGAAAACTGAAAAAAAAGTCTAGCCTGCCTGAAGGATATCACTACATGTGTATGTAGCTGACCTGATATGGTGCCAAACTGGTGCAAGAGTTCTAAACATTAATAATATATACAAAAATTAGATTACATATGAGCTGAACTCTACAGATTTGACAAGAATTAAAATCAATTTCTACCTGCTCCTCGAGCAGCTATTTGAGACTCTGTTTGAGCTAACAAGTCATCTCGACTCATCTTAGATGCTTGAATTTCTGCTTCTGCTTTGGTAAGCTTATCTGTAAGCTGCAAATAATAACATTGAAAGGGTAACGCTTTGCACAGCTTTCAGTCTGTCAATTAAACAAACAAGTACAGTCAAATCTCTTTATTATGAACACTACCGTTAGGACCTCGAGTTAGTGTCCTCATTAACAAGAGTCTGTAATGGCGGGAGTTTATTTCATTCAAATGCCTGTATTTATTTTTGGCTGGAATGTAACTGCCATCCTTATTATCGGGGTGTCTGTTATAGCAGGGTGTCCACAAGGTGAGAGTTTACTGTACTGTTTATTTTCAATAGCACTACGTTTAAATTAAAAACCAACAAATAAATTACTTCTGGATTGATACTACTTGTTACATTAAAGAACACAACTAGGATGTAAAAATAAGTGGCTTGGCAATCAAGTACTGTAGGAAATTTGAGGCTTTCACGGCCTTACTTTACCCTTTTTCTGCATAAAATGGACGACTCAAACCTTAAAGTAGCAAGTTTTTCAGCCGGTTGCTGGCACTTAACCAGACCCTGGGTGTCAGTCATGACTTAGCATTAGCCACCTTGGACATGTTCCACACAGTGACAGTTTTTAACATGAATGGTGAAATTATGTAAGAAAAAGGGATCAGTTATATGAAAACTGTAGGGAAAGCTCTCATATGAAAAGCAACAATATTCAAGGATTTTTACCTGAAGGTTTAAACGTTGTGCTGCTGAGAGTTCTTCCCTGAATGAGGTATCACTTCCAAAACTGCTTAACATTGGGTTTGGTGAATATCTTCCATTATCTCCATGCATACTTGACACTCTTTCCTTGTACAACTGCTCGGTTTTTTCTGCTAACTGTGCCTCAAGATTTTGCCTCAAAGATTTCTCTGCACTCAGAAGTTTATCTCTGGAGAGAATTCACAACATGAAAGAATTATCTAAAAAGAAAACAGTAGCTAAGTGGCATTTGTTGCTCCTTTTCCCTGCTAACAGAGATTTCTTATGGTGAAAAACAAATTACAGAAAGGTGCAAGATAAGGAATGTATTTCCTTCCTCCTATTTTTCTCTCACTATGCCAAGCTTACTTGTAATATTTGTGGTTCTCTTTCCCTGCTGGCAGAGATATCTAACAGTGAAGTATAAATGAGAAGTGGTAGTAGAGAAGGAAAGGTGGGTGGGGGGGGGGGGGGGTTGGGCATTTTTTTCTTACATTTTGCACTCCAAATATCAGCTGACCAACTGTGCAGATTCAAGAGTGGTTAATTAAATTCACAAATATAAAACATTAGCTTTATAAAGTTCACGTCAAGGTTGGGAAATCAAATAAAAATTTTAACAATACAATAATTTACATTCAGAAGCGAAATAATTACTATAAAAGGATATAACTGAATGTTGCCAGGTTAACAATCAAAACCACATGAGCAAATGTACTTATATTTAAATAATGCAATTTCCATCTTGCCAAAAAAGATACTCAGATTAAAGTGACAAGTTTTAGAAAAGCCCACTCATGCTTTCAACCGGCATAATATATTTTTATGGTTTATGCATGAGTAATTTTTATAATATATTGAGAAATATCAATTTTCAGTTTAGTCATTTTAACAAAATTATAGTGATACTCAAAGAAAAATAACATATTGTTCTTTAGAGCTGAAAGCCAATTATCGATACTCAAAAAATAAATAGACCACCAGCAAAAATATCATTTCTTTGTGTTTGTTTTATTGTTCAAAATAAAACATAAAAAGCAGGTGGTTTGTAAAACTTTAGAAACAGCAAGAACACCAAAAAGTATTTAAGAATGGAAGTCAATTCAAGTTCCTGTACATAGTACTGTAAAATGTTAAGTAAAACTTCACTGAAAAGTGATGCTTAAATACTTTTCATATCACGGTGTGTACTCTGTGATTGCTTGGCTTTGGGCAATTGAAGACTTGTACGTAGTACCTGACACATTCGGCACCAAACACAGCCAGTTTTTAGGCTTTGATCTCTTCTTTGACAACACTGGAAGTCGCCATTTAAATTCATTTGTACAGATTTACGTATTTGATACTTTTTACTTTTACTTTTACTTTATTAATCCGCAAAGGCGGTAACCATCGCGCGGATATAAAATAATAATTGCATACCATAAGAAGAAGAAGAAAAAAAAAAAACATACATACATTGCATACCTAAAGAATGACTGTTAAACACAGAAATGGAGATACGTATTCAATAAATTGACATCAGTAAGCGCAAGCTTATAATCGGCGTCGTTTTAGCGGTCGGTTGCTATCGAACAATATTTGCTAAGATTCTCTCTGGTTCACGTATCATATCGAAACAAACAATCCTTTGAATACAAGAGCTTAGGAATTTATACACTCGAGATACTCAGCTTAATACTACAAACGCTCCAGAATTATATTACATATTGCACGAAAAACGTAAAGTAATTACAAGCATAATAATTACAGCTCACACACTTTTCTTCCAGGTCCAATCGAAGATTTGCAATACGCTGTCGAGCTCCTTTCATCGCGGATCTCAAGTTTTGTCTTATTTCATTCGCGTCATCAAAATCAGGCTTGTGGTCCGAATAGCCATTTACCATACTACTATGGCTCCTGTTAAAGGAAAGATCTTCGCTGTTGTCTAGGTACTCAAAACTCTCGTGAATAGAATCCATCTTGGACGCAGTTGTGTATGCCGATAAGAATTCGGTAGTGTTTGACATTGTTTCGACCAATCAGAGAAAAGAAATTGTTAAGGACATTTGATGCAGGATAAATGTAGTATACATAGCAAAACGATTACGGCGGTCGTTTCTGACGATGTTTCAAGGGGTTTTTACTCATAAACTGCTCAGAAGCGGGCACTAACTAAATTCTTTTACAACTTTTTTTGAGCACAGAATATTAATCAAACAAAATGTTGTTGCATCATTCTTCCAGAGGCAAAGAATTTTGGCTGAGCGTGACCTTGTTAACGGGTGACAGGGTTGTCACTAAGATTTCAAGTTGCCGGGTAAATACAACAAGAAGGCGGGGAATCAAACGGCTAGAGATTTCTTTTGCTTCTATTTTTCTTCTATTTTCCAGTAAAAGTACCGGGGGCCACTCTCTTAGTAACCGGGGAAAATCTCCGGTCCCCGGCTCTTTGACAACACTGCGGGTGTATATAAAAATCTGATATAAATACAAAATTTGCAATAAATTTACTCTACATTTATAAGAAAAATTTAGCCAAAAAGTCACTTTGTATATTCTACAAAGTTTGACCTCCTCTACTTATAAAAAGAAAAGATTTAGCCATTAATATAATTAACGGCTCAATTCTCGGTTTGTATAAGTGTATGAGTAAAATTTAGAAACCTACCTGCGATCAGGCTTTTTTTTCAAGGGGATCGCCTCGCAGGCTACCTTTGACCTTGCAGATATAGCTACATAGTTTATGTAGCCCTCGGGTTGTGTTGATTTCTAAATGATTTCAGTGAAGAACTCAACTCTTTTCACCCAGACTCCACAACAAAAGTAAATGTTTAACAGGCCACACCAAATATGGAAGGGTGATTTCCCGCGCTTTCTTCTCATCCCCGCACCGGCGCTCCGCGGTTCGAATTGCTTGTGATCGAAGGTTCTACACTGTATTCACAAAGTTAAAAATGTCCAATTTGGATCTTTTAAGCGCCGGATTCTCAGCAATCCTTGGTACCAAAGTAACCCCGCAAGGAGACGATGGGAATCAACTTTCTATCCACGAGCTTTTTAGCCAAACGTACGTGATGAGACCCGTCCCCGCGAAACTCGAACCCGGCGAAGGAGAATTCTCTCTGAGCGTGCTGACGTTGTATGGCCAAGAATTTAATATTCTAGTGAAAGGAGAAGACAGAATCGAGCGAGTGAAAGCTAAGATTCAAGAAAGGGAAGGTAAACCAGCAGATGAGATTCGACTCATTTATGCGGGACGACAACTTATGGATTTCGAAACTGTTAAACACTACAACATCCAACCCGATGACAGTATCCACTTGGTTCCTCGCCTTCGCGGCGGAGGGGGTCCCTTACCTCGCGCGTTTGATACAAACGAACTCGATCCCGACTTCGATTACGACTTCAGCGACGTCCAAGATGATGGTAAAAAGTATATGAGGGGAGGCTTCGAGTACAAACGACCGTACGGTTGGAAAAGAATTGCAATCAAAGTTGTTGGAAGGTATGGAAACGACGAGTGGCTTGGTGCAAATGGTTTGCGTACAAAAGAATCGTCTAGGGAATGGCCTGTAGCATATCACGGAACAAACATGAGCAGTGCTAAGCTGATTTTAAAAGAAGGCTATAAACCTGGGCTGAGAGCTTTGTTTGGCAAAGGCATCTATACCAGCCCTAGTCTTGAAATGGTTGAAAAGCTGTATGCTCAAGAATTCACTTGCAAGGGAAAAACCTACAAGATTGTTTTACAGAATCGCGTCAATCCTGATCAGAAAAATGGTCGCCTCGAAATCATCCCTGCATCAGAAACTGGGGCAGGAGCTGATTACTGGTTGTCCCCAGGGGGTCATGCAAATGATGTGCGTCCGTATGGCATCCTTATACGGGAAGTTTCAAGAAAGAGGAAACGGCAAAGCAAATAACTTGCGATTCTAAGCCTGCTAACTAGCTTAAGACTTAAGTACTGTAAGTTTATGTTATTTTATTCATGCAGTCCCTTGAATGAGGCTTCAAGGACCCCTGCCTCCCTACCCCCTGGCCACTAGCCTGCGACCAAAGCTACAATCCTGGACAAAACTACTTGAGAAAATGTTTTCATTAATGCGCAATACCTAACGCAAGAAAAATATTTCCAAATCAACAGCTTTGCATAAAGAAAACCCCCTCCGCCAGTTCAAAGTTGCTTCCTACAAATGCTTAGGGATCCGGCTTTCTTTTGAAGACCCAACAACGCTGCTTCCAGGGGGAGGAGTGGGGAAGAATCGGTCGGCTACGAAGTTCAGAAAAAATGCCCCCCAAGTATGCAATTTTCTCAACAGTTTTGTCCAAGATTGTAGCTGATTGAGGGACTAGGAAGAGGAAGAGGTCACTTTCCCTTGCACTATTTTCTCCTGCTGTCTCATTGCTATTGTCAGCCCCCAGCCATCTCCCAAACAGAGAGCCCATTCACAGGGTATCCCCCCGCCCCTCAACATAGCATTGTCATTAAAATGATTTTTGAGGAGTTACTGATGCTTCTTGGTACCAGTACTTGAGGAATTCCAGGAAAGAAGTCACAGGGAACTCCTTATTCACTCCTAAATTCCCTGTCCAAATTGCCTGGTTTTCTTTTTTCTTTTGAAACAAAGAAAGTTAATATGGAAGAAATTTTACCTTGGATCAAGAGCTACTCAGGGTTCTTTTCTGTCTTCAATTATTGGTGCAGTTGAAGGGGTGTGTTGAATAAGGCCATCAAGGATTGATGCAATGGTAAATTCTCTCCTTTGTTCATCAACAAATACAAGGCAATTTTGGAAGGGAATTTAGCAGGTAATCAGAGGTCACTTACTGTGAAACTCACAAAACAGTGAACACCAGAAATGTTTATGGAATGTTGTGTTGTGAGGAATTTGCCACTGAGGCGCGAGAAAACTAAACTGCGAACAGGAACGGTAATTAGTTTGTGGTTTTGTAGTTTGCTTGCATGTCCTTAACTTTACTGTAATTGGCCAGTACACAATCAACATTCCTGAAATTTTTTTGACAGCAAGTCTGAGTTTGACAGTAAGGCATTTTTCCATGCTATTGTTAAAGTTTTACCTCAAATCCTTTAAATTGGTAACTATGGGTATTGGAAATTTATGCAACCAAATTACTCTATTTTTGTGCAAATATTATTAAGAACTTATCTAATGTTTGTTAGCTAATGAGGACCATACTCACAGAGGGATATTTTCCTTTCAAAGTGCATGACCCTTATAAATTTTTAAGGTTTTCTTGTTGTTTTGTTATGTACTGGTCAGGAACAAGTTCATTTCATAATTTTCATTGAAATCTCTAAGTTGCCATTGAACATTATTTGCAAAGTATGTAAAAATTGTGATTCCACATAAAAAAGGAAACAAAGGAATAATGTAAGTTACAATCAGTTTATAAGCCTTTGACAAAGGAAAATAAAGTTTGTGAAAAATATCTATTAATTTTGTTCCAGGTGTAATAGCTGCTAAATCATTGTGGAAAATGGTGTTTCAAAGTAAATCTTTTGCTAGCTTGGTATCAAAACTCACTGAAATTTGTTTTAAGAAAATATATATATCCATATCGTGGAGGGTTATTGGAAATTTTCAGAGGAGTTGAAGGTTTCAAACCAAATTTCCTTGGGGGTGGGAGGAGTATGGACATTTTCAGGAACAACACAGTGAGTGTTTAAAGAGACACTGGTAGCTCTCATCCCTGTTTATTATTGTGTATTTTAACAGTACAGAGTCTGATTAGTGAAACAATTTCTGATCCCATCCTCAACCACAGCATAACTACAGACGAGAAGAGCTCTTCTTGTCCATGTCACTCGCATTAAAGAAGAGCTCTGGGTTCAAGAATGTTCTAATCTTTGCAGGGTTTTCACTAAGAATTCTAGTAGCAGGAGACAGATGTAAATTTCCAGGAGAATATTGTGAATGAGGCTCCATGTCTGAATAGAAAAAAGTCATTGGCTATGGCACATTAGCAGGAGAATTCTGTGTAGTAAACAGAGAATTCTGCAATCTCCGATGCCTTTAAGAGTACCATTTGTCACCTCTTTACTACTGGAATCATAATTGGAGTTAAAAGAGTGCTTACAATCAGTGAAAATGTAAGAATTGGAGTTGTAAGTAAAACACTCGAGGAATCAGAGTTGCAACAATAAAATAATATTGATTTTTGATTATAGCTTGTGATCTTGTCTACGTTGCTAGCAGTAAAAAAAGCAACGGGCCGAGCACAGATCCTTTGGGAATGCCATAACTTACGTTGGCTTTGTTTGAAATGTATGGTTCGATTTGGGTAGATTGCATCCGATTATTCAAATACGAGGAGAACCAATCATTAATAATTCCACGAAAACCATAGTGATTAAGTTTGTCAAGCAAAATGTTATGATCGACAGTATCAAAAGTTTTCTTGAGGTCTATGAAGACTCTGCACGAGAAAAGACCTTGATTCATATTAATTTGTATTTACTCTTCTGCAAACTAGTTTTCAGTAGAAAATAAGCAATGGAATGCTCCTGCTTCTGGTTGTGACTTTGACTTGGTCACTTCTTAATCTTCCCACTTACTAGAAAACATTGGCTGATGATTTACAGAAGGCTAAAATCTTGTTTATCAGATGCCTTGTTCTTCTCATTTTACTCTGCCATCTCTCGACCATTTAACTCAGTCATCTCTGTCAATGTCATGGGTCTTTTCCAAGACACTGGGCGGATTTTCAAATTACACCCATCCAAGGCATGTTCTTTCAGTTGCAAAACATGTTGTAAACTTGCACTTGATTTGAAGACAACGTAAGTTTTCCCAGTGGGCCGAATGGCTGTTTTGTTAATATACTCCACTTTTCCGAACTCTTCAAAATACTCTCTTACATGTTCAGGATCAGTGTTTGGCTGAAAGCCCTCAACAAAAAGCTTCCTATGTCCATTTTTGATTGGGTAAGACAATGCAGATTTTTGGACAATTGCCTTCTTTCCACATACGGTGTGGATCAAATTACCTGATGCTTGCTCTACACTACAAGGGGATTGAAATGCTACAAATGCATATGTTGTATGAGGACGGGCAAGTGTCTGACAAATGAGATCAATCTTCTCTATAGCACCAAACTGCTCAAAATACTCTTTCAGTTCATCAACAGTTATATCTTGTGGCAGGGAACGGACAATGATTTCCTTGGTATTTTCAACAGCACTGAACTTAGAAGTTGATAAATAAACTTTACAGGAGTTTTCGCCAATCTTGTGGATCTGAACCAGGGCTGCCTTTTTTGCTTCACTCATCTTTGAGAATCCCACAAAACAGAAGTCTTTTCTTTTCAAAGTTTCCGGGTCCAAGATGATAAAGTCAACACTTGTAACAGTCCCAAACTTAGAAAAGTAGCTTGTTATCTCCTCTTCTGACATACTTTGTGGAACGTCTTCTACTTTAATCTTGCAGGAATGTCCCCTCCACATTCCTTTTTTAACGTTAGGGAGAGTTGTCATCCATCGTCCTTCGAAGAAATGTTTTTGTTTCAAAGCTTTCTTTGCGCTTTCAACACTTCTGAAAGAGACAAACATCATATCCGCCCCTTTACGTCGTACATTTTCAACTTCTCCAAACGAAGAAAAGTACTCTCGTATTTTTTCTTTTATATTGGGAGTTTTAGGCGGAATATCACGGATAAATATTGCTCTTTCGTCAAGCAGATCTCGTTTCTTTTCATCGGAAAGAAGAGACGAAAAAGCACGAAAGCCAGTGAATTCAAGCCGTGATTTTGACAGGCGCCAAAAAGACATGGAGTTTTGACAAGGCATCCTTCTTGTATATAGTCGAAGATTTAAAGTTTTTGGTATACCACGAACCAGGAAAAAAGAACAGTAAGCCATAATGTAAAACGGTATCCATAATAATTGACAATGTTCAATTTCAGGCAGGCGTTCCATTCCCCTCTCCTCCCCAGACGTGGCGACTGTAATTCAATGCATCGAGTTGATCTTGGACAAAATTGAAAAAATCCTAGCAGGAAATGGATGCAGATTGTAAATTTTTGTTTACAATAAAAACTTAAAAATGTTTTTTATATATTTGTTTATTTATATCTTTTATATTTATTTTTTTAAAATTTCCCAGTACCTCCCTACAAGGGATGTATAAATAGTCCGGTGTTTCCAGTCCATCTCGGTCACGTTTGGAAGCCATATGCTCTGTAAATTTAGTTGAAATATCTGGTATTTCCTAGTATAGAATCAACTGAAATGAGTCTACTTGGCTCATTATTAGCATATCAGTCATTTTCTAGGTTGTTTCCGAGGCTTTTCAGACCAGTTATAGTTCTATCTGGGAACACAGGACACCCATTTCTTCACCAGCACCAACATGGCAGTCCTTCGAGGAATTTCTGCATCGAGCACTTTTTGTCCTCAGCAAATCTGTCAGAAAAGAATGCAGACCAAGAAGGGGTGCCTCAAGCTCATGAAAGGACAATCTTCGTCACCAGCTTTAAACAGCCGATAACAGAAGAAAGTCTTCGTGAGCATTTTGCTCAGTTCGGTGAGATTGAACGTTTCAAGTGGGCACGAACAAAAACCACCAAGAGATCTCGGGGATTTGCCCATATAACGTATAAGAATGGGGATGATTTCGTGAACGTCCTTCGTCAACCTCACGTAATGGGTGGCCGTCATCTGGTTGTTCAAAAAAGCCGCCCGATATTACAACAGTTTGAAAAAACGCCTTTTGTCCAGGTGCGAAATGTGGATTCCTCTATGACAAAAGAACAGATGACGGAACACTTTTCAAAATATGGTTTCGTAAAGGCGATAGATTGGCCAGTTGACATCTTAGCCAACACCAAACGTGACTTTTGTTTTGTCCAGTTTTCATGTGCTGATGAAGCAGAGTTAGCCTGTAAAGATGTAAACCAAATTCTTTGCCACCAGGAAGTTCAAATTCAGAAGAGTAACTCAAAAATGTGCACATCCCTTACTAAAAGCAACAGGATTGTTGTTTCTGCTGATGCTGCGATCGAAGCAGTTGTGGTATATTTCGGAAAGTTTGGAAAGATCAGGTCAGCCTGGGCAAATTATAACATTGGTACAAATCCAATGTTCTCGCTTTTGTTTGAAGATGAACATACTGTACATGAAATAAGTAAACAGACTCATTTCATTAACAGTCAAGAAATTTTCCCATCACGGGGTTTACCCAAACCTACTCTTGCATATCCATTCGAGAAGAAGATTTTTGTTAGTGAGCTGCCAAAAAGTGTCACAAAGGAAGATGTTATCAAATACTTCCGTCAATTTGGAAGTGTCCAACATGTGCAGTTTTCTGAAGATTGTGGTTCAGGGGAGAAAGTGAACTGTACTGTGACTTTCATGACACTTCAAGATGTCAATAAAGTGATGGTTGAAGAAGAACATAACATAAGTGACAAGAAAATACAAATTCGCCGTTTTGGATATCGAAAAGTTGATGATGCAACAATAAACATCATAAATGCTACCAGCTCTTTTGCAGGTTGACTGTCTGTGGATATTGCAAGTAGTCTTAAGTTTTTCTTGCATCTTTAATAAGTGATAATTCACCACCATGGATAATACCATCCATAATGGCCACACTTGTTTAAAGTTATATCTAGAAAGAATTCTTGAAAAGTTGATGTAAGATTAAAAAGTACCTGATGTTTCCTGTATGTAGTGATTTTAATTTTCTAAAAACTTTAGATGAATATAAAGACCTAACGTAACCTCTTAAACCCTACAAATCTACCTAACAGGGCACGTAATTTGGGAATTTCAAAGGAACCTGACAAGACACTTACGTGGTATTTACATGACGAAGAAGTCTTTAAACGAAAACCGCAGACTGATCTGGCTGGAAAGCGAGGAAATGCGAAGGTGAAAATTGAAAAAGAAGAGCTGGAGAAAGTTCAGAAACAAACCAGGTTTACGATAAAACAAACCCAGATGTCTCTTGCATGTCTTCGTCCCAGAATCTTTGCGGCTGTTTCCTCGGAAGGAGTGAAATGCTTGTTCTCTTCCTTCATGTGCAATCCAATATGGCGCCGTCCATTATTTCTGGGGTTCGCGTGGCATCAAGAAAACCAGCCTTCTTCTTCTGAGAACGAAGTAACGGATCACCGAAAACTTTTTATCAGGAATTTGAAATTCAAAACCAAAAAGTATGATTTAGAGGAGTATTTTTCTTCATTTGGCGATATTGAGGAGGTTGAGTTACCAGTTACGAAAGTCACTGGCAGGTCCAAGGGCTTCGCTTTTGTAACATTCCAGGATGAATCTGCGGCTAAACGCGCTTTAAACCATCTTCATACATTTGAGGGCCGTGCGTTAACTCTTGCCTATGCTACAGATAATCCTCCACCTGCACAATGCAGAACTAACGTGATATGTGTGAAGAATGTTACGCCGGAGATCGACCGAGAACAAATTATGGAACATTTCTCCAATTTTGGCGCAGTCCTTGCTGTAGATCTACCAGTCGATCCTACAACAAACAAAAGACATCCTTACTGTTTTGTTCACTTCACATACGAAGAAGAAGCTGAGGAGGCGGTTAAAAATCGAATCCAAGCTTTGGGGAATTGCTCCGTGGAAATCAGGAAAAGTCTGGCCCGAATGTCTCCAACGTTTACTGATAAGATCGTTGTGTATCCCCCGGAAGATAGTACAGTTAATTCAATTAGAAATTACTTTGAGAACTTTGGCACAGTTTTGTCAGTTGTGTTGAATTTTGTTTTGGTTGGTGACAACCCTCAACCAAGATTAGTTGCACGAGTTCTATTTGACAACAGTAATACTGTAAACAATGTCATGAACCAAGCCCATGTAATCAAAGGTAATCCTGTTGTAGTGATTCGCGGTGACCAAACCAGTAAATTCCAAGACACAGCCGACAGAAGAATATTCATTGATGGTCTACCATCTTGGGTCACTGAGAGGGATATCAAGAAATACTTTTCACAGTTTGGTTTTGTTACGTTATGTCATTACTTGCAGGACCCGAAAACTGGTGGTAAACTTAACTGGTGTCTGCTTGCATTCAATTCCCCTACTGGAGTACACAAAACAATGAGAATAAAAGAGCATCAGATTGGAGGAGAGACAGTTAGAGTGCGACGCAAAGGCTGGCAGAGTGAAAGGATAAGCAGTTTGATGAAGCACAAAACTGATTTCCATTATTAACTGCACAGAGTCATGTCTGACAATCAAAGCGGCAAAATGGTTGCAGACCTGTCTTTTCTTGAAAATTGATTTCTGTTATTGAAAAATAAATTAATGACGATCTATCTGTCCTGGAGTAGATTGCTAGGAGTCTATCACACATTCCGTGCAAGTAGCACAGCCATGAGATACCTGACCATCTCGTGTTACACATTCCAACTTTCGAACTTGGAAGACAAAACAAGAGACTCCTCACAACCTATCCCAGGATGTTTTGCTGAAAATGCTATTTGAAATATTAGTTACTGGTAAGCCATGTTTTGGTCATCATCTGGCCAAAAACATTGTTTGTAAGTTGGCACTGCTAGGTGCTGATAACACACCAGAATAAAGGCCCTGCCTGTACACACATATCTGGATATTTTTGACAATGGAGATTTTTTTCTCGGTTTTCAAAAAAAGTATGCATGCATGCATAGCCTATTTGAATTATTATTTTTGTCCATCCATCCATTGCATCCATTAAAATGCATAAAGGGTTCTCAAAGATGGAAACACACTTTGTGTTTAAGTCGCTTTTCTTTGCTTTGTTTTGACACCTCTGGCTTTGCTGAAGAGCCTCCTACTTTATCAGTGATCACCTCCTACTTAAAAATCTATTGAGAACCCTGATAATGCTGGTAGTATTATGATGTATCAGTATGACATCATTGTAATAGAAAACTCTGTTTTCCCATTCACATGTAAACAAGAAGCCCATGTTTTAAAAATCTCCCCTCTGGAGACCGTTTTTGAAAACTTGCAGGCTAAAATGGAAGAAAAAAGTCCCTGTTTTCAATATCTGGTTACAGGACCAAAGTCTTGTCTCATAGAGTCAAGTTATTTCATCAATGTAGGGATCATTATGTTATTAACAGCATTAATAAGTCCAACTTAGTAAAAATCCTGGTTGCCTTTATTAAGTATGTTGGATACAGTATTAAAAGACTGAAGGATTGGAAATTACGTGCAATAATATGAAGTCCAATCCATGTTTATGATCTATGTATGAATGTTTTCAAAAATATCACAGCACAACCAGTCGACTAGTGAAGCTTAAAGATTTTTAAGCAGAGGATCCCTGCTTTCACGATTTTTAACTGAAGAACTTGTAAACCGTTCTTCATAACAAATTAAACTTGGATTTATAACAATGTTTGCTTAACATGTTGATCAATATTATATTAAAGTATTAATTTGAACAGATGAATCTCAATAAACATAATTAAGCAAAGATGCGCAAATAAGATGATAAATCATGTTCTCCTTTAACTGCTCCAAATTAATCTTTGTCAAAACATTTTATAAAAGAATCAGACAACAATAATTCAACAAAGGAGCCTTTGAGGAAAACAGCCATTATCATCATCATTTTTTTAATAACAACCACCTTTTCATGATGTTTATAACCTTTTTTCTGGCAATTAATGGTACACTCTACCACTAAACAAACAACTGAACTAATGTTAAACACATACTGTCACCACTAAAACTAGAGCTTGAAATTATTTCTCTGCCGCTTTGAAAGCTTTATCAAAATTTCCCCCACTTTCACAAACCCCAACACCTCTTCCATGAAATCCTCTACCCTCAAAACCCTGTACTTTTGTAACAAGGTAACAAGCGAAATTCAAAGTCTTACTTAAACTGGATCACAACCATAATATAAATCAAAATACATGTACTGTTTCTGAACATGATATTTTATGTAATCAATGCAAGTGTCCTGCATTGAACAGTTTAAATTCTGACATCAACTCTGTCGATACTTTGAGTAATATTCAGTTTCCGAGTTCATAAACACAGGCCTTTAGGACTCAATAAATGATTCCAGTCACGTTCCTTGTTCATGACTTCCATTAGGAGCTGAGCTCCTGATCACACATCTACTGGAGAAGTGATGCTCTTGAGTCTCGGGAATAAGTGACAGCTTCTGGTCTACAGATTCATGGTGATGACAAAAGAAAACCCTGCACCCAAAGCCAAGCCAATAATAAGTAAGAAAGCCATCATAGTTCCTGCTGTCTCAGCATGCTTTGGTTCAACAGTGCTAGGAAAGAGGGAGAAAGAAAGAAAAAAAAAACATGTTATTAAAATGCACTTTCCTTATGATGAACCCGTTACTTTGATAGGAACCCCATACATGGACAACAATATTATTCTAAAGACTCTAAAAAATTATCTGCATTGTTAGCCTGAGCAAAGAATTTACAATATGCCTGTTGGAACCTGGCAAAAACAATATGTACAGGGTTTTCAAAATTAGCCAGCTGCCCGCGAAAATCACCACCTACTTGGTTAGTATCGCCCAGCTACTCTGCTCCGCATTTCTTAATGGACGGTGTTTTTTAAATAAAATATCTCTGGACTGGTTGCTTACTTTGACAACTCAGCCTTCTACTTTAAAACTTTCCGACAACCCTGATATGTAGCAAAGACAATTTGGACAGATTTAAGCAGATGCGCACTCCAAGTTTGACAATAAATTTATTATTTTGGTTCCATGGTGAGTAGCAAAAATATTTGGCAGCTGAATATGTAACCCATAAGGAAGGGCTGCTACAATCAAATTTCCTGAAAGGTGTTCCCCAGTCTGTATTAAGGCAGTAAAATGAAAACATGGTAACAAATTATTCAAGTCAACTTACGATGGTCCATACATCATGCACAAGCTTCCTAAATAGCCATTGGAAATGGCAAACAGTACCATAAACACAATAGGGTAGTAATCCTCCCCAAAAAGCACTGGAGCATCATGTCTGGGTTGTGCATTGCAGAAGGCAAACAGAGGAAGAAAGACGATTCTTAAGATGCAGAGAGCAGGCAAAATTATGCCATTTTTACCAGGCTGAAATAGTAAAAAAAATTGCACCATTTAAGATAACAGTGCTTTTCCAAATGACTGAGATCCCTTAAAAAGAAAACCAGATAACAATGTCTCAGATAAGACTGTTCTATATTATATATAATATAAACAGAAGTACACAGAAGTTCTCCAAGGTGTTTTCACCTGAATAGTCGCACAGCTAAAAAATTTATATGACAAAAATAATTATTCATCTCACCCTAACTCAGTCTACAAGAAATAAAAGGGTTACAGTCAAACCAGGTCAAGCGTCCCCGTCGCTAACGAACTAATGAATTCGGAAAAATGATTTCGTTTGTTGATTCAATAATCCATTCATAAAATGAACAATCAATATTCATATTTATCGATTCCATAAAATGTTGATTCGATTACTGTTTTTTGAACTTTCCACAAGTTTCAGAATTTTGTTTTTTTCTTTTTTTTTGAGAGTCGCGAGCAGTTCTGAAGTTCAAACCCAAACAAACTGTTACATGTACGCCAGTTTGCTGCCTGCAACAGACCCAGGCCTGACCTCTTAGAAAACACAACGGTCAAACTAAGGTCAGTTTTTATGTTCGGTGACGATCCTCGGCCCTTGTAGTCAAGTTTCTTTTTGATTTTGTCTATTCTAGGATTTTGATTAAAGGCAATGAAAAACCTGAACCCCGATGAACACAACAGACAAGAATAAAGAACAGGTAGATTTTGCTTAAACCAAATCAACATTTGATTATTGAATCGAGGTCCAATTTGACTGTTGGATTATTCATTTTATGAATGGATTATTGAATCAACAAAGAAATTATTTTTCCATTAAAATTCATTAGTTTTTGTCCAGGACGCTTGACCTGGTTTGACTGTAAATGAAGGGTTAACAAAACCTGAAGAGTCCTTTAAAATAATTGATTTTGTTAGAGGATCATTGTGCCTGAAACCCTGGCCATTGACCAAGTAAGCTTTAGAAGTTACTTGCCTAGCAAGAAAAACTTGCTGATTAATAACAACAAAAATTGTTCTAAGGATTTGATAGGGTTTGAAAAAAGATCAATAACAACAGAAAGCTAAATGATATGGAAGACAACTTGAACTTTAATAAGTGGGAAATATTGTAGTGTAGACAAGGAAGATCATACATACCCATTGAACAAAAGAAGCTGCTAATCGTCCAGAGAAGTCACCAACATTAAACAGTAAGAAACAAGTAACTGGCACGAAGTAGGTATCTAAAAAGAAAATGATCATTTAGTACGCATGGTAATAAGGACAAGACTCAAACTAAACATGAAATACTAAGTGAAATTTCCTCTTACTTGTCCACTCTGACTTATCAGCTTTGTTTACAGACTGTATTCTTGATGTAAGGGACGGAAATGCTGCGAGTGTAACAAAAAACACAAGGGCAACTGACAGACCATATTTTGCAATCTGAAAGAAAAAGCATTTCATCATTCAGAACAGAGTGAACTGTAAAACAATCAATGATTTGACTGCTTATCTGAATAATGGGACACCTAGCAATGGCCCTTTTTTTCTGGTCATTTTCCGACGACACTTCTCCAAGTGAGCCAAGACTGTTGTTGAAAACTAGACAGAATACTGTATCAGAGCAGCTTACTCCTTCCTCACCTTTCTAAATATCATCATAAATGGCGGTCTTTCATTTCTATGAACTTCTTCAACTTTGGGGTGATAATCTACTGCAAGTAAAGCTTCATGATCCAAACCTTAAGATAAAAGCAGACAAGTCTTTTTAAGATCATACTCTGACATACCAAAATATAAGCAAAGCTCCTCTCTCTATAGGCTGACAAGATTCAAAATACAAAAAGGCCCCCCAAAATAAGCCTCACTGAATGAAGGCCCCTAAAAAGGGCATCTTAAAATATCAATATTTGTACTCTTCTGAGCTTATTGATTTTTCAGTTTTAATGCCCACACTATACCACATACGAGATGGCTTAATATCTGGAAATGAAAAGTACTCTGGCCTGGTATAGACACCTTTTAATACCCTGTTGCGAAGAGTGGAACAGAAACCTTGTTTATAATATGTGAAACTTGTCATGATTGATAGGGTGTGGCTTTAATCTATTACATAAATTGCTCTGGAGTCACATTTTCATATGTTTGAACAAAAGCCCTATCAGATATGTTTAAACATAGACCTGTGCAGCAGGCACTGTTTTATTTTTTTTCAAAGCTGCGCTAGGGGAGCATGTGAAGGGGAGAGAAGGTGCCTGAAGCAAAGGCCCTAGTCTTCCTTATTCACTTGTGGTGTGTAGAACGTCAGTGGCTGAGAAAGCCTCTTGGGAGTTAGTCTGTCACCTCAATCTATTATTATCAACGGGAATTCAAGTCTTCTTTTATAACACAGGTGGGGCATGACAACGGCTGAAGAACTATTTTAATAGTGCTTGCAAAAAGTTTTTTCATTTTTGAAAAGCATTAAGCTGTCTTTTTTTTTTTTGGGGGGGGGGGCGAGTTAGATGTCTTGGCAGTGTTATCAACTGGATTTGGAGAAACTGTAATTTTTCAGTTATTTGTTATGGGATGCGAGGATCTGAACTGTCTTTACAAGCATTGTCATTACTTCCCCAGGGGTAGCATCATTCAGGATCAAGCAGCCCAGGTAACTTTTACAGGAATGTCAGCCTAAGACTTGAAAGAAAAACTAGACTGTTTAACAGAAATACAGCAAGGAAAGTATAAGATCGTACACCTCAGTTAAGCGATGATGGACAAAAAAATTTTTGAATTTCATTACTAAAATCCCTATCATTGATCAACACGAATAAAGCAGCCTCTTTGGTTGAGGAAAGCGTGGACGGGACTTGGGTAAGCCTGGTAGTTGTGTTTGCCCTGAATTTAAAATTACATCATTTGCTTTACGTAGAAAAAACAAAAATACAGAAGGTTATTTTTCCCTTGGGTCTGATGTCCGTTTCACGTCGTTAGACGATCTGCTTTCAATCAATTTATTCTGTCAGTTGATGCAGCGCTGTCATATCATTAAATTGGGGGCTGTAAATGAAAACCAGGGTCTCTAGGGCAGGCCCCTCCTTTCCTTTTCTCCCCTTGCATATCCTTTCTTCCTTTGCCCTAACATACAAACTGGCACAGGCTAACATAGCTTAAGAAAAGGTACATGCCATTTTCCTCTCCCTCCTCCACTATGTTGTATATCAAATACCCTTTCAAGACCAGAACAGGTCAAAGTGAAATTCCAACAAAAATTTTCACATCATACTTGCAAGGTGTTAAAGACATAATATTATATATTATGGTACAAAAGGCAAGGGAAAAAGACAAATAAAGACCATAGGAAGGGTACTTTCATTAGATTCATTTTTAAAAGTTATCCAAGGTACCATGACATGTTAAGACAATTTTTTTCTTACTTAATGTTGAATGTTTGATGTTTCCAGATTTTTTTGAAGGTGGTATCTGCCAGTTTGCTAGTCTTCCTATTTGATCAGCTTGGATGCTAGGGAACTCTGTGGATTCAGAAAGTGGAAACAAAATTTTACAAAATTATTTTTACCTAAAGCTATGAATACTTCTTACTGGAGCAAGCCAGTTAAACATGAACCAACCATCCAGATAAGAAGGAAAGCAACAACGGCTTTGAACATGTTGGAATACAAAAAGGTGCTAACTTTACTATTGTCTGTGCTATAAGCTAACTTCTGACTGGCTTAAACAGCAAAAGTTGAGAAAACTTCATAAAGCAGTATTAATTGATCTTTACTTTTCCAACCAACTTCCATACAACAAAATCTCATCTTGGTCACACTGAATAACAAAGAAATCCCATGTGGGGAAGATGTAAAATTAAAACTTTTCTTGGCTATTGTTTGCAACTCTAGCCTTATGAATGGTCAAAATTTTTAAATTCATTTTATCACATAAATGGCCTTTCTGTAGGTTGATGCATTCTCCGTGTAAAAATGAAAACATTCCTATGCAGGAAAGCACATTGCTGCATAACGAAAGAAAATGCTTTCCACCTTAACCGGATCATTACTATCTTCAAAACAAAGGATAGACTAACATAATTTTCATCATGTCACAATTAATTTATTAATAATGGTCACAATGACTATTTGTACTTTGTTTTGTTACTTACTGATCTCTTGTCTGTGTTCATGTGGAGCTATGAAAAATCTGGCAAATTTCTGAAAATAGTGAAAGAGAGGCTATTGAGAAAAAAAGTTGTATAAAAAGGAAAAGCAAAAGGGAGTGTTCATAAAATCATCTTGATATCATTTTTATCAAACAAGTTACCCAACCTTAGTGTAAATGTATCAAACACAGTATGGAGGAAATATTTTGACCCTTCAAGACCCAAATATTTACATGCAATTTCTCCAGACTGATCTCTACACATTTCATTGAAGAACACGTTGAGAGAATTTGATAAAAGATCAAAGCATTTCCCCTTAGTGATCAATTTATCATTTCTCATAACCTTTTCTCTTGATTATGAATTTATATTGTTGGGAGAAAATTGATGTTGATCGCTCTTGCGAGTTAAAGGGTAATGGCTTATAGTACAGTCTACTTACAAGTCTATGAAGCATAAGATAAGACACGAGACAAAGAGATAACACTACAGCTGCCGACATAAAATATCCAAAGCCAGAGCTGACGGCATCTTTTCCTCCTAAAAAGCAATAAAGAATCCATATATACATCTTTGAGTAAATTTTGGATTGTTTCTAGTTCTGCAAGCTCAGAAGGGTGATCAATGTTTGAGGAATAAAGATGGATTGGTAAAAAAAATCAGGTGTAAATATAATTAAAATGTTAGTGAAGGGTTGTCACATGAAATTACCATCTTCTTCATGTACTTTTTAAAGTGCTTTCAAGGCCAGTTTTGCTTCTCAAGGTCTATTACTTGTTCAAACATTTTAACTTAACCCTTTCTAAGTAAAATTTATTGCAAAAGGGTAGTCGGCAGCACTAAACAATATGCCACAAACTGTCATAGCCCCCCCCGCCCAAGACAAAAATGCATGTGACATGTGCAAGTGTAAGGAAGTTATACTTGTAATAACAGGCTGGTCTAACTTTGTTTGTAGAGTGGCAGTCAAGCAGAACAAAGCTCATAAACTCAAATTTGTGCCTGACAACTTTTTTGCCACATCCACGTTTCGGGAAAATTCAACTTCACGGGCTCTTGAAGAAATTCAAGAATTTTTCAAGAATTTATTTCAAATCAAGGATATTTTAAGAGTATCCTTTTTCATGCAAGGTCTTTTTGAAACCATGTGAGCCCTGTGACAGAAAGACAAAATAACATTACATGTACATGGCATATGCTTAATTACATAAATCAACTTACCAAGAAGAGAGAAAATACTTGCTAGAGCAGCAAAAGTACCTCCTACACCCTGTTTCATAAAAAGATTTACTTATCATTGTTATAATGCATTTTGGTTTAATAAAAAAAGTATTATAGCACAGCTAAAATACAAAAAATATGTGAGACAAGCCATAGATGAGGCAACATCATCCCCAAGGCACAGCAGCAAGCAAAAATAAAAGTTCACACTAAACAAGTTGAAGTTCCAACCTGTCCAGTCATGACGGCACCAGTGTACTTTGGAGGCATCATTCCACACACACCAAAAAGTCCACCCTGATAAACAGCACTGAACACTGGAGAGAAATATCAAACAGTCAACGGTTATTTGACAGCCAGGAAAAAAAGAAGATTAATTCAGGGCTTTTTTTTTCTTGTACTAGTACTTACTGTTGATTAGGATAATAGTTCCAATGGTTACCATAAAGAACTGATTAGTCCCTGAGAAGTCAAGCAAAGGACCAGTTATGGTAGTGAAAGGAATATCTTAATACACAGCAAAGGAAAACTTAAAAAATGAAATGGGGAATAGAAAAAAAAAAATCAAAGAAAAGAAATCAAGTTTTTAAAATGCTCTCTCGATATGATCTGCAGTGTTTAGGAAACCGGACTTAATAAATAGAGGATATTACATGGCCGCGCGGAGATATGAAATTTCTCTTCGAGTATTGAAAAATAAATATTTCTTCAACACGAGAAGAGAAATTTCGTATCTCCAAGCGACCATGTAATGTTCTATTTATTATACAAACACCAATGAAATACTAAACCATTTCACTTTAATAGTGTTTTGGTGGCCTGATTTATTATGTAGCCATAACAAAGGTGATATTTTCACATGTGAAAATAACATGTTATTTTCACATGTGAACATATCAAGTTTTCACCAAAAGCTCACCTGGTATTTCATTGGTGTTTATATAATAAATATTATTATTTTGTCAACTTACAATTTGATGTGTCAACCACGACAAGAGCAGTTGTCAAAACAAAGCACAACGTCATGATACAGACTGACGTGAGCATTCGCACTTGGAGAGAAACCCTAAGAAAGGAAAATTCAGAAAAATGGTAAACCTTTTAGTCTCTACTTTTACCTGGTTACTGATGAAAAAAATTCAACTTATCTGCCGAACACAGCGATCTTCAAAAAACAAGCGAGTTACGATAGAACTGAGGTCTACGTCAGTGATTTGTACATGTTGTTGTTCAATATTATATTTTATCCTTGGTTTAAATTTTCGCAAACATTGTCATACATTACCGTACCGAAAAACAAAGGCAAGAAAATTTAAACCAAGGATAAAATTGAACCACAATAAACACATGTAGCTACTAAACATACATTTTTTGTTCATGATAAAAGTGACACATGCATTGAAGGTTCCTATGGATTATATGTTTTTACTCTCAATTAGGCATACACTATACTCAAGGAAATTTCTATGCACAGCAACGATCAAAATGATATTTCACCAAAAAAAAATATGATGATATCAGTTGTACCAGTAGTATTCACAGCCTAGGGCCCTACAAGTGCAGTTATTACATGTACTTGACACTGACAGGATTAGCTCAGTCGGTAGCGTGCTTGATCGAGAGTGGGAGGTCGCGGGTTCCCCACGCTAGACCACTACTAACTAAGAATAACCAGAAATGAAGGTACTCCCTTTGCAACGCTAGACCTTCGCATGGCTCGGATGAACACATAAAATGGCCGCTGCGTCTCCAGTAGGAGACAAATATAGTGTCCTCAATTAGTACTTCCGTGCTAAATACATTGATACTCAAAGAAAGCACATTTTTTAATTTATTGTACAGCCTGTAGCATGTTAGGCGTTAACTGATAGCCAGTGTAGGAAATACTCAAAAACCTTTCTGTGGTATTTTTTTCTTGAAAAGCTCTATCCTCTTAGCCACTAGTGAAAACTCAAAGGTCAAAAGTAGATTTTCTTTGGAAGTGGTCTAGTAGCCACTGACTAAAGGTACTTAAGACATATTTTTTACATAGCAGTAAAAGATACTTACTTGTGTTTGAAAAGAGTGTTTATTAAGAACATGATAAGATTAGGGGCCATGGCTGCCACAGAGAAGTAGTTCTCAAAGTCATGCGCCCAAGCGCTTCCCTTCAACTTCTGAGCAAAATACTGCAACAAACAGAACAAAGCATACTATCAACTAAACTGATACTTAATTCACATGACTTACAGCTGTAGAATTTCACTCACACTATTATTTTCAACTTAAATGATATTAATTCTTGATATTTTCTAGTGTTAGCTGATTGCATTCTGGAACATTTGGTTGACTGTAACTTTGAAAGGACAATACAAATAAAGAAGTTCCAAATAAATGTTTTGCCAAAAGTATAGTATAGTAAGTAGTAACAAAAATATGAACAATAAATTACTGTGTACTTACTGCATGTGCAGTTATAAACATGTTCCATGGCAAAAGAGTCCCCACTCCTTGAATGAGCATAATTAGGTAAACCTCACAAAACCTGCAAGAAAGATTAAATCATCCGTAAATCATCTTGCACAATTTTTCAACTGCCCAGGAGGACAGAAAACTGAGGTTTGATCACCCGATATGTAACTATGATACAAAAGATTTACAGGATTGCAAAGTACGGAGTGAAAATAAAATAACTACAACATGAAGTTTCTTTGGACTACCTTAAACTTTTCATATTTTCTTCAGCTCTAAATTAAGAGAATTTTTAGCTTCAAGGTAAAATATACCAATGAAGATGCAATTTTGATGTTGTAGTTGAAATGTTACTCCTTTCTCACCCAGGAAACTTTGCATTCTGTATTCAAAGTCGCATCACTAACTTCAAGGACAGTTTTACGACGTTAAACAGAATGCTAAGGACCACTTTATTTCAAGAATTCAAGGAAACTAGCCTGACCGGGCACCAAACACTGGAGTTAATTTTTAGCTCTGTATCAAAGAACCCTTTAAGACTATGACTTAGTCACTAAAGGAATCTTGTATTCTGGGGAGAACATTTCAGCTTTTTATATTCTAAAGTTGAAATAAAAGAAACCTTATAAGAGTTGCTGATCTCTCTTTTAATGACATCCCCTTTCACACACACAGACACACACCATTGAGCCACCTTTCAAAAATCGAAAACCCTGGCCCACCGGATAAACCACTATCCAGTTGATAAGGGAAAGCAATTATTGCATTCCCTTATCCACTGGATAGATGTTTATCTAGTGGATAGCGCTATCCAACATTTGAACAACAGTTGTTCCAGTGGATAAGGGAAAGCAATAATTGCTTTCCCTTATCAACTGGATAGTGGTTTATCCGGTGGATAGCACTATTCAATGTTTGAACATCTGAACAGGAGCCCGGTAGATAAGATTTTGGGCAACACTGACCATACTGTATCTATGCTCTGAGGAAAACTGAAGGGAGCCAAGTGTTCTGAACAAAAATCCAAGGTGTCCACTGTTCAGAATATGATTTGTATGAAAAAAAAATAATAATAAGATTTTCTAATTGCCTTAGAGAAACTGTTGGGCACCAGGGGAATTGGGCTCTGCTAGAGCACAGCCCAGTATGCAATATGGGTACACTGAAGCATGTGCCTGATAATTTACAAAAAGGCTTCCAAATCATCATGCGATATAACTGTGACATAACAACCCATGCGCTAGCCCCTTTTGCTGGATAGAGACCGTAACATGGTCTAAAAAATCTTAAATACTAGTAAGCAGACCTTTGAGATAAGGAACTATGAAAAATGTGGTCATAATTATAACAAAGTTTTTAGCAAAGAAAATGTCTACGATTTTTTTTAATTTGGTCTAAAAGATATAAGGTATATAGCGGCAATGTAAGTCAAGAATTATAAAAAATAGCTTTATCTACAGTCCAGGATTAAATCTCCTTTAAAAAGGATATTTTTACATGGGTATTCAGTGCATCAGAAACAAAAGCATTTTGAAAGAATCAATTTCAAAGTCAATCAATACAAGAATTAGGCACATATTCCTTAACATCGAAGTTTACATTCATGCTTGGTGTTTAATTTTCTGCAAGGCTATTACATAATTCTGTTACGTAAAACTGAACGAAAGAACCTAAGCAAAGCTGACGTTTTCCCAATATAAATCACCACTTTCGTCTAAATCTAAGGTGCTTTAAAATAACAATCAAACTGCAAGCACATCAAAATACAGAATGATGAAATCATACGTTTGAACTCAAACCGCATCTAGTTCACCGTTTACGCATATCGATGTAGAAAAAGCGTAGAAAGCGAACGGAGCTGTATACTAGAAAACGCTGTTTAACGAAGAGGGAATACAGTAAAACGTTCTCAAGAAATCGTTATTTGCATCTGATATCATTCGGGCGGTATGCCGAAATTTCTGTACGAAAGGCTCCAGTGAACAATCATTATCAATAGCGGCCGAGTGTCGTTTACTTAACTATCTTTTGATTTAACGACTCTCCAGAGCTCCAGATAATGGAAATATACGTCGTGTTATGGTAAAATTTACAAACTACAATTCTTGCGACAGGACATCATCACATGATAAGGTTTCAAGTGTGTAGCAACATTTTTTTTAAAAGGCCAACAGATTCTGTTACCGAGATGATCGAAGCACGTCCGATCATATCACGTCCATCAAAAGCAGAAAGTATGAACGGTTGCCCAGATTCCTTCATTTCTACCTACAATATCTCACCTAAACTACATCTACCCTACCTATCTCGAGGTTCCATTGTGACAAGGAGAGATTTCTTCGCTGCACTCTTTTCTTTCCTGTCGAGAAAAGTTTTCGTCTCAACCTTCAATTCTTCGCCTCCGGCACCCATGACAAATCTCTTTTAGCAAAATCTGTCACCTTCCTGGCCCTCAAACTTGAATGAAACTCCAAGCGAAAAGTGCACTAAAGCACAGGATTAATAAGCTAGATTTGAAGCCTCCGAGAAGTTCTTTCTTCTACAAGAAGAGACTGCTCGACGACACTTCGCTCTAGGTTCCTCTTCTTCAATTTCAACCGCAAATCTTTTTTACAGGGAGCGGTTACAGAGACCGGAAACAGCCGGGGTTTTCCAGGCCGAAAGAAACTAATAACTGTGGGGGAGGTGTTAAAGGCAAATGCTAAACATCAGGTTTTTACAATAAAAAAGAATCATCTATCTAGATTTACCGAGCTACTTAAATATCTAGAGACCTTCATTTTTTCAAAAAAAAGGAAAAGCTACGGCTAAAAATCAGTTATCCATTAAACGGGTGTTTAAAACTCTCTTCTTACTACAGCCCCCTCAATTTCAACCAATCACGTGAAAGTCACGCTTGTAACATGCAGCTCTAAAATCATCGTGATTATTTTTATTCCTTGAGTTCACAATCGATCGAGGCAATTTCTAGTTTTGGGAGACTAGAATATAGCCTTTCTTTAGCTCATTATAAATCAAAAAGTCTTTTTTATAGAGTTTTTTTCGCGACTATGCATTGCGTGGTTTCGTCGTTTGATGATATCTGCAAAACATTTCGTATGCTAATTTCACAACAAATTTGCATCATTATTTTCTAGAGCGAAAAAGGCAAAGAGAAAACATTTTAAGAAGAATCTATCCCTTCCCCTCTGTAAATTATAAAGCACCAAGAGGCGAATTAGTTCAGTTCGTTCTTTAAAACAAAAATATCCTCCCTTTAAAAAAGAAAATGTTACTGGTAACATAGCGCTGATAACGGAGTGTTAGTGATATCATCAAAATTGTAACTCAATCACTTCACTTCCGGTTCGAGAAGGGTCAAGTTCAAAATGAGTGTCTCATGATTTGGGGTCCTCTCTCGTGCTAGATATTTGAATTTCCTTCTTTGATTAAATCGACTTTCTCAGGAAAGCAAACAAGGTCTGAATCTATAAATACAGTAACAATATATCTGATAAGTTCAGGTCAAACTAAATCTAAATCTAGATCTAATACTGTGCAAAGCCTCTACATGGTATGTACCCAGGGATAATTGTCAAGGGTGAGAGGAGAAAGTGCAGTCCCTGTTTCATTCCCAGGATGAAGACCCACGGTGACCCACTTGGGAGAAAAAACTGCTTTGTGAGAGCACCCTGGAAAGGTAATCAAATACACCAAACTTGTTCCCAGGGCAGATCGATAACTGGTGCAGACCCCCCTCCTCTCAGGAAAATTTGTGGGGGAGGGGGAGGTCTGTATACAGGCTAAGATAACGTTTTTATTATGATAATTCTGCTATAAAAGTATCTTATTAAACTGGGACAAAAAATGTTATAACTTTGTTATGCAAGATTATTGGTTATATTGGATTGGCTTGGACTCTTACACAGAAAAATATATCCAGGTTTTTTGGGAAGTGGGCTGAGAAAAAAAATCAATTCCTCCCAACACCTGTTTCAAAAACCCAGAAATCCAGCTAGAAATTCATTTTAAAATGCCAAAGCCACAACCAATAAAAGGAAGTACAATTTTTGGCTTAGTGATAATTTGCTCATATTACAAGATCTCCAAATGCAACTGGTCTTAACATAATGAAAACAATGAAGTATAACCCCAAATTTTGAGAGTTTCAGTGTAAAAAAAATTTCTCTAGAAACTGACTCACAACTCTAACACCCCTCATTTGGAAAATGGTCATTTTTTCTAGATTGAAGAACTTCTACTTATTCCTCTAGGTACTCTCTAATCCTCCTACTGACAGAAGAAAGAGAGAGGGAAATGCAAATACTATAGTAAAATAAATAAATAAAATAAATAAATAAATAACGATTTGCAGGTAGTACATCCACATAGTGGTTTTTCGTTACGATTTGTCACGCCTAGTGGAAACGTTTGAGCCATTACAGCATTAGCTGGCACATTTTAAAAAATATATTAGTTATTTAAAGAAACCAGAACCAAAGAGAGAAAAGAAAAGTCTATGTGGATGATCGATTTATCTTTTTTTAGTAGGGAAGTCAATGTTGCTTTGTGTTCCCGTGTTCGTGTTAGACGGAACTCTTCGTAACGTCTTCGGAACGTCTTCGGACATCTTCGGATATTATCGGACCCTACGAAAAATCTTACCACTCTTAAGACGAAAAATGTCACGCCTATAAATTTAAAAAAGTTGGCAGGTTTACCCCCTTGCTCCCAAGGACGTCGAAGTGACCTCCTCCCTGGCCCTATACTCCAAACAATGGCTATGCAATTCAGACTAGGGATAATGTGCCCCACCCCCAACCACTTCAGAGGGACTATAGGGATAGTTGATTCCATCCCCTTTGACACTGAATAACCCCTTATAGAACTCAATGTTTTTGTCACTTTTAAGTAGCCATAGTCTCCCTCCCTCCTAGCCATTTTTGTCTCGTCACACAACGCTGCTCCCCAACAAATGGATTGCTGCGTGACGAGACAAAAACGTCTGCGAGGGAGACTAAATTAGCCACTGTATTTCATCATAAATTATAATACCTTATTCTCACTAAAATTTTGCGAAAAATCATCAGTCATATTTCACTAGAATTAGATTCACAATTTTTAGGAAAAAATAGAATTGGAGTGTATTAAATTTTGCCATTTTTGTATTCCTTAAATGTAAAAGTAACTTTGACCTCAGAACAGTAACAACAGAATTAATGATTTTGTTGTAAACAATAACGAACAAAGACAATTACAAAGAATCAACAGATGGAAAGTTTCACGACTTCACAAGCGAGATGTTGAAGAATTTAGCAGCAGAGGGCAGTTCGGACCGCAAGAGTGATGCGGTGGAAGGCTGATGGACAAAATCAAAAAACGGTACGATAGTACTTTCCATGCAATGTATGGCATGTATGTTTTCAAAACACCAGACAACATACTTGACAGGGCTTATTAAAAGCATTAGAAATATATCGTCAAATCTACACCAAAAAACTATCCTGTCTGGGATAAAACATCCTTTATCTACTGAAGTACGAATGAAATTGCTCAGACAAAAGCTGGACGTCTGGAAATTGATTACGAAACCCTCAGTCACGGAAATGAGCTTAAATATTTTTTTATCCTAGCTGTGCTATCTCAAAAAAGCTTCCAAGTAAACTTACTTGTCAACCGGTTTGCCGAGGTCCTCGTCACCCAAGAGACACTCTTTCGTAGCGGAATCGTCATTCTTTTTCTTACCCATAAGTTTATCCACAAGAACCAGGAGGACTAAATCTCCTAGTCTCACTGGTCGCAACTAAAGAGTCATGTTTCATTCATCGAACCAGCCAAGTCGAAGGGGAGATTAATATGTCAAATTTGATGTTTGGTAACAAAAATGGTGTCTGTTTACTTTGACGTGAGCGCCAGTAATGGGAAACATCAGACCAGCAATGATGCGACGTTTTCAAAGTGAATAAAAAAGTGTTTCAAATTTACTCGTTTTACCTTCCACGTAAAAGAAGAAAGGAACTATCTACGAACTACGCAAAAACCGAGTCGACTGTGAATTTTAAACCAACTGGAAAGCAATTAAGTAACGCATGCGCGCGTAAACGCGGCAAATTTTTCAACCAATGAGAAGGCCCTCAGGTGAGTATAATTTTACACCTTTTCTCAGGGGGACTAATGAGCCAATTCTCTCTTGCTTCTCTTCATTATTACAAATGACACACTTTAACTTTGTGGTTGATGGTTTTTTTTTTGTTTATTGTATGCATTTCCAGCTTTCCAAAGAAAAAATTAAAAAATGCTCGGGAGGAGCGGTATGGACATGCCAGATGACTGGAATTGACGTTGACTGGGCACAGGAGCCTGGGTGGGGTGGGGTGGGGTAGGGGGGAGGGCGTGGTAAGACCACAAGTCTTAAAAGATCTGGAATGTTGTATATAGTCTATAGTTTAAGAAAGTGAACATGAGTCTCACAGTTGAATGAACAACCTAAGGAGTTGAAAAAGAACCTGGAAAAATTCAGGCTTGACAGGGAATCGAACTCTGACCGTTGCAATAACCTGAGGCTTGTATAAATTTTTGTTTGTTTTGTTTTGCTTAGCTTTCCTGTAGACTTCAAAAGAGAGTGAAAGTCAATGAGGAGGGGTCTGCAAATGTAATACTAACAATTTTTTTCAAAAAATCCAATTCCAGGTAGCCTGCGAACGGAAGACGTTTCTCCTTGCTAATCGCCACTAAGGGACGTTTCGTCCCTCAGCTGCGATGAGCGAGGAGAAACATCTGCCATTCACAAGCTAAATTCCAGTATATTAGTTTCAAAATTTACAGGAATTTGAATGCAAAAAGAAATGAATCTGGCTCATGAAATAAGTTCTCTTGATTTTTATTTTCCTGAACAAATGATGGCAGTAAAGCCCATGCAATATATACACTTACAAAACAGGTAATGTATAGATACGCAGAACTTAAATTTAGTCTTATCACGTATATAATCTGCACATTATTTAAATTACTAGAATTCTAGTAGAGCTCTGAAAGAATCAATGGAGAGCTTAGGCAACAGTTTTAGCAATGGCAGTGGAAACATCAGTAATACATGTAAAAAAAGTTTACATTCATTCAAGCTTCATTAAAATCCAAAATCTTTTTGTCAAATGTAGACAAATCTTCCTGCAGTTTAAGAGATAGAAAAAACAAGTAAAATACATTTATGTCCTTCATTAATCATTTTGTACATAAACGTACCATTACATTTAAGTGGGATGAACACGTCTCCAGTCTTGTGATTTTAATTTTAAAAAAACAATAAACTAATTTGACCATTCTTGATGCCATCTACTCATTACTATTAAGCTGCTATTCATTGCCAATAATGTAACATCACCATATTATTTTTTAACAAACACCAATCACGGTGCAGGAAATAACAGGAACTTTCCATCAAAGAATTGGGTTAGGGAACCAAATAATATTTTATTTTACAAAAACTATCATGCAGCAGAAAAAATCTGGCTAACTTACCAAAAACATGTTATGAAGATAATATTTTATTCTACAAACACTATCACACTGAAGAAAATAACTGGTTAAATTCAGGCCTTTTCCCCTTATAAATTCAAAATTTCAAAGTTGATGTCTAAATGACACTCTTGTTTCTTCTTAACTTCTCTTGATGACCAAGTTGTTTCTTGCACCAGGAAACGACAATTACTAATTTCTATACAGCCTGTTTCAGCACTCCAGAAATCATAATTAGAAAGGGATTTGTACTTATGTATACAAAAAAAGGTCTTCTTTTTCCAAATTAATGTTCTTCTTAATTTTTGAACACTGAGTAAGTATTGAGCCAGGCCACAAAGTTCATCATGAACAAAGAGGAAAAGCTTCAGTTTACAGATAATTTCTGGAAGAATAATTTATTAATAATTCAACCTCTGATTAAAGGAGTTGCATTAATCAATAGGATCAACAATCAAGGGAGCTATATAATCAGAATGTCGAATGCCAAAAGAGATTTTGGGTGCTCGTCTCTTATGGAGCCAGAACTGCAAGAAAAAGTAAAAGAATAAATCAAAGAATGCATTTCAATTTAACGGTCAAAATACTTAGCATATAGTTCCTCTTTTCTAGAAATGGATTCGCTTATTCAAGTATCAGCATCATATGACTTTGATGATATTACTAGCATTCACTATTGTCTAAAGAACAGTAAATTCACATCAAATGACTTTGATCACAGGCAGCGCAAACTCACGTAACGAGGACAGGAGGCAGCGTGGCCGAGTGGTCAGCGCGTCGGACTCGCAATCCAGCGATCCCGGGTTCGAGTCCCGCTCTGGCCACTTGCTGGATTTGTGCTCGCTCGTCCCAAGTTCAAATTCTCGGCCACGCTTGTAAATAGCCAACTGGTCGCCTTCTGCCAGTTGGGGTTTTTTAATCCTGTTATGTTGTATTTGAATTATTTGTTTCTAAATATTTGAGTGGAGTGCCTGTAAATTAGCTGGACAAGCTAAGTGCAATTTCCACTGTAAACAAGCCTTTAACCTTTTTTTTAACCTTTAGGGATAGGCGACACGTGACCTTTGCGCTGGACATGCAGGTGTTGCATTACAGGCGAATGTTGAAACTAGGAGTGTTTGTGTGAGAAACACAATATTTGATAGGTGCAAACCCTAAAAAAGCATTGAACACATCATCACAGGAAAGGCCAGCAAAAAGCTATGGCATGTAAATCACTTACACCCTTTTCTTGTAATGTGAGTTTGGGTGGCCTGTGCTTTGATTAGCAATTCAGGAATGGATTGTGTACGTGTTTGAATCAATTGGATTACATTACAATCAGATGACTTTGATTGATTATCCACAAATATATTGCATTCTAGGAATCAACATTAAATTTTATTTACCTTTTCTGGAGAATAAGCCCCAGGCCCTGGTTTTCTTGTGTTGTCTCCTGGAGCAAAGTTACGTGCATTCATGGAATAGATGGGTTTCCTGTTCTTGTAGACATTTGGATCAACCACCTTGTATGTGCCTGCACCAGGGGTCTATGAGAAAATCAAACAACAAAGGTCTGCATTTTAAAGGTCAACAAGTTAGGGAAGTAAAGTAAAAAAGAAATGAATATTGTTATTAAACCCCGAATCTCAGAGTGATATCTTTTGTTGTACACCTCTTGACCTTGGAGTCAAGAATAACTTAAATAGTTTGAAACTGGCGTATTCAATGTTAATAAATCTAACAAACCTTCTGTAAATCCTCATGAAAACTTCCAATCTTTGACCTTCCTGTCATTGAATAACAAGGTGCAGAAGTCTTTCCAACTGACTTTGATCCCAGCACTGGTGGCATAGTGTAAGTATCAGGGCCAGGAAAATTGTCCTTCTTGTTGTATGGTGTACGAGATCCAAAGGAATAGGAAGGGGGAAAGCGATGCTTCATAACAGGCTTTTTCTCTGGCCCATAATCCCCTTGAAAAGTGAAAGGATTGTTAAAAAGGAAACTTTTAAAGAAAAAGACAGATTTCCTATACTATTGCACGATGTTGAAGAGCTTCAACATCACAATGCCGTCAGTGCATTGCAATAGTGTAATATTGTTATACCAAGAGCTCATAATCCAGACGGACCAACTAACTCAAGCCCATAAAACGTTTTCTCAGATCAGTTTATCTTTAGAACAATTTATTTTCTTATGATTTTTGATTACCAGTCAGTAATCAATCAATCAGCAAATACCTGAGACCAGAAGATAGTATTCTGGATGCCTTGACAACATTTACTTTCCTTGAATCATATACAGTCAAACCTCTTTAATACGAATACCAAAGGGACAGAACCAAGTGTCCGCTCTACAGAGGTGTCCGTATTATAGAGGTAGGTAATGTATGATTTTTGGCATTTCTGGGATCAAACGAACTGTCCGTAATAGAGAGGTATCTGTATTAATTATAGAGGTGTCGATATGGAGAGGTTAGACTGTATCGTGCAACGGATGCACACAAACATATCATAGAATACTGCGTTTACGTCTTTTCAACAAGAGACTACAGTCAAACATTTCATGCCATTATATACAGTGACAGGCAAAGAATTAAAAAATGTGATGTATGTTCAGAACTATTTGCTCATAAACCTATTGCTGTTTTGATATTCTTGTTGTGGCTATTCTCGTTGATTACTATAATGTTACAATTTTTATAGACTGCCCTACACTCTTTTTTCAATAGGGGAAGAAAAGTGAGTAACACCAGGCAACATATTCGGTTGCTTTCCCTTCATGTAAAGACGGTTAAATCTGTTGACAGGTTATAATTATAATCAAACGCATGTTTTCACGGAAGTTACTTTGTAACATAAATGTTACGGTATTTTTCAGATACACGTGTGGTATCCAAGGACGCGATTGATATTATACTGAACTGGAGATTGCTATTGTCCTAAAATATACACAAATTACACTATACCCGGCAAAATTTAAACAACTAAAAGCATCAACTACGATAAAAGCATAAAATGTACTTACAAGGCGCCGGCGTTTGGAAAGATCCGCCTAATTTAGTGCGTCCCGATAAACTGTACTTCTCAGAGCCATCGGTACCGTTCCGAGTTAAACCCTTCTCCAAAGAGTATGCGGCAGGTCCGGGTGTTGTGGATGCCCTCAAATTGTCTTTGTTCTTCGTACCAAAGGAATAAGCGGGAGCTTTAAGTTTCGAGAAATCGTGACCGACAAAACCTGTGCAGTTTGGTAAGAAATATCTTGCCGCGCCAGGGCCGCTAAACATGGCACTGATGGGAACCCGAGGTCTTGTCCTTTGGAACTGGTACTCTGTCGCCATGACAAATTAGTTGTCCCAACTTTAACGCCAAAATCGCGTACGAGAAACTTCGCTTTGTCCCGTTAAACTTTCTTTCTCTATCAGCTGTGTGCAAAAGTAAGCCTTTGTAACACAACCCTGATCAGTTCTTTCTCAAAAACAGCACAGCGACGACGGAAAAAACCGTAAACACAAAGACCCTTCACGATCTCCAAGGAATGGCGCGGGACACTTAGCATTGCATGAAATATGACACTTCTTTTCTTTGTCTGTCACGCACAGGCGAATCAATCAAATATGGACATGGTTAATTATTCATATCAGCACTCTTAGACCAATCGGCTGCAAGCGGCTTAGCTGATCTTAATCCCAAGGGACATTCACTTCTGTAAAACGACAAATGTCTGTGAGCAAATAACTCATTTTGTGAATGCCTGTTTCATCAATACTTTTCTCTAACTCCAAAACCACTTCTTCAACTTGTGATAAAATATTATACGCCTTATAATTCTACCGTAAGTTGATCTTTAAAATCTTACAAACAATCGATAAGTATAAACGCGATTTATTGCACACATGGAGGACTTGTCATTTACACTCAGTTTTCAATGTTTACTTTTAAAGCAAACACTAGGAAGTGTAAGAAAGGTTAAATAATTCCATTCGCTGGAGAGAAGAGTTGTTGAAAAGACTATTGAAACAAAAATACAATAGTGGCATCAATTTATATTAACACTCAAAAACAGGAATAAATAAAATTCAATTTTTTCTTCACTGATAAGATGGAACCACTGAGAAAATATTGCTCCAGCCTTCTGCTTACTTTATTTTTTTTGTCAACATATGCAATTTGACAGTGTAGCACTATATATTTACATATAATTTTTGGCACTAGAAAGAGCGTGCCCTGTGGATTAAACAGACTTGAAACAGATTTAAAGCATTTTATTGCTTTCAAATAATAGATAATAGATAAAACAGAAGATGTCAGCGTGACAAAAAAATACATCAATAATCATTAGTTAAGAAATGCCACACTCAAAGTGAGAATGAGAACAGAACTTCCCTGTCTTTAAGTTAACATAGCACTGAACAACAAAGAGTCAAACAATCCTCATATTGTTTTGAAAACTCTTACCCCAAAGTTCGATATAAAACAATAATATAGCCAGACAGAACTCTCTACATTTTAAGCCAAATAATTATTTTTCCCCGAGTGTGGGAAAAAGACAGGGTTTATCCTATGATGTGAATTCCATTTTTTACCATAACAACCAGAAGAAAAGTAACATTCTACTAAAATTTTACACAACTTTTATACAAATTTTAGTAATTTTATCTACAACTGCACATTATGCCATATCTTATCTTCGTCCAGAGTTAGCCTTCTCCAGAATGTTTAAAAACTTCCCTCTTGTCATTTCCCGCGCTAAAAAAAAAATTGATACCAGAAATAAAAATTTTAATAAAAAACCTTTGGTGATAATCCTTTGGTAATAATGGAAGTGACGGTGATTATATTTTACATGTAAAGAGATGAAATCATTAGTAATCATCTATAAATTCTTTTCTTGTATGACCATATAGCCTGCAAAAACATCCGTTTCTCCTCGCTCTTCGCCGCTGGCAACGTTTCGCGGCAAAACGTCCACAGCGGCGGAGAGCGAGGAGAAAAGGATGTTTTCGCAGGCTAATGACCATGGGACCTGTCTCCTTTAGTCACACACTACTGCAAAAGGTCTAAAATGCCAAATTATCGGGGATCTTCACGTTTTCCGATACTTATTGGGTGAATCTGGAGTATTTCTTTTTCTCAAAGCGTCCTGGATTTCTGTGATGTTGGGCTATCATTCCGACATGTCAGGAATGTCAGGGTACAATGGGCGAACATCTTTTCTTGGTCCCAAACCTAGAACAACTTAACTCTTCTCTTTCCAGTCATAAATCAAATGGCATCTGCAACAGACTCTAGAATTTCCTGATTTATCAGTGAAATCTGGGACACGTGGTATAAATTATACAGCCTAAACTCGTACCTTCATCTAACCCAAGTTGAAAAGCAAGATTTTGAAGACCCCGAACTTTTTCCATCAGTTGAGATGTGGTAAGACTCCCAAACTCTGCAGAAGAAAATGTGTAACATTGAGAAGACTTTAATTTTTTAGAGGGGGATATGGGGGTTTGTGGAATTGTGGTATTGAGCTTTTTTCAAGCAATAAAACAGTCTCCATATCACAACAAAAATCTTAAGTGTAGAGAACAAGCAGTGGATAGATTAGTAATGGTGCATCACAACATACCTTGCAGCATGTCCATATCATCTTTTTCCAGTTCAGCCAGCCATTTTGGTGGAGTACTTGATAAAGAAAATGGCTATCATAAAGAATATAAAATGGTTACCTTAAATTATTTTTTCAACAACTGAGTACCAGCGTTACCTAACAAAGTCGTTCTTGTAAACCCAGTATTTACTTGAAACTTAACATTGTTTATAATGCAAAGAATATTACTGTTTGTGATAGCTGTATATATTTGTTAAAATTAACAGCTATACCTTATGATATTTATGCTTGTGGATACATCTTAATAATAGTTATTGACAATACTTGTTCTATTTATTTAAAACTCTGTATTGGGAATTTGGGAGCACGCATAGTTAAAAAAAACCAAGGAAATGTGAAATAAAATTGATAGAAAATGATATACTACTTTGATAAATGAATATTTAAAACAAAATGCTATGAGAATTAAGTAAAGGGACTAACATATTGAAAAGTACAACAATAATAACAGTAAGATAAAAAATAAAATTACTAATCTGTCTCTTTGATAGATGCTTTGTAACTGCTCATTGATTAGATTAGATTGTACTACAGTGTAAGTTGCTAAGCCCACAAAATTCAAAACTTTGTTTTGGTCTCCAACATGTCTCCAACAGACAACTTTCAAAGATTTTCTAAGGGTCAGAGTGAAGTAAGAAAAAAAAAGAATAACAGTACTGTAGGAACTGCTTATTATGTTTAAATTAGATCCAACTGGCTACTTACACTGACAGCCAAAGAAGCAAAGTCAGACACTCCAGGAACTGTTGAGGGAAAAGATTTGATTTGATTTTTTAAAAAATATTTTTTGGGACCATAAAATAATAATAAATTATTGTATTATTACTGCTGCTTAAAGTCAGTTAACTGGTATTATTTGCAGCAGGGCTCCCTAAAAAAGGGTCTAAAATATGACCCTTCAACTTGTTAGTTTGTGCCATTCATTTAACTAATGCACTTGGAAATTGAATTGATTTTTCTCACATTAATGGTTGATGAATAGGTAGTTCGGAATTGTGAGAAGGGCGTACAAAATGTCAAGGATGTGCTCTGAGAAAAAATCAAAGGGAGCCCAGTGTTCTGAACCTGTCAAATCCAAGGTACCCAGCGTATGATGTCTGTGAAAAACTAAGATTTTCCTAGTCTCCCAAAAGCAAAAGTTAGGTTTAAGGGGCCACCAAGCACTGTTAGAGCACAACCTTAAATATTATCCCTTTTTACAAGGCTGCTTTGATAAGAAGGAAAGATGAAGCAAATCCTGTTTTTCGTGTGTTTTTTGACACTTTATTGGAGCAAAACTGCAATCATTAATGAATTAACAAGAGGAGTGCAAGACATATGGTTAATGAAATAAAATAAAAATAATTAATTATTATAATTACAAGAATAATTAAGAGAACAATAATTTCAGACCCTAGACCCATGAACGGCACAATATTACAATAATTCAATGCTGTCAAATAGCTTATTTTACCCTTGAAAAAAAAAATTAATTCAAACCTGAGATGTACATTGACAAAAAAAGTGAAAACGAAAAAAGACAACAAGAAAGTGGATGTGGTAGGCACAGTCACTTCGACCTGTGACAGGGACAGGTTATCAATAATGTCCACGTGCAAGATCTTTCCACCTCATAAGTATTAACCAGAGTGTTTTCTGATTGGTTACCTGAGCAAGATGGGTCTACCTTGCCTGTCCCTGATTCCTTGTGTGGTTCCCATATTTAGAGAAAATCTCTTTAGGCCATATTATAAATACTTAAATGGCAAAGCTTTTTTGGTCAAGGTGGCTAGATTTTGGCAGTTTAATGACCTTGACTTTATTGTGAACCATAACAATGGCAAAACAAACAAACAAATAAAAAAGAATTGGCCAATATGAGCCATGGACACCTCATGCTTATTCACTAATGCATATGTATCTGTTCCCCAGGTAAGGTGTTTCCTCATTGGTCACGGAATGGTCAATACCACATCATTGTTTATCATTATTTCCCATTGTTTCACGGTTAGGGTATCGAACCAATTGGCTTTTAGGGTTAGGAGAGCTGATCATGACCCATCCGTACTGGCATACTGTATTTCGCGGACTGGACTGGACTTCCGGACTTGGTCCCGGACTCAAAATTTGTAAAAGGGACTCAAAATTTGTATTAAGGGACTCAAAATTTGTCGCGGACTCAAAAATTTTAAAACGCGGACTCTAAGGGTGGGACTCAAAATTTGTAAAAAAAAATTCGGGAGTCCACATTTTTTAACCCCCATTTCTAATCCCCCTAAAAAAAATAAAATAAAAGAAATAAAGTCAGATCATGAGGTTTTTTTTACACATCCCCCGCTGGGTTGTAGCTCGGGGGTCGTAGCTTGCAAACCAGTCTATTTTGTTTCGGGACTAGGTTATAGTTTGTTGTGTTACTTTCAAAACTAACACACCATCGATATCTTAAATGCAATTGAGCAAGCCCAAAACAGTTTTACAGGGCCGAAAAGGAAAATATCAAGGAGCCCCAGTTAAGGGAAGGCCAAAATTTCCCACGCATTATTACACGCACCAAGAGCCTATTATTTATGGGCTCCTGACGACGCAGCATTCACTCCTTCATATTATATTTTATTTTAGCCTTTTTCCCAGCCTCCACACCTGAAGCATAAGATTTTGAATTTTTATTGTCATTACGTGACACTGGATTTAACGATAACGGAAATCAGGCTGTTGACCTTTGTTGACATTCAGCTGGGAAACAGTTTCAATATTTCGGAAGATAGTCCCTCAATCTCATCTAATCAACCTTAAAAGCAAGCCAACGGACAGCCTCCAACAATTCCAAAGCCCTTACCAGGAATTTTAGTGTTTGCCAGATTATCTTTTCGAAGTTCAAAATTGTGCTATTTGGGACACCCTGAAGCCAGGCGGGACCAAGAAAATGACCTCGTTTTAAATGATTGGTCAGTATTTATCAATAACATCCAGATTAACGTCGGTATATTATCATGTTAACCCTTATTGAGGGTAAAGTAGCCTTTCAACCAAATTCATGCAGAAGAACGGATCTACAGCCTTTTCTTTCCGAACACAAATTTAATTTTCAAAGGCTTGCAGATATGGTCTAGTTGAATTGTTGTCTGTGAGCCGGGATTATGACATCACATGTTAAAGTTTTTTTTGTTTGAAGTAATGTTTTAAAGTGGATTATAAATGAATTGAATTGTTGTCTTATGATTATGACATCAGATTATGTTCCTTAAACGTTTCATTCGAACTGCGTTTTTATAACAAAGAGATATATTCATTTAATAAAGCAAATATTTTAGTTATTTATGTATTTATTTTTATTTCATCGTTTTCAAATTTTTGAGAGAGCGTTTTCAAACAAAATTTGAGTCTTTTTAAATTTTGAGTCCGCGTTTTACAAATTTTGAGTCCGCGTTTTACAAATTTTGAGTCCGCGTTTTACAAATTTTGAGTCCGCGTTTTACAAGTCCGCGTTTTACTAGTCCAGTCCAGTCCAGTCCAGTCCAGTCCGCGAAATACAGTATGCCATCTGTACTACGTTCCCCATTCCCCCATTGGTCCCCCTCCCAACCCAAAAGGGATTTTCATTAATATGGATAAATTATTTTTAAAAATATATAGAAAATAAAGTTCTTTTTTTACACTTCAAATCTCAGTTTTAATCCTGAAATAAAATTGACTCACTTTGTTCAGGCCACAAATCAGGCGAGGCTCTGTCTAACCGTTCAAAACTAAGAAGACCTTGTAAGCTTTGATCAAGTTCTGCAAAGTGAGGTGAGGATGAGTAAACAATACAACGTGTATTTCGGCATTAGATTGAAGATCCAAATCCATGAAAAACAGGGAAAATTGTAACACAGACCTGGGCTTGGTGAATCCATCTCGCTAATCTTTCACAATTCTGCGACGAAATGCAGCATTAATGTTCTACAAACGGGACAACAAAGTCGACAAACAGAACCAAATTTTCAAAAATTTGACTTCTGCGCCTCGTTCTGCTAGCCTCGTTCCGAGAATGAGGTTAGATAGTTTTCTCCAAATATGGTAAGGGTCATTCCCGTCATTCTCACGTGTCTTTCCCACCCCAGACCCTCCTCTCTCATCTACATAAGGGTCCCAGAAGCCCTTCTGCTCCCTCTTCTACGTTCGATTTTGGCCAGCAACTGGTTCTTGGCTTTACCAGAGAAAGTTGCGAAATGCTTCGATCTGCTCGTTCTTTATCGCGTTTGCTAAATGGCAGCAGAAAGGTATGACTCACATAAAGAAAACTGTCATTTTTGAGAAGATGCATTGATTTTACCTTACATGACCAGTGCTAGTGAACCTAAGTTGTAGATTTCCAATAAAGATTCTCTGTTGTGTGTCTTGCTTCTTCCGTTGCGTCGTTTATCACCGTTAGCCATAGCATATTGCCTCTAAATTGAATACTTAAATTTTTTGCGCACTTAAGACACTAGACCCAGAGTTAGTGATCAGTACTTGTGGTAAATTCTAATCTTCTAAAATGTATACTTGGGTTTGTCCATTATTTATCACCCCCATCCCCCTTGGTTTTCCCTCCCCGTAAACAGATGGCTGGAATATTGGAACCCTCAATTTTTTTTCAGTGTTCTCAGAAAATTGACAACCAAAGGTTGCTAATTATGATTATATTATAACAATTATTGTGATAATAGTGATAAACAAAAATAATGATAATATTAATATTATTAATTAAAATAGTACTAATATGAGGCTTGGCATGATGCGAAGAATTATGCAGATTGATGAGGGAGTTAGCCTCCTCTACCGTTAACCCTTTGAGATCTGACTAATTCTTCAAATCATACAAAACCAAATCCAATTATAATATTGTATGTCTTATCATTCATTAAAAATTTTTCAGACAGCACTCTTGGCATCAGTGCAGAACAGGTATTACAGTAATGGCAACATTGTAAGTATCAATAACGTAAATCTGCTTTGTACCATTACTTTTGGTCATGCATATTCTTCTGCTTCAACCAAATAATCAAACAGTAATAATCATTCATGTTTAATAAAACAAGGGATATGGAAATTCAATGGTTTAATGTGATTATCTTGGTACAAGATTTAACTGTTTGTGTTATTGTCGATGGGTGTTTGTAAACACTGAGATAAGTTCATGTACCTCTAATTCAATATTTTTTAGCCTGCAGTTACCAAGATGTTTATAAATGGACAGTTTGTGGAGTCATCAACAGACAAATGGCATGATGTTCACAATCCAGTATGTACTGTTCTTGGAAATCTAAGCTAAGTGCACTAGTGCATTTGATTGATCTTATTACAAAATGCCTTTCAATAATTCTACGAGTCACTGTGAGTCACTCTTTTGGAATATGGTAAATCGTTTCCATTGATGATTAAAATTCAAGGAAGGTTGTCAAAGATCGAAACATTTCTTTCTCTGTTTGTGCTTTCTAAGCCTTGTTATCAAGCTGAATTTTGATATATCAAAAGGCACCCATTGTTTTACTGTAATTTAATGCAACAAATATGTGAGATAACTATTTACATTTGACAAAATATTTCCAACAAAATCCAAGAAAAAGTGACACGGAACACTATAAGACTGGTCTGACATGATTGTTTAAGTTATTTGGTTTGTTTTTCTCTTTAACAGGCAACAAATGAAGTCATTTCTCGATGTCCAGAGTCAACTTTAGTTGAGATGGAATCTGCTGTTGCCGCAGCTAAAGCCGCTTTCCCTGCGTGGTCTGAAAGCTCAGTTCTATCACGCCAGCAAGTCATGTTTAGCCTTCAGCACCTTATCAAGAAACACATGGTAAGAACAAAATGTATATCTTAACCCATCACCAGTCACATTGAAAGATACCCTAACTCTTTAAGCCCTAAGAGTGATCAGCATGAAATTTCTTCTTGTAATTTCAACCCTGCTTGCTTTAGAGCCTCCAACAGCTCAGTATAGTTCGAGTATCCAAACTAGAACTTGGAGGGTCTTAAGTTCAATTCTTAACTGAAGCTTTGTTTTTTTTTAGCCTTGTGGTGGTGTAAAAATATCTCCTTCTTCCAAAGTATCAATTAATGTAAAATATTATGGAATAATGTTATGATTACCTTGCATAAATTTACTGGACACCACTGCTTATTTTTTGTCCTTGATAACAGAATGAAATTGCTGATCTTATCACAGCGGATACTGGCAAAACAACACCTGATGCCCTTGGCGAAGTACAACGAGGATTACGTGAGTAAATTTGTTCACGTAATACATATGATAATAACATTCAATTTGAAAATGGTTTTCACATGGCATGTTATTCTGTTGCCTGCTGGTACAGTGCTGTATGAGTCCAGTTCATGGCCATGAGCTTCTTTTGACACCATTTGTATGGTTCACATCATCTCCTTTGCACTTTTATCTACTTTATGCTTTCAGGCTTAATTGCACCTAAAGTTAATATAGATTTCTATGACTTGGTATATTTGTCCCAATATTTAACTATTGATTTTTAGATGTAGCAAGATCCATGTTATGTTAGTGTTAGGAATAAACATTGGCTGGACAGAGAGCCAACCTCCAGATTTTTCAGTTTTGGAAACTTGAATGTAAAAATAATGTTCAGTTTCTTTTCTGCTGAGTGAAGCAAAAGAGAATAGAACAGAAATTCAAATTGTTCACAAGAGAGAATCATTAAATAGTTAATGCTGACTCCATCAATTCTTCCTTTTTTTCAGAGGTTGTTGAACATGCCTGCTCAGTCACTTCACTTCAGATGGGTGAAACAGTGTCACAGATCACCAAGGATATGGATACCTACTCATACAGAGTTCCCATAGGAGTCTGTGCAGGAATTACACCGTATGTAAATTTTTGTAAATTTGTTTATTTTTGGTGGATTGTTCTTGCTGAAAAAGCTTGTTAAAGGTTACAAAGTAAGGGGAAGCAATCAGGTGATTGCATCTACTCAGGTTAATTCCACATTTGGATGAGATAGGTTTGTGTTGAAATCCTGATTGTTCTTGCTTTCAATTTTTCGGTAAAGCATCCAATTTGGTATTGTTATGGAAACCTGTTTTTGTAGTTACATGGACACTACAGCTTAAGAACTGGTCGGAAAAAAGAATACATTATTTTTTGTCAAGATTAGTGGAAAAAAAAGCATATTTATCATTTTTTTCTCTCTCCAGGTTTAATTTCCCAGCTATGATTCCATTGTGGGTAAGTAAAGGATTTAATGTAAAAGCTGATGTATTTCCTTTGAGCTAATACCGAGCCTGACAGGTTTAAGAAATACACGCTTCTTGTTTTTTAAATCAAGTAGTTGATACTACTAAGCAACTCAGTCCTGCCCAGTTCCCAGTTGCCTTGTGAGCTCATTTAGTTCAAGCACTGCTCAGAGGTCAAGGGTTTGAAACTTATAAAAGTCAAAATTGCTTCAGGCTTCCTTTTGGCAATTAAAAACGTTGCCTCTATAGCTGTGATGATTGTCTTTAAATTTAATTCCTGATCCTGCAGTTCCAAGACAAGTTCACATATTCATTACTTAATTTTCCTCCTTTCACGGGTTATAACGTAACAACTGCATAAACAGTTTCAGTTGGTTTGTTACCTTTGGAGCGCTGCATATTACAAAGGTCAAAAGTGCAAATCTTATACAATTTTTTCTGTCTCTCTAAAATGTTGTGCAAAATTGGCATCATATAATTGACATCCTTTTTGCATCTGACAAGACTTATTAGTCCCGTTTAATCTTTTGCCTTTTATTTGTTCACAGATGTTTCCCATGGCATTAGTTTGTGGCAATACCATGGTGATCAAACCTTCCCCAAGAAATCCATTAGCCCCCATGTTTATAATGAAGCTTGCTCAAGAAGCGGGTGTCCCTGATGGCTGTATCAACGTTTTCCATGGAACTGTTGAACGTAATATTTCCACTTTCTCTTCTGTTATTTTTATATAGAGCTTTGCAAATTATTTCATAAGGGGAAATGTTTTGGAAAGCTAGTAATAATGAGTAAGAGTTGTTAAGGGTTTCAGGACCTTGTAAAGGTGTTTAGACCATTCTGGAAATAGCACCAAATTCAACTCAATCTCATATTTCAGACAGTTGAAGTTTTTGAATGCTAGGAATTTGATTGTTCTCACAGAAAGCCTAAGTAACCACTGCATAAAAAAAAGTTTTTTTCCAACCTTAATAGGACCATTTATACGAGGAAAAATAAGATGTGTCTTAAATAAGACGCGAACTGGACCATTTATACGAGCATGTCTTATCTAAGTCTTCTGTATACTTAAACTTACTTTTAAAGGGTAAGTTTATAATACGAAGATAGCAATTTCATTAGCAATTATAAATTGTGATGGTTTAAAGTTAAAAGGGTCTACTTACACAAGCAGATGTCATGCATTAATTTTGTCCAGGAGGTCTGTTATCGCCTTCTCCTTACATTATAACAAAAAATCTTTTTCCTCTGCAATGGACCAAGTGTTTCTTTTTGCCTCTAACGGCATGCTCATTGTATTTGAGCGAAGAAAAAATAAAGCAGAATAGACAAGGAAACAAAAACACGTTGTAATTTGTAAACAATTTTTTCCCGCCAGTGGCCTGCCAGTCCACCGCGGGGCAAGCGATAATTTTTCCGCCAAAAATTAACGCATGCGTACTATGCATTCGGGTCTTATGTAAGATGCGAAGGTCATTTATACGAAGTTTTTATCGTCTTAGCTAAGATGCGTCTTATCTAAGAACAGGTGTTAAGGGCTGTTCTAAAATAAGACGCATCTTAGCTAAGTTGCATCTTATTTTAGACAAGATGTGCCGTTTATACAGAAAGTGCACATCTTATCTAAGACGCGTCTTATTTTTCCTCGTATAAATGGCCCTAATGTTGTTTGCTTCTCTCTGTAAAAACATTGCATAAGATTTTATTATCGATTAACAGGATCTTCAATGAAATAATTGATTGCTAATGGCTTTAGGTGCTTTTGTGTTGATCTGTTGATTTGATAATGAGTTGTTTCCAATTATATTAATACATAACGTTAAGGTTTGGTCATGAAAATTGGAGCTTGAATTTGAGCTTTAGATTCATTAAACATTACTTAAAAAAACGTTGGTGAATTGTTAATAGTATTTTGAATGTTTTGTAGCTGTCAGATTCATCTGTGAGCATCCTGATGTTAAAGCAATTTCGTTTGTTGGCTCTGATCAAGCTGTAAGTGCAAGCTTTTCCGTCATAAATTCTGTTGTTCTCAACTAACACCATTAGGCATTTATTTCATTTATTATCTATAATTCTTATTTTTCCAGGGAAAATACATTTATGAGACTGGCTCAAAAAATGGAAAAAGAGTTCAATCAAACATGGTAAGACAAACTTGTAGTTGAATGATTTGTTTTGCAATGTAACACAATAAAAACTGACATAACAGAAAAATTAAGCTTCATAATGTGGACTATGTTCTACTTACACTCTTGTGTCACAGTCTGAGATAAGCTTCTTTGCAAAAATCTGGCAAAGAGTTACTACAACAGACTTGTCTGAACTGCTGCACAACGAAGGGCAAAAGGACCGGTAAAATATGGGGTGTGAAACCAAGGAATTTGTTAAATGGGTGTTCATTAAATTGAGGTTTCACTGTATTTTTTTTTCTTTCAGGGAGCAAAGAACCATGGAGTCATAATGCCAGATGCCAACAAAGAAAATACCATCAATCAGGTTTGGCTTGCATAATACTGTACTAACTGCCTCGCTTAAGTGGATGGTGGGTGCCTGGGGTAGATACCCAGGGACTCCCACCATGGCCAGCCAAGCTAGCCCCTAGATAGGATACTGCCCCCATGGCTGGCAAATCCCCACAATCCAGTCATGAGCGCCCATTCCAGGCACCTGTCATACTGATGAAACAGTGGAAGGAAGAAACATAGGGGATGGGGGAAGATGCTAAAACAACCACTTCACAGACCACTACACAAACGCTCAGTGAAGAACTCAAAGATCCTAGGTTGAATGGGCTTGCCCTCTGGATGCCTGCTAAGCTCGTGGACTGCTTGCTCACTAAGCTCATGTTCGTTAACTTAGTTAATTTCATTAAAACAAATTTAACCTGTAGTGAAATGCTTGTTTTCTTTTTGAACCTGTTCACATTCACTTCATACTTTTCTCATAAAGTGACATAAGTGGTTGCCATTGTAATGTTTCAGCTCATTGGGGCAGCTTTTGGTGCTGCTGGCCAGAGGTGCATGGCACTCACTACTGCAATATTTGTTGGTGAAAGCAAAGACTGGATTCCTGATGTTGTAGCCAAGGCAAAGGAACTCCAAGTTAATGAGGGTAATCTGTCATTGTGTTAATAATATACTCATACCTTGATTAAGTAAAAATGATTTTTGTTGATGTGGTTATTAAACATGTGCGAGCAACCTACAAACAACGAATAGCTATGTGGGTACCCACCTGCACCATTGGGAAAGGTTGGGTTTGTGCAGGCAGTTTTTAACTGCCAGTGTCAATTGTGCTGTGTGAGATCATTCAGTAGCACCCTTTTGTTAATCATTGTCTTTGTGTGCTGCTTTCATTTGATTGTTCGAAAATTAATTTGGTTGGTTTTGTTTGTGTCATATTGCTTGTATAGTTTTCTGGAGAACCATGAAGTACATTATTTCCGTTTTGTTTTCCAAAACGCTTTGTTTAGGCCATCAGCCAGGTGCAGATCTCGGGCCTGTTATTTCCCCGCAAGCCAAGGAGCGCATCTGTAATTTGGTACAGTCTGGTGCTGATGAAGGTGCCAAGGTACGAGAGACCAGCTATTCACTAACCCTTTAAGCTCCAACATACATCTTCTCCACACTGTTCGTCATAAATTTTTTACGGTATTGCTGGAGAGAATTTGTTCCTTCATCAAGACTATTCATCTTTGGTGATCATTATATTTTCTCTCATGACCTGTATGTTTGATCAAGCATCACTATTTCTTCTTGGCTAGACTTTCTTTTGAAATTGTCGAAAATTGTTATCAATGGAAATTTTACTCTAATGTTGCCACACTTACGTTTGGCTCGGATTTGATGTATTTGATTCTTCGTTAACTTTTGTACGTCATTCATTCCTTCATTCCTTCAGCCTTTTCCGCAAGTACTATAAAAACAAGACAAAGCAACCTCACTCATTGTCTGAAAATTACTTGATGCTGACTGATCACATTTCCTTGTCTCTTAGATTGAACTGGATGGCCGTGATGTTAAAGTCAAAGGTTTTGAGAAAGGAAACTTTATTGGACCTACTATCGTGTCTAATGTCACAGTAAGTGGAAGTTTTATGGGTGCGTTTTTCTTACGCTGAGTGACACCCCAACTTTTCGCTTTTTCTCGCGTTTATCAGGCGAGCTATTCCCCGTCGCGCGAGTCTCGAGTTCCACGTCTGCTTCGTACTCGCCAAAAAACGCGAAAAATAGCGTCTCCTTTGCTGGCTAGAGAACCCGAACAAATAGATCCTTGGCGGGATCACGAGTTTGTAAATTTTGAACTCAGAGGTTGAATCAATCTGTTGCATCACTCATTGAGTCTTTTCTTTGTTTTCAGCCGGACATGACGTGTTACAAGGAGGAAATCTTTGGACCTGTTCTAATTACCATGAATGTAGATACTCTTGATGAGGTATCAGAATGATCATTGTCTAAATAATTCTCCATATATCATCTGTACATTTTTAGTCGGAAGACGCTGTTTGAGAATTAAGAGAATCGTAAAGACGGATTATGGTTACTGGTTTGCCAAAAATACTCTCTTAACTTTGGGGTGCTGTACGGCTGTTGGAGTGACGTGTTACACGGGACGATTCGCAATGACGATTTTTAGCGCAACGCAACATGGTTTGCCTTCGTTCGTTTGAAAACTGAACGCGAAAGAATAACGCCTGTTCTGCAGGCTTCTAAGAAATAGCCTATTTTTATCTTACCACTGGCGTTTGATTCCAGGCCATTGAAGTTGTGAACAAGAACCCTTATGGTAATGGAACAGCTATCTTCACAAATTCTGGATCAACTGCTCGCAAGTACCAACATAAAGTCGACGTCGGTCAGGTATGATTCCTAACTTGAGCTACTGTAATTATCTTTTCATTTTTTCCAAAAGATTGAGCTTCTATTTGCTGAAACTGACGTTTGCGCCTGAGAAAAATTGGGCTTGCAAATTGTGCCGTTGACAACGACAGTTTTCAAACACTCGGAACGTTTCAGTAAAACTTCCTAAAAACTGAGTACTAAAATTAACAACGCGTTGATTTCTAGTACTTTGCTTAGCTTTTTGTAAATTTCTTGTTGTTTCCTTTGAAAAATTTTTATTTTTTACATTCTCGATACCAATACGGAAAAAGAAGGAACGTTAAACAGTAAACAGTCTGTTTTTAAACGGCGCAACAGAATCATTCCTTCTTGTATATTTGTGGGCGGCTTTAGTGACTGATTTGTCTTATTACCATGGTGATAGACTTCAATAGCTAAGGTCAGTTATATACTGATGTTTTTATCCCCAGGTTGGAGTGAATGTCCCTATTCCCGTTCCTCTTCCCATGTTCTCTTTCACCGGGTCACGTGGATCGTTCTTGGGAGACTCTCACTTCTATGGAAAACAGGTAACTTCCCTCGCCCTCTTGGTTTCTCCCCTAGGGGGGTGGGAGGGGGGGGGGGCAGGCGTATTTCCGAACAGTGGCTGGTAATCGAGCCTCAAGTAACTCGCTCGTTACGTAATATTTCAAACAGGAGACGTAGTACTTTGTATTCAGTTCTATAAACCTATTTACTAAGTGAAGAGTACCAAACGTTGGCGTGAAATTAGAGTACAAGAGTCTTGCCTCAAAGTAAAGCAAAAAATTGTATTTATGGTGTCATTAATATTCTTAAGATATCGAGAAAATCTAAGCTGAGGAGTTTTTTCATTTTTCCAGGGAATCAACTTTTACTTGGAAGTAAAGACAATAACAAGCCTCTGGAGAGACGAAGACGCAGGGACTATAAAGGCTTCTACAGCCTTCCCCACCATGAAGTAAAAAGAAAAAACAACCTTGTATATGACACAGAACTCTTAACGCTGATGTCACAAAGTACAAATACAAAAAACCTGTCACACTTAGGTCAGCGGCAACCAATTCAACCGTGTAACTGAATATTACATAAGTTTGTCTACTGATTTTTGCCCGAGAAGAGACTGGATGCTAAAAATGAATGCTGGATGGCTGTGTTGTGCGAAAGGAAGAACATTGCAGTCTCACTTCGCACGCCTGAAAATAGAATGAGTCTTTTTGTTTCTCAGGCGATCTAGTGTGAAGAATAAACCGGGAATGGCCGGGTCCAAAGCGTGGTGTAAACATCCTCATGCATGCACAATAAGTTTGCACCCTTTGTAAGATCCCTAAAATCTATGAAACTTACCGTAATTTTCTTATAATGCGAGGAATAAAATAATTTTCTCAAGGCCTGCATCGGTTGTGATATTGATCTGATCTGCACTTTCCCCTATATAACTTCGCTTTCATTCTTTGCTCGTGTATCACGCTTTTTTGTACATTTCTTTGCCTTCACTGTACGACTACGGCGTGAAATGACCAAATTTTAAGTTTACTTGGGAACGGGAACGACAAGACGATAAATTCTACCCTCTCTGTCCGAACTTGAGGGCGTTCCCCTCTCTTCAGCTCTAGCCAAAATCCCCTTATTGCGCGGTCTTAGGGCTTTATCATTACGACAGGAAATTTTTACCGCAGGAACCATTCTTGAAACGACTTCAAGACTTCAGATTGTTTGCGGTGGACTCATAGCAAAACAGGGGATGTTAAATCATTAAGGATTAAATTAACTGCAAAAACCGTGAACAAAGATCCTGCTAGTTGTAAACGTTGGATCTCTAGAAAAGAGATCTAATCAGCCAAAATATAACTGAAGAACCAAGAACGAGAAGTCCAAAGACTACTGCAAAGCTGATTTAAGACAACGTGATGTTAAATCACTGTTTGTCAGGCGCTTTAGAGCGACGCACGTTACCGCAAGCAGAGGTTTCTTTCTGGCATTGCTTTCAGCGTATGCGAAGTAGTTCGTGTGGTTTGTCACTACTGAGTCGCATATTTGGTTTTTGTACCACAAAAAGAAACCTGTACTCGCTTAACCGGAAGTGAAACCTTTTCCATTCTACATATGCAGGAGCCCATCATATGCCGTGACGCTACAAAATGTGTACTACTAAGTTTCTTTTGTCTTATTGAATCAGTTTGTTCGAAAATTTGGGCGAAACCAGTGCCTAAGAATGCAAAAAAGTCCAGTTCCGGTTGACGTGTGTGGCCCGAAGCGGCACCCTTTTGTGGTTTGCGTGTACCGCTGGGCGTGGTTTTATTTCTCTCCTTCCATGTTGTAGAGGGGGTTCCAATTTTACGTTCAATTCGAGTTGGTGAGACTTTCCTGCTCCCAATAGATTTACTTATCCAAATCAAATCATTTAAATATGCAAACAATCTCGTATACGTAACTTTCGCTTCTTCGTGGCCGTTCTTTGTGTCGTCACGCAACGCTCCTCCCTTAATGTAACGAAGGTTTTAGTCGTGCAAAGAACAGCTGAGTAGGCAGTAGACTAAACTTTCTCGAGGGTTTTTTTCTTAGAAGGGAGGAGAAAGTTGTATTGTCTCATGTCACCTGGTTGACCCACAATGCCTCTTGGGGTAAGAAGAACGAGTGAGACTGAAACTAGTGCTGGATCAAGCTGAGAAGAAAACAAACTCAAACCCACCACAAATGGGCACCAACACGGGACAACGATTTGCGCAAGCCTAAACGTATAATTTATCTCTGAAAAAGGAAAGTTAAAGTGAACAAAGTGACTATGGCTGAAGGAGGAAGGCTTCCTTGGTCCTCTCGTCGTCGACAAGCTCGCCGTCGAAGACGGTGGAACGACAGTGAGAGTAGCGACAATGAAGAATCTGAACTCGACCGCGATCTTCTTCGCGTTGTTCTCAGCGACTCCGAAGATTTTGTACCGGATGATGTTAAAAACACATCATCTGTTGCTTGCAGTTGTGATACAGACCTTGAAGACGAACAGCCTGGTGGCACTGAATTGTCGAATGTAAAGAATTGTCCTAATCTAAGTGATCTAGATCCCGAAGTTCGACGTCTTTCTCAAAGCTTTCGCTTGCTTGCCAAGAAGGTAACCCGTCGAAAAAATGAAAAAGACTCGCGTAAAAAACCTTCTGGTGTGAATCGAAGAAGCGATCGAGACGAAAATGGCTTGGGTTATTATGCTCGTTGCTTGCAAGAAGCGAAGCGAGTTCGAGAGAAGGCGGAATTGGAGGCCCGAAATAAGCGAATGGGCTTGACTCGAAGACGCCGACCGCTTAGCATGACAAGTTTTCGAGCGGGAAATTGTGATGAAGAATCAGAAAATCCAAGGAGAAGACGCTTTTCGTTAACATGGGGATTTCGAAGAGGGACAGGAGACACAAATTTGGAAGAAGCAACTTTAGCTGTCGTAGACCAAGGAGAGAATTTTTCGCCAGGTGTACAGCCTCCTTCGTCAAGGTCTCAAGCACCCCGGGAATATGGCAGAGCAAATGCTATTAGCTTGGAAGAACTTCAACGAAGAAGAAGAGAAAAAGCACGCTTAAAAGCAGCCCAACATAAACTGGAATACTTTCTTATCAATGATATCGTTTCTGTAACAAATTGCCCCTGGTACTGGGGAAAAATCAATAGATTCCAAGCTGAAAAGGTGAGAAACTTTACGTAAGTATATCTTGTTTAAATGAAGACAACAATGAACCTATTATTGGGTACATTTCTTGATCAAAGTGGATATTTCCTTTTCTCATTAACTAATGTCATTATCAGAACCATGCCTAGTTGCTGTTCTTTTGTACGTGACCGGGAAGTTTGTAACCCAATTTTAGTTTCGTTTGCCTGCGTCGCGGACGCTCGAAACCTTCTTCCTTAGTCTTAAAAATTTCCGTGATGTTAGATCACGTTACAAAAAACTATTTGTACATTACAGATAAAAAAGGCGGAAATTGAAAGCAAACTATGTTATGCTTGCCTCTTTCCAGCCTACGATTATTGAAAATGTGAGCAAAGTATACAGACATTTTTTAAAAACGAGTTTTGGAGTTAATGACGGGAGGGAAAGGAGCCCTAAAGATTTAAAGCTACGTTATTTTGATTGATGCATTTTTGTCATTGTCAGTTTCGGATGTCTCAAGCTAATTGAACATTATACCCATTTCCTAAAGTGAACTTAAAATACCAGTTTTCACCTGTTCATTTTGTCTAGTTTGAAAACCTACGCATTGGATTTTAAATTGCTAATTTTGCTCACAGCTCTAAGTTTTCCTTTGAGGCATATTACAAATTCGAGGGGATTCTTTTCCTTATATATGAATTCAAAGTAGACAGACTGCAAATTATAGTAGTTGCTAAAAAATATATCCACGTGTCCCTACGTGTCCCATATGAGTTGCTCTGTAAGATTTTATAAGATAGGTAATACATGGCCAAGTATTCTACAATTATAAATATTTAAAGATGGAGATATCCATCTATCGATATTAAGTCAAAGGATGACAGGAAGTGGGCTTCTTGCCAGGAAATTGACGGAAGGGGAAAACCCTCCACTATACTGGAATTATGAGACCTCTCAATGCCCCCATTCAATTTAATTTTACAAAAAAATACTGAGGTCTAAAAAAAGGTTTAAATCATCTGCAACGAAAAATCCAGTGGACAAGAGGTTAAAAAACTTTTACGATTAGAAATTGAGCCTGTCTTGGCTGAAATTGGCAAATTCCCCTGGGTTTAGGGTAGTAGAGTCTGTCTTGTCCCATGCTTGTGATATGATGACCATTATAGTTATAACAGCCTGTGTAGAGCTATGTCCCTTGTACCATTTTGGGTGGGTCATATACAACTTTGATACCTTCCTTGTGCGGGAAAATGAAACTGTACTTTAAAAAAGGCGCAGTGTTGAGGCCAGAATGATATTCAGACACTTGACACTTCAACCAGCCTGACTGAATGCAAACTTCAACTTTCTTCGAACTTCTCAAAGTCAGCAAGCGCATGTAAACTTTAGTTTTTGTTTTGATTTTTCTTTAAACGATACATTGCGTGTTTTTTTCAGTTGCTTTAAGCCACTGAGGAGGAGGGAGCACTCTCAAAACATCTGGCTTTGTCATGCCCTTTCAATGCACTTTGTGATAAATGCTGTAAAAATCATCAAACATTTACGTTTCACAGCATTTTCCAATTTTTTGTACTTAAATATGCACAATTTGGTCAAACAAGCCAGAGAAAAACTCCAAAGAACATTAAATGCCAGGACTGTGCTCTAGCAATGCCTGGTGGCCTGTGGCACTTAAATTTTGCTCCCGGGCGACTAGAAAATCTCATTTTTTTGTTCATACAAATCATATGCTCGGTGCCCTGGATTTTACATCAACCTCAGAGCACTGGGTTGCCTTCAATTTTTCTTAGAGCACAACATTGAACTTTGACCAGAAGAATCTCAACATTCCTGAGCTTTGAAGGCTGTAATTTGGTGTCAAGAACAAAGATCCATGTAGTGCTTGACTGGTAAATAATATACGCTTTGGGCAGTTTTGTTTCTTTTTGCTCACATAGTTAACATAAAACAGCTTGAATAGCTTGAAATGTGAAATGACATGTTTCAGCAAAATTCCTGTAGTCCAGGCAAAGATATAAAAAAATTTGATTGTTGTGAAGGTGTTAGTGGTTGATGTAACACAATGTTTTTGTTTGTTTTCTACCCAAGGTGCTTGAAGGTTACCCAGATGGGACATTCCTCTTACGCGACAGTGCACAATACCACTACCTGTTCTCTGTGAGCTTTCGCAGGTATTCCCGCACCTACCATGCAAGAATTGAACAATGGAAGCATAAGTACAGCTTTGACAAACCAAGTGACTATTCATATTATTCAACAAGTGTCTGCCAGCTGTTACAGCATTACTCCCGAGCCGAGCAGTGTATGTATTATGAACCTATGTTACTGAAGCCCCTACAAAGGAAAGTACCACCTTCACTGCAGGATCACTGCAGAGCAGCAATCTGTAGCAGAATTACTTTCCAAGGAGTGAGCGAACTTCCTCTGCCAAACTCTATGAAGATATTTTTGCGGGAATTTCATTACAAAGTCCCTGTGAAAAGGACGGAGGACAAGGGCACACAAACACCAGCTCCCAAGAAAAGACTGAATTCTTTTTTTCATAGAGACTAGGTATATGTAAAGGTTTTATTCGGAAGATTTGGTGACTCCTATGTGAGAGCAGGAGAATGATGCCGCATTCAGGAGACTCCTGGATAATCCGAGAGAATTAGCAAATATGGGTTAGTGGGAGTTCAACTGTCCTCACTTCTACACTTATAAACATATCGACTTTCTCTGAATTAGTCATTTGCTTGGACTTTTTTGTACTGGCAGTGGATGTTAAAATGTTACTTTAATTTATAAGGTGGTGGATCCAGGGGAGGGGCCCCGGGGGTGCCTCCCCCCGCCCCGCTCCATTTTTAGACCAAACTGAGGCCCAAAGGGCCAAACAAAAATTTTTCTAGCCCCCTCCCCCACCTCCTCTATCTCAGGGTCTCGATGACCAGGCCCTCTCCTTATCTGAAGGTCTGGATTTGCCACTGGTTATTACAATTATTGCATTAATTTTTCCACATTTAGGAACAAGTCTTGAACCTTTTGGCAACATACAAACACAAAAAAACATCCTAAACAATTTCAAGTTCCTTTTAGCTTAGTTTATGTAGTCTGACAAGAGAGTACCTACAAGTTAAAAATGTAAACAACATTATACAAGATGTTTTGAATCAGTAAAATTGTCAAATTTATGCAGACATACAGAACTGACATATAAACTTTGGAGGTGAAAGTTTTTACATTTTTTACATCTCTTCTACTATTACGGTATTTGGGTTGGCCACCCAGTTAAATGTAGGATTGCCACAAGCATAATATCATCTTGTAACTTTACTTTACCCTGGCATATTTTGAGGGTTTTTCCGAGATTGTGTGACAATCATTGCTGAAGCCATGAAGGTTAGATGTAATGTGCCAAGAGAAGAAAAACCTTTTTGCAATTTTAACAACACATTTAGATCTTATTTTGTAACTCATTTTCTTGGAAAGCTTGATAAACAGCTTCATAACAGTTTATTGGTACTTGAAAACTTTCAATAATGTTAGTGCAAGTAGAAATTGATTTTATGTTAAAAAAAACACTTGAAAAGTTGACTGATATTTACTGGTGTACTACATTATTAGTTAGGTAGGGTATGAAAAAAATAGCAACAAATTAGAACATTGTACAGAAAACTTCGTAATTATATTCCCTAGCCTTAAAGCAGCTGTTTTAGAGAAGGCAGGAAGGTTACTGTTGAAATAAAGTAACTGCCCTTGTATTATTTTTCCTGGTCTCTTTTTCTTTGTGTTCTCTTTTTGGCAGATATGCATTTTCAAGAAATTTCCAAAAAAAGGGGTTGGCCTATTCCTAGAGTACTTTATCATTTTAGCTCATTTTGAAAGGAAAATTCCTTTAAAAGGGGGCTGTGAAGTTGAAGCGGAACAGTAGCCCTACTCACCCTCGTAGAAAAATATGAAACGGCAAACTGATCCTCGGCAAGGCGATGAAGAAGTAAACAAAAGAATAAAACAAAAAAAATATGTATTTAAACAAATTGCCAATTTAGGGCAATTTGTTTAATTATATTTATTATATAAACTGCAGTGTTTTACAAGGATTTCTACCACCGAGAAATGTGGTATCTGAACACACGTAAACATACGATGTTTTTACATGTGAAGATATCGATAATTTCACTGACATCAGGTTTCTCTCTTAAATTGTACTTAAATTCGTTGGTGTATCATCGAAACATCTTCGGGTCTTCCTCGAAAGTGCTCGGCAATCTTCGGACATCTTCGGAAATTCTCGGAAAATGTTCGGGAACGTTCGTCTGGTCTTCGGAACAATTTGAAACATCTTCGGAAATCTTCGGAAGGTGGTCGGAAATCTTCGGAAAATCATCAGAAACGCCGTCATCAGTATGTTTATATAAGAAAAAGAATATTACACGTTAGCTCGAAGATATGAATTTTATGTTCTCGCCACCGTGTAATATTCTCTATTATATTTTTTTGTTTTATTCTTTTGTTTACTTCTTCATCGCCTTGCGGTAAGGATCAGTTTGCTGTGTCTTATTTTTCTACAAGTGCAAATTTATTGTACTGATCCAGGTCTACAACTGAGAGATCCAGCACTACTCATTGGCTTGCTATTTTGGAACCTACTCACCCTCCACTCCCACCCCACCCCTGGTTCAAACTGTTCCCATCCAGTCTTTTGTTCTGTTCGTTTCTGATCTATTTGTTAGCCTTCATTCAGGGAGATTCACTTGAAAATCAACAGTTCGTTGTAAATGCTATGACAAATGCCCCAAGTGGTGCACAAGTGTTTGGTACAGGGGAGTGGTAGGGGCACATGAGACTGGGGTTTTCTTCAACAGATTTTGTAAACTGCCTCGATTGATAGTTTCCAGGAGCCCTAGATTTACTGTCACGGTAATTCTCGTTTCTGTGCCTTTTCCCTTTCCTCTCTTTCAACTCTTAACTCCCCTCCCTCCCCCACCACCGCAACCCCCCACCCAACTCCATTTTTTTGTTCACTTATACCCAGGCTTTTTTGTTTCCAATATGGCGGTGAAGATGGACCGGTCATGTACAACTTTCTAGGACCTTTCTAGCAGTTGATCTATTGAAGGGAGGAGAAAATGTATTTATCCGGAATGCGTATGGTCGCTATAGGATGGTAAGGAAGTTCATTTTACCTTTGTCTAATAATTTGCTAAATAGTATATGGGCAATCTTGTCTTTTGCCTGCGTGCAGACATCTATCTCCTTAGTTGCACACGGAAAAGTCCCTTTTCCGCGTGCAACAAAGGAAATCGGAGACGTATTCACGCAGGCAATCTTGTCTTCTTACTGCTTGTCTTTTAGTGTTTGTAATCATGCCCTTAATTCACGTGGCCACTGTGTTTCATAATACACTGATATTTCAAGGAGAAATTTGGTCAATCTTGATCAAAGGGTTTAAAGTTGTTCTATATAAAAAAACCTCAGACCTGACACCTGCCTATAGAATGAGACTGATAGTGGGATCTAGACAACAAGAGGGTGGTAATTTTCTGGACAGCAATGAAGAACTTAAATTTCATCAAGTTTCTTTTCTGATGGCTATGGAATAATCAAGTTTGTTTGTAAATTTATACTTATTGCATTGAATTATTTTTTCCTTTACTTCAAGGGTGGTGGTTATTACCAGTGGGATATCATCTTTTATATTTGTAAAGAGATACATTGACAAAAAGAGACTGGAGCTGATTAAAGCAAAAGGACGAGAAAGAATGCTACAAGCACAAAAAGAACATGACAAGAAGACCTAAAAATTTAAAGATTTTTTTTCCTACCAAAGCGAGAAGTTCTAAGAAGGAATAGCAAGACCTACACACGTACTGGTCATGATAAATGAGCCAACGATGGGGAAGTCTTTTCTGCCTCATCGTCAAAAAAATGAGACATGCTTAACCCTTTAAGTCCCAATAGTGACCAAGATCTATTTTCTCCTAACGATATCCATAGATTGTCAAGAACAAAGTCTATGAGAATTAATAAAATGATCAAAAAGAGAAAAATCTTTGATCTTTTATCAAATTCTCTCAACTAATTCTTTAAGGAAATGTATAGAGGTCAGTCTGGAGAATTTGTATGTGGATATTGGGGCTGAAAGGGTTAATATTTCTCTCGGTCTGAGTCATAAGATAATATGTTGGTCATATTTCCTCTGATGCAAAGAATAACAGTCATAAGCAATAAGCATGATGGTAGCTTGGATCAATGCACAAGCAGCATGGATGTCGGTGAATCTGAAAACATCTAACAATTGTAGCTGCATCTTTTTTTGTCATGAAAGGAAAGCAACCCGTTTCACAACAGCCAAAGGGGCAAAAGGCCAATCTCGCTTCCATAACCACCACATGCATGCCTTTTTTCAGTCATGGGTAAAACAGCGAATTATTGGTAAACAGAGTAAAAAAGAAACGAAGTATTTCGTATCTATACATGGCATGAAATATACACCTTTTCTTCACATAAAAGAAGTCAGTTGTTTGACATCCAAGGGCCAGTGGAAAGAGTGAAACATTTGCTGCTGTGTACAATCTTCATTAATTTATAGTTAACTCTGAGATGTCAAGCTTGGTTACTAAGGCCAGTCACCAAAAAACTGTGGAGCAAAGAAACTGATTTGTGCTTTATTAAAATACATTTAAAAACCTTTGCTGAATGCTATGAGTAGTAAATAGGCAGATTTGAACAAGAACAATAAAATATTATATCTTGTCCTTCTTGCAGATAATCTGCAGGACTGATTATTTGTAAAAAGCCAAATCTGATGCTATTCACTTATCGCCCAGCTAAATCTGGTGCCCCAAAAATTTCACTGGAAATTTCACTTTCGGAAACAAAACTCCACTTCTGCTGGAGTGTTCCATTATCTTGCCACATCTGAACCGGGGTGGACACTGTTGTATCTCCATCTTGTATATCAAGAACAAGATTATTCATGATGCTCACTATCTGGCCATTTCTATAGATCCATTTTTGGTTGACACCACCATTTGGAAAGTAGCCAATGCATTCGGCCCCTGCATCTCTATTTACACCACTGACATCTGCTACCAGACCCATTTTACTGACAAGGGTGTCATTTGGTCCCCATGTCCAGAGCTGATTAGCACCCCCATATGCTGGGTACATCGCAAGTAAACCACCCAGTGTAAAACCATCAATAGTAAGGACGAGATTATTCAGTTGACTTTGTATGTAAAAGTACTCCGACATTTCAGCAAACAGCTTGTCAAACATAGCTGGCTCAAGCCTTCTTGATTTTGCTATATACTGGCCTAAGATAACAATCCAAGACAGAATAATAATAATTTATTAGTAGTATGTAGTAATAGTATGAATTTTATTGCATGTTTTGAATGTAGAACATTGACAATATTCACATTGAAATGTCCTAGTCATTGAGGTATGTATGGTGGGCATTAATTTGGAAAAATTAGCATAAGGTCGAAACAGTGAATATTGAAAAGCGGATTCTTGGCCGGTTCGTAGTGAATCAGTCTTAATGGAAGTTTCAGACATTATTACATACATCATAAGATTGATGAGGCTTAAGACAAATTCTGTTGAGCCCTTTGACAGATATTCAGAAAAGCGCTAAAAGTAAAATTTTAGAATAAAGTTGCAATGAGACAGGTGGTGAGAAAAGAGGTTAGTTTTCAGGATCGCAAGAAAGAAATTTCACCAAAATTTCCTAGCGTCAAAATATGACGCTACTTAAGATTAATTTGAGTTATTTAGAACTTTTTTATTAAACATTTCATCAAGGCTATTGAAAATGTAAGGTTTGAAATATATTTGCATTTTATTTGAATTCAAATATACAGAATTTTTTACTTCTCACGGATGTTATTTTGCTAAACAACAAACTTTAAGTTCCTGGTGTAAAATTTTCAGTAGCTGAGGTCTAGATCGTGAAAAATTCGGATTTTATCGATTTCAAAGTTTTTTGGTCACTGTTGTCAAAGTGATATCGACTTTACTAAAAACTACATTTCGACAAACTTCAATTCATAGTCAATCACTGGTGAAAAGTTTGTAACGATTGGACAAAGACAAAATCACTTTTAAGGCGATTGCAAAAACATCGGTATGGTCTCCGAAAAACTGTATCGAAACACCTTAATTATGAGATAAAGTTTGTCTTGCTGATCCCTGTGCCTAGAACCAAGAAAAGGACAAAGCCATTTTTTGTACGTATTTACCTTAGCCTTGTAGTCAGCGCCTGGTTCGTAAATCCATCTGTAAAATGTAAGCGGAACTCCGCTAGGTGTGTCTCCGCTATTAAAACGCCGAGGAACAACTACGTAACAACTTCCGTTTAATTTTCCGCCCAACCTCCGACTTCCAACTTTCCTGTTCATTTGCTTTACCTTCCAAAAGGGACATTTAAATACTTAAACGAAAAAATAAAAAAGAAATTCACATCATTTTTCAGTAACATAGGAAAACGGAAAATAAAAAAAAACGAAATTCAAATCCTTTTTCCTATCATATAGGTAACGAAATCCGAAACGAAACAGGAAATTCAAATCCGTTCTTAATACCACAGAAAACCGAAAAACGAAAATGAGATTTGAATTCCATTTTTCCGTACCACTGAAAATCGGTTGGCACTATAGTGTGCACGCATTAACTAAAATCTTCGTCTTCTTCTTCTTTTAAAAGCCTGCTGGCACCTCTCTGACAGGACATTGTAACCAAAAGGCCTCTATTCAGAGGTTAGAGTTCTGTGCTCTTGTCACTAAAGTCTAGTAATCCGGTCTTCCGGTCCTTGTCACGATGTTTAAAATCCACAAAGCTCTTTAACTTTAACTTTAATCAAGTTCCAGATTATAATATGAATAAAATATACTAAATACTAATAATTTGAGTTAGGCTTAAAGCAGAATACGAGATTCCTTGAAAAATAAGGCCACCCTTCAGTACGGTGTCAGTACGACGAAAGTAATTATAACTCGCTTCTATGTTGTAATCGAAACGAGACTTATTTCACAACGTATATTAACAGCTAATTGGGTTATTTTAACAGGGTAAGAAAGAGACGAGTCATCTTGCCTCTATTCCCGCGATACATACACGTTTCACGCGTGAAAAAGCGAGACGTTTCGCTTTCATTACAACAAGTGGGGAACAAAAAGCGAAACATTTAGCTACTATATACAATCCGGCATGTCAACTACCGCTTTTTACGTTTTTAATCATAACTATAGCAAAATTGTCAATCTGATTGGCTATCAACTGTCCTGATTTCTCAGCTTTGCTGAATGCTGCAATAAGGACATTATCTAGTCTTTCTTGTAGCTAATCTGGTGCAGTATAAATCCACTTCTGCTGAAGACTGCCGGTATCGTGCCACATTCGGACTGGGGTTGACACATTTTCATTCCCATCTGTTATGTCAATAACAAGGTCACTCAGCAGACTCACTATCTGGCCATTTCTATACTTCCATTTTTGATTTGGATTACCAGTTGGAAAATAACCAATGCAGTTGGTTCCCTCTTCAGTATGGCTATACATGACATCCGCCACAAGGCCCATTTTGCTGACAAGAGTGTAATTTGGTCCGTTCTTCCACAGCTGATTGGCTCCTCCATATGGTGGGTACATCACGAGTAAACCATCACGTCTAAAACCATCTATGGTGAGGACGAGTTGATTAAGTTGGCTTTCTATGTAGAAATAGTCCGACATCTCGGCTTAGGGCTTGTTCAGTCAAGGTAAACAGAGATATCTTGTGTTAGCCCTTGTTTCTCCTGATCTGCTGGCCTAAAATAACAATCCAGTCAATCGATTAACCAATGACTTTGTTTCGGTCAGGGATTTCCAGCTAAGGGTAGAAGTCTCTACTAAACTTCTGACCTGATTTAGTCGAAAAAGCTCCCTGGTACTCTGGTACAATCCAGGATGGAATTTACTTTTCTTTCCATCGATCGTTTCGGAGAATCTATAGATCATCGTTTTATTTATCCACGATTTTCCCTTAACGCTCACGCAATTTCTTACCCTTATTTCTTCCTTTTTTGAGAATGCGGCGTTTTTTTAATTAAAAACTGGAACGAAATCTCAGAGTGAGGCTTTAGAATATAGCACATGCAGTAAACTGAGCCAGCAGCCTATCGCCGATTCAATCGCCGACAACCAAGTGAGTTAATTTCCCCTCCCCAGCTTGTGTAAGTGTTCGTTTTGTTGCAAAAGCGATTTTCTGCGCCAAAATAACTGCGTCCAAGACTTTCTGGGCCGACAAGGCCTCTCAGTCACCCGGAGCAAAAAGTTACCTTTGATCAACGAAATGAAATGTTAAAAAGTGATAGTGATCATTGAGGACCTTCGCTAAACCTCACTGATAAGAAATGAAAATCTGACCGGGATATCTGGTCGAATTATAGTGGTTACTCCAATATTCAACATCAGGGAATAAATCTGAGCTCGAATCGGTCAAATCTCTAGCACGAACCAGGGCGAACGCTTTTAGAACTGGCCTGACAAGGAGTGAACTCACTCATGTCATGATCGTTAGAGAATGTTAATGAAAGACAATTTTGAAAGTATTTACCTCAGAACGGCAGTCAGCGCCCGCTGCCTCTTGAATCACTTCAGTCGTAAAATGTTACGCTGAGGAAGAATGATCTGATCTCGACTACCTTCCGTCCTGCCTTTCGATCTAAGAAAGGGCTCGACACGGGCAAATCCCATTCTTGTACTGGCAATTTACCAATAACTGCCAGATAGTGATGATGGAGATTGGAAAAAAGCTGGAAAAAAACAACAACAATGACCCTATTCATAATCTGCTATCCACTTAGTGAAGGGAATTTCTGCAGTGAAAATATTGATGACTCAAATGACAAAAGACTGTTTACATTGAGGGTGATTTCACTCAAGTACTCGCTATAACGCAATACAAGACAACTACAGCTGGACCATTACGTTTTCACGTTGCTTTTACGTGTTCATACCTATCCCCTACCTCTGTAATGGGTTAGAACCTGGCAAAGACAAACAAACGTGTGGGCATTATATGAACCTTGCGATAAAGCTAACGTTACGGAAGTGAACGTTTTCCGTCCAGGAGTTGTCTTTGAATCTAGGACAGGAAATATTATAATTAATCTTTGCTTCCAAAATGTTCAATCTTATCGGTTTGATAAAATTGTGTGGATTTTATAAAAAGTAGTCATCCTTCGCTTGGTTGTCAGTGGACGACAACCGGCCTCATGGTAACCCTACCAGCCTTGCAATTTGAGCCTCTTCAAAGGCTTGTATTTTCTCTTGGGTGAATGACACCGTCTTCGCATGGCTCCACGGTACAGATAGTTTTCTTTGCGTAGCTGTAAGTAAATACATTTTAAAATATAAATACAAATACGTACAGCTTACATTAGCTGCTGTGAAAAACGTTTACGACTACTGGTAATGAAAAAGTATTACCCCTTAAAAAAAGTAAAGGGCTTCGACAAGCAGCCGGACCCAGTGCAGGACTCGATTCCTTGTAGTCCACTTTGTTTTTTAATTTAGCTTAGTTACGCAAAGAGGTTGAACCTGGATACCCTGTACGGAGCTTCCGACATTTCTTGGAAAGCACTCACATGGACAAGCCTCATTCTTGCAGTGGCAAACAACCAATCGGGTCTCAAAAAGTCATGCAGAAAACAATGACAGAGGTCAAACACTCAGGGGGAAAGTATACGCAACGTATTAAGTTCTTCTCAACAGTCAAACACGTGGAGAAAGCATTTTCTGCAGTGAAATAATAATAATGTGTGATTTTGAAGAGGGCCGTCAGGTCAGAGAGTGAATAAGCAAAGGCAAGAAAGAGTTCGTTTTCTTCTTTGTCTTTCTTGTGATCCCCGGTTTGGAACTTTTTCTGTGACCGCATGTAAGCTGAAACAACCAAAGACCACATCTTTCAAACATCAGGGAAAGCCATTGCTTATTATTCTACATGCAGCTTGCCATTTTCTTGGAATTTGATGAAGAGCGACTTTACTACGTACAAGGCATTCATTTGGTATTGCAACTGAGATACAAGACTGTAAATCGTGTGCGAACCTAACCTGTTCATCTAACAGGTAACTGAAACTGTTTTTTAACGTCTCGTAACCTTTTCATGTTAATAAATAAGATGAATTTTCTCTCAAGGCGCGAGAAAACTCGCTATCACCGCGGAAGCAAATGTCTCGGCAGATTCCCCCCTTCAAGAAATAAATTTTTAGGAAGACAGATCTTGCTTTCTAAGGGTCGCAGTCAGGCGATCCCACAATTCCTGCATCGAGGCATTATCAGAAAGAAATATTAAATGATACTAGATATGGGTGCAGACAAGCCGTAATATTAAACGATGTAGATATGGGTGCAGACAAGCCGAGAATAGGGACTTTAAGATCCAACGACGCGACGGCGACAAGAACGTCGCTTAAAAAGTGAATTTGCGTTCTTTCAGTCTCTATAGCGATTATTCCTACCCACTTACTTTGGGTGTGTTCCTTTCGGTGAATCCAAAAACGGATTTTAGATCTAAAAACGGATTTCGCGTTCCTTTCGGCAAATCCAAATCCGGATTTTTGATCTGGTGAATCCTTTTTGAAAAAGGATTCACTGGATTTGAAATCCGAAGAATCCAAATCCAGATTAACGGATTAGTGATCTACGCCGTTCCATTCACAGTGGATCCGAAATTAGTCAGATGATCCAGCGGTATTTTCAGTTGAAGTATTCCCACGGAGGCCGTAGAGTTTCCTCGTTGCTTTCATTTGCCGCAAAACATCTGAAAACATTAGAAGATTGTTCCTGGTACATTAAAATATCCATATACTAACCATTTGTCTCTAAAGATTGCTTGAAATCAGAAATAAGTAAAAGTAACAAATGAACTGCTATCTAACTACAAACTCGCTTGTAGACGCGACAGGCATTCGATCGTGCTACATAAAAAAAATCCGAGCTATGGAACTGGATCAAACTGGCCAACATTCTTTAGATAATTTTCAATTTTAATGCTTCTTTCTTTGTCTGTTTTATATGTTCCATCGTCGCTATTCGAACTGCCGACCACTAAATTCTGCACGGTATAATCGCATAATTTGTCAAACAGTAGAAAACACGTCATTTATTGAGAGGCTGTCGTGCATATTGCACGCGTTGGCGAAAGGTTACCAAGGTTACAAATCCAATTTCGGATTTCACGTTCCTTTCGACCGAGAAATCTGGCAAATCTAGGATCAAAAATCCGTTTTTGGATTCGCCGAAAGGAACACAGCCTTTGTCAATTGTAGGCGAACCCTCCCGAAGCTGAATTTCAAGGGACCAAATTCAAGCTCAGAAAGAGAAATAAAATTTCGTCGTTGCTTGTTTACGTCCTCCATAAAACGCGAAATTAGGCATTTTCACGTCGTAGTCGTGCAAAAACGGGAAGGAAATATACAAAAAAGTGTGATGCACGTGCGAAGTTGTTGTTTTGCTTATTAAACCTATTGTTTTTTTGACGTTCTCGTTGTTGTCCGCGTCGTTGGATCTTAAAGTCCCTAATAACTTAACTTTAAGACTTCTATTTCTTTATTGTCCTATTTTATTTTAAAATGCGAATAGCAAAGCATCTGTAACATTCGCTCTTTGTCGGCCATTTCCCGGAATTCATGGATTCGAAGGGCCACGCATCCAGCTTTAGTTCGCCGCGACCTCCAAATATGGTCATGACGTTTCGGATTCCGAGAAAACACATCAATAAGAATGGACGCGCTTTTGCAACACAAAAATTTGTGATCACTGTGATTTTGCCTTATGGGCACTTTTTGCTGTCAGCATCCACTGGAACCAAAAGGGAATTTCTGTGTGTCGCGTCCAAAGACGTTGAAGGTGGCTCTCTAGAGTAAATTGGTTATGCGCAGCTTGAGCACTAGTATGGCGTGAGCTTTAAAATCCGCCCGACGTCCACGCAAAATTAAAATAAAACAAACATGGCCTCTCAGTAGCGAAGTATTCCCCCAAAAAACTTTATTAACTTTCATGAGAGGAGACAATGTTACTCCGGTGACAAGTCACTATCGATCTCTGTAAGAGTAAATTGTATGTATAAATGAAGCAGAAATTTTCCAAGGACATCAATTTCTTGGCTTCAAAAGTTGGCAAGCTGAACGTAAAATACTCGAAGAAAATACTCTAGGGAGCCACCTTAAGTCTAACAGCAGGGGTCTCCGTGTTTACTTGAGTCGCAGTAGTGGGACTCTCCTCCCCTATTATTAACCTACACGTATATGTAGGGTTGTGGAAGTGCCTCATACTTGTTCATAACCTGATAACCATACAGTGTTTAAGGTTACAATCGATATGCAAAAATTAGCGGTACAGTGTTAATAAGATCACGTAACCACCTAATGGTAACACGTTTTCACTAAATCAATAAATGAATTTGAGGAAGGAATATAATAAAATTGTGGAGGAGGAGGAAAATAAAAAATGAAAAGGAGAGGGGTAAGTAAAACATTGCTTGCAGTGTAAAAAAGAGCTAGTTTGCCTTTACCCTCTTTAATATACACGATTTGCCCGCCAAAAATCAGTGAACCGGAACAAGGACAATCACAGCAGCAGGAAATAGGAAGTGCATAATTACGTTACGTCTCAGTGATTTTAAGTCACCAGTATACTTAATTAAATCCACCACATTTTATTCATGAGATGAGGACAATAGCCTATGACGTCATCGGCGTTAATGTATTCCTCCCCACGCTAATGAGAATCCTCCCCAAAAAAGAGGCCTAACCGGTCCCTCCTATACTACTCTAGAAGCTCTATTGATATATACCAGAAATACGTTATTGCATAACCTCACGAGGCTCGGTGGAGGGTGAACCTTAAAATGTTAGGGATGTAAGGATGTAGGGAGAAAAATAGAGTCAACTGTGTAACTGGGGATGGCAGGTTTCAAGAGAGGTTCGAAGCTTAGATATACTCTATCTTCTTTTGGTTGGAGCAAATTCGAACCCAGTCCCCTGGCTTAAAAAGGAGGGGATTAATAAGATCCTTGTATACTGGTGAGTTAGAAGTTCTATATATTACAGTTCATCTATTCTAAGTCATTTTTAGACCACCATAACAAGCAGGTGTTAATATTATACATCGCAGTTTTTGATGAGTTAGATCGGTTACGCTAGAGCAACGAAGTGATGGTATTTATGATTGAAGGATTAAATTAACTGCAAAAACCGTGGACGAAGATCCAGCTAGTTGTAAACGTTGGATCTCTAGAAAAGAGATCTAAAGAAAAGAGATTTATGATTGAACATTATATCAAACATTTTTGCAGATGCGAATATACCTGGACAAAAAATGGAAATGGTTCATTGTGACAGTTCTATCTGTGGCAGCTGTGGCTATGGTAGCCTCTTGGCGGAACTATTCGCCGCATTCTGAGTGAGATAAATTACTTTAATAGACAAAAGTAACTGTTTGATTTGATAGTCACAGTAACAGTAACAGCAAGCAATACAATATCATCATAAAAGGAAAGGAAGGGGATCATGAGGCGGTTTTTATCACTTAATTTAAAGAGAAGTAAAAATGCGGTAAGTACCGCAGAAGACCTTTCAGACTTAATATGAGAAAAAGGTTTTTACATGGAATTGAACTTCAGAAATGTTTTATAACTACGATTTTTATTCAAATGTGCCCATTTACATCCGAGATTACTCAGGCAAAATAAATTTTAAAAGTTTATTTTTTGCATTGTATCCTCTCATTTATGGTCTCTCCCTCGTTGAGTTTCTTTTCAACACACGTGAATCAATTTGTCTTGTATCTGACAGATCCAAACCTCGCGTATCTCTTTCAAGATTTTTATCGTCGCATGCAAAACCAAGATTGCAGAGTGACGGCGAGCAAATGACGTTTGACGTCGGTAAGTGACCGGTTTTAGTTTTCTTTTGTGGGCTAAGCATTGAAATTCGAGGGAAACAGGCACCGCTGGGGAAGGGTCATAAAAATTATTTGTTTGTTTAGCTCGACAAAAACAGTATACTAAGTAGATTTCGAAAGGAGCTGTAGTTATCCACATTCGTAGGTGAACCCTTACCTTCTGACGTCATAATATTTTTCAGTCTCAAAGGGCAGTTTATTTTTTAAGTCGATTCTGTAACTTAAATCAGGTGTGAACGAAACCCTTTATAACAACAACCTTAGAGAGAGCAAAAAACAAAGCCATGTTACTTTCTCGCAAAAATGAACCGCTGCATCAGGGTCACTATGCTACCCAAGTTCGTCCGACTCGATGTAAGGCCCTTCTATGGCTAATACTGTGGAAGACTTAACTTATTTTATAACTGTTAAAAATCTTTCCGAGGGAAGAATTTGTGTTTGAATGATATTTCCTTAGACTTTCTTTCTCTATGATTCTAGGGGTGGCAATGGATCCAGAAATCCGAGACTGCAGTAGTGAAACCCATTGGAAGAAGACGTTCTCTGATCTAGACTACAGCCTTATTGGTTATGATATCCTATTTGGTTATCCATTAGCCAACGGACGCGATCCTGGATTCAGGCAACCCATATTCACGGCTAATTACTCCAAACCCAAACAGACAGCAGATTGCCGTCACGTGATCCCACAAGGCTTCACTGTGATCCCCAGCGAATCTTGTGTGGTATCATTTGATTCGAAGTTAATTCATAATAAACAGCAGATGTCTATACACCTTGGAGTACAAGCGAGCGTCAAAGGTTTGTGTGATCTCCATCCAGCTCAGAGTTTAACCCATTCGCCCCGAAAGCGTACGTAAGCACCCTTGCGGATCCACGTCCCTTGTACCGCTTGACACGTCATCAGTTTAGACGGTCAAAGATTCAGTACAAGGAGGTCCGAGAAAAAGGCAAAAAAAATATGTCACGCTGACCCGAAAATACCCATGAAAATCTGGTTCTAGTGCCCACCTTGCATCTAATTCTAACTTCTAAGAGCTTCTCAAAAAACGTTTGCCAATGAAATCTAGCCTGCTAATTGCCCAACAAAAGTGGAAACAAAAAACGAAGCAAGAAAAGCGAAAGAAGTGCGAAAAAGCGAAAATCGCGAAATTTTGCATTCTGCGCATGCCCGAACTTTGGAAGCTAATCGTTTGCGCGATCAGGAGGCCCTATACTTTATGACCTGTAAACGGCTGTTGGTAGCCAGACAGTGACCAGAAAACGGCTCGACTAGCTTCAAAACGCGTTTTTGGGCAAAATTCCCCTTCTTGAAATACATGAATTGGGTAAGAAAAAAACCTCTGGCTCCTATAGGATAAACATGACCTTTTGGGAAAACAAACATTCAAGCTAAAAAGGTCTATTGGACACAACACTAAACTAATCTCATGATGGCCAATAACTTTTAAGGCCCATAGCTACTATTCCAAAAACACTTACGAAAAAATACTTGCATCTTCTTATCTAGGCGGTGGTTTTGGATATGAATTTTCCGCCAGTGCGGGCTTCAACACGGATGCAGCTGAAATGTCAAGCGGTGACTTCTTGTACATCATTTCCCAAGCCGTGTGTCAAAACTATTATAGCGTGATTGACTTCACGAATCCGCCACCCTTTGACCCCGGGTTTATCAGCAAAGCGGAAACTCTGGCCGACCCGGAGAGTGGTGATGAAGCAGTTCTAGAGTTTATCAAATACTATGGTACTCACTTCATGACTCAAGCAACGTACGGAGCAAAGTTTGTTCAACACCACAAGGTGAGCCAGACGACGTTTGAATCCTTAAAGAGGAGCGAGTTTAGTGTTGAAGCCCAGGCGAATTACGCAGGACTAATCAGCGTCGGGGGAGGAATTTCTTTGGACAGTGATCAAAAGAAGGCCGCGTCTAACTTTTTGAAACAAGTACAGACCTCAACTTATACAGTTGGATCAACACCACCAAGCAACGGTGATGCCATGACATGGGCAGCTTCTGTTAAACAGAACCCTGTTCCCATGCAGTATACACTTTCTCCCATTGATTTGTTATTCACTGAACCGTTTGTAAAAAAGCTACCACCCGGCTTTGGCTACACCGCAGTGAGGCAAAAACTAAAGAACTCTTCACAGCTGTATTGTCAAGCCCTGAAACAACAGGGAATGGTACACTCATGTGAGGACTACTTTCAACTTGAAACTCAGGGTGTGGACATCTATGAACCAGGTACTGCTCTGATATTAATCACCTGTTCGGCTAGTCCCGCGGGAAACAGTTATTTTTGTTTCCCGAGAGTGTCAATGTTTCCCAAGGCGAAGCCAAGGAAAACATTGAGATTCGAGGGAAACAAAGTTAACTGTTTCCTGAGGGACCAGTCTTCAAGTGATATAAGCGGAAATTCATTAAACCTCGCTGTAACGGCGGTCGTCGGTCAACATTCGCGGGTAACAGTGCACTGTTACCCTCTGACGTCATAGATTTTTGCAATGTTTCCCGCTCAAAGATTTGGGCGGGAAACAGTTTCATTGTTAGATGTCATGTGACCTCGACGTAACCAACGAGAGCGCCCGCTGTTGGGAAAAAACTTCCAGCTATATAACAATGGTGCTTATGGATCACCAGGGATGCTACGAAGGGTCAGTTTGTGTGGGATTGCTACGTCCCGAGGCCCAAACCCTTACCCTCAGTTATATACGATTTTTGGCCAGATTTTTCATTCCCAGAAGAGACAGGAAACAAAGGACCCCCTGAACCATGTTTTCATGGCTACGGCGTCGACGTATCACGTGACCAAGATTTCCCTCTACTTTTCATTTACTATTCATTAATATCTACACTTATTTCCTGATTTGAGACATGTCAATTGGGATCTCACGTTCACCGTTTGTCCTAGACTTAATTTTAAAGCTTTCTAACAACTGAGCGATTTTTCTTTGGAGTAACCTCCCAAAAAATAATCGTCACGGAGGAGCGATTGGGTATGCCTTCTCAACCCTTTCAGTTTTCCTTTACGACGAGCAATTCAAACAAATGGCCTGAGGATAATGATCGCAAACTTTTCTTGTTTTTACAGGGTACAGTTTTCTTCAAAACATAGACTACTCCACGTGTCTGGCGTTCTGCCGTCAAGACGAGAACTGTACCTGTGTTGTATATAGCCAGCTAAATCCTCCCTTCACAGGATCAGTTTGCAGATTTTTCAACAAAACGACCAATCTGACTTTGATAAATCCCTCCATTTACGACATTCCAAGGCAATCGAATCTTATCATCCTAAAGAGAAGGCAAAATGCTTATTACCTAAATGCTGACCTGGAGGGAAAACCGTTTTCCGTACGTGAGACAGATCAAAACACATGCAACTGGAGTTGTTCTAACAAACAAAGCGGATTTGTCTTCTTTTGTGATGCCTACAGCTACGTATACGGCGATGGTAAAAGAAGGTGCTCTCTGTATTCAGAGAAAGACATTACAAATATTACCTACACCAAAGGTTCATACGTAAGGATGTAGTCGAAACAGGAACGGAAATAGACACGTAGCGATTTGCGTCCTTGAATATTGCTAGTGCATCACATGTCGCTTTTTTAGATGCTTAGCTTTGTGCACTTTACCAAGTAAAATACTACAGAGAAGCCGAGAGAGTTTATTGAAAAGCAACATAAAATTGATTGTTTGTAATTTGGAAGTGTTCAGTTGTAAAAGTTCTGCTTCAATAACGGATCATATTAAAGAAATATTTTTTTATTTTTCAGTTGTTTCGTCCTTCTGTTGAGCGACATCAATCTATTTTCACACCTTACCAGCTGTAGCAGATACGGTGTTAACGTTAACACTAGCTAAACTCCGTTTAAATCAATGACCCAATGCGCTCAAGATCTCCTAAGGTTCAGTAACAGCTGATCACATGTACACGACAACTTTATCCTCTTTTCCAAAAAGCTACTTGTGTGAGATGGAAAAATATCATGCCATATAACAGACCCAGCTGCGGGGTTGAAGAGCTTACAGTTTAGCGCGGGCTCAACTAGTAAGCACCCCCCCCCCCGTTTACATGATTTTACAAACATTTGCTGTTTTGGTCTTCGACCAAAAGTAGACTTATTCCACAATTAGTTAACCTTGAGAATAGTCAAATACTTCAGTAAATTTTAAAGCTAGCCAATACTTTGAAACCGAGTTATACGAAAGCATTGCGGATTCACGAATATTTGCAGAAATTTGCAGGGAAAAGAGCCTCAAACAGCCAGACTTGCCTGTCGATCAGATATCGCTAAAATTGTGAACAGTCGCGACTCTTTGCCACCGAACATAGCCCCGTGCAAACGGACGTATCCTTGTTGATGGCTGCGTCCATTTGCACACCCTGTTGCGTGTTGTTGAGAGTTGTTGCGTGTTGTTGTGTGTTATTGAGAGTTGCTGCGTGTTGTTGCGCGTTGTTGAGAGTTGTTGCGTGTTGTTGTGTGTTGTTGAGAGTTGTTGCGTGTTGTTGGGAGTTGTTGCGTCCGTTTGTACGTAGCTTTACATGTAAACAATTTGTCTTTTATATGTTTATCAAGTAGTATAGATGACTTTATAAAATATTAATGGTCCAACTAGCGGTTTGAAAATCACGATTTCGGATTGTAAGCCGCTTTCTTCCCTTGCGAATCAACGAAGTTTGCTACTTTAATTTTACTAATCATCTCCCTGGCGTTTGTACTGTGAACACTCTTGCTGTACCATCCCCAGATCCTGTTACCAGAAAGTTTCCATCTCTGCAACAAGAAATAATTTCCGATGTTGTAGTGTACTCATGCTAGTAGCAAAGCAGTGTTTTTGTTACAAATAGTTATGGTGAGTCCTGGGACTCATCTTCTGAGATTTCCCTGTAATGACCAAACAGACTAAGTTAATAAGTTTTTTATTATATGGCCTTTTTATTAAGGACCTGAGCCTGCGATCAATTAAAACCAACAATATTGGTCAGCAGATAACTTTAAAAAATACGTCACATCAATGAGTTGTACACTTGAGCCCGTGATACAGACAGGTGACACTGGTCAGTGGATACCCTTTTTGACAGCTGTCAATTGACCATAACATGGATGTCCATAAGGATGTCTAGTATCACCCTAAACACAGATTGTATATGCCTTGGACACCTAGCTGGTAATGCGCGGTCATTAGAAGAAAATAATGCCCGGTCATCACAAGAAAACACCAATCAGCGTGTGTGTACTATTGTAACCATAAAATAAACTGTAATAATATTAACCTACCTTGCTACAGCAAGATCTAGGATCTCTCCACTATGTCCATACCACTCTCTTTCACAGTTTCCAGACCGACTGTCCCACAGTCTGATGATTCCATCCAGGCAGCCTGTGTATATAAGAGGTGCTGCTGAGTCCCACTTGAGCCGAACTATTCCACCCTGTAACATTTAAAAAATAATAAAACTTAGATGAATTGATCACTCTAGAGGGGGACTCTTACACAAAAGAGATGGGTATGCTTGCCATCTGCTTTCCTGTTGTGGTATTTAATATTCTCCTCAAGAAACACATGTAACACATTTCACTGTACTTACAGGGTGTTTACATTGTTGTCGCAGTCTGTTTGATGATAAATCCCACACTCCAAGTACTCCACTCAAGGATGCAGTTGCCAGCATGGGTTGACTATGAAGAAACATCGTGTAAACTTGGCTTAGTGGTTTGTCTGTGCGAGAATGGTGTGAAAAAATGGGCTGTCTGTGACTAAAATAATGGGGTGAACTAATTAAATATTTGGCCTAAAATATAGAATGCTGGTGAAGATAAACATGAAAGATTTGATCACCAGAATGTCATGAGTGTGGGGCAAAGAAGCAGTCTATTAAAGGTCCTCTACAGGTTATTGGCACTTAGGTAAGTGGGATACCTGTGAAGATGTAGTAGGAGCTTGCACGTGGCTTTTCCTTGATTACAGTCAACTCTTTATAACACAGACTCCAGTGGGAGTTGTAAGCCCTAATATCTACATACAAATTCTCCATTCTGACCTCCATACATTTCCTTAAAGAATTATTTGAAAGATTTTGATAAAAGATCAAACCATTAATTTTTCTCTTTGGTGATAATTCTTGTAACCTTCTCTCATGATCATGAGTATATTTTGATAAGAGGAGATTGTTGAGGTACAACCTTGCATGGGCTGGATGTTTTAGGGGTTGATATCAACTGGGATGAAAGTCCTGTTTCATTCTCTGTCACCATGTTGAGTTACTGTGGCAAAAATTTCAGTAAAGTATGTTGGTCACCTTTGGGAGTCAAAGAGTTGACTGAAAAAATGTACAACCTCTTGCTGAAACATTAGGTAAAAATGAGGCTATATGATTAAAGTTACTGTCTTACTGAGGAGAGAATCCAACAGCTTCAATGGAGGGTGGAGAATCTCCATTGCCATTTTCTTGAAATCCAGCAGCTAATGTACTTAAAACCTATATGTTTTGAAAAACAATTGATAAGAAAATTGCACATGATTCATGTAAGCTTCAAAAACTATTTTTCTTGCTGGGCAAAATAACAAAGTGATCATTAAGAAGTTTCCACTTCTACTCACAACAGTTCAACAGTTACTCTCCATTCTGCCAATCCTGATCCATGCAAAAAAGTTGTGATTCAATGCCGAGTTTAGAAATACATAAATGTACCATTTACCAGAAACATTTCCTATGTGTACCATGAATGTTAAGTGATTTTAAGACATTTTGTTCTCAGCGATTTTTTTCTGTGACCTGTTTATAAGTTACCTTGCCAGTGTTGGTGTTCACTATTTTGACAGTAGAGTCTTCTGATCCTGTTGCTACAAGCACGTTATCTCGGTTTCCATCTATGCAAGTTATTGATCCCTGATGTGCAGTCCCATCTACAAAGTTACATTATTGTTTGATTCATAGAAAACCCATACAGTTGATTCTCTCTTAACGGACACCTCTATAAGACGGACACCTCTGTAAAACGGACACTTAGAGTTGGTCCCTGCCTTTCTTTACTCCTTTTATTTGACTCTCTATAAGACGGACCACTCTCTAAGATGGACACTTTGTGCCAGTCCCAAAGGTGTCCGTCTTAGAGAGAGTTGACTGTATTTAGGATATGATAATGTGTAACTGTACATGTCAATGTCAACGTCTGTTAATGTCAAACAAAGTGGATATAGGGAGTGGACAATGACCATGATGATGATAATGATGATGATGATGAGCGATGAGTGATGATGAGAGATGATGATGGTGATGTTGACAGATGATGAGGATGACAGTAACATTATGAGGACTCTGTTGGTGATGTTCATGACAATGTCAGCATAACTGTCATCCTTATCATTAGTGTCCATGTCTGAGATATCAACATTAACGAATGTCAGATAATAACTACAGTCAACTCTTTCTAACACAGACACCTTTGTGACCGGTTCTAAGTGTCCATCTTAGAGAGAAGTCCGTATTATAAAGAGTTAAATAAAATGAGTAAAGAAAGGCAGAGACCAACTCTAGGTGTCTGTTTTACAGAGGTGTCCGTCTTATAGAGGTGTACGTTAAGAGAGAGTCGACTGTATATCATTACAGGTGTCAATGTCCAGTGTATGCCTTGACTTAAATAAAAACATGCTCAAAGTAAAGTAAGAGTTAATGCTATGCTAAATCTCAATTCCAGAACGTTACTGTCAATACCAATGTTACTGATTAAAGTTTCTATAGTTACCTGATAGATGGAAGGTATGAATTCCTTGTCGCAAATCCCAAAGTTTAAGGCTGCCATCCTCATATCCTACAGTAGCTCTCTTACCTAGGGATGAAGTTATCAAAACGGTAATTTGTATGAAATTTGTTCGTTGCCATTTCATCTGTCTTATGTCATTGTTTCAAGGTCATGTCGCTTGTCGGAGTTTTACCCTATCAGGGTCTCTCTACTATACTAGTACTCTATCACTGTTCCAGGGGGTATGTCTAAAATTTTAATTTTCAGAAACTGCCGCCTGGTTAGCTCAGTTGGGAGAGCACCCCTCTGTTGAGAGGGTGGTCGCGGGTTCAAACCCCGGCTGGACCAGCACTCACGGTCTTTAAAATAACTGAGGAGAAATTGTTGCCTTTGCAACGACTTCTGCAAATGGTTAGACTTTCCAGTCTTCTCGAACAAGGATGAAAAACCATAGGTCCCGTCTCACAGCACTTTCACTTATCTGATTCTTGAGTGATGTAAAAGAAATCACACCACTGTTCGAATAGAGTAGGAGTGTATACCCCGGTGGTGTGGCCAACCTCTTCTGGGCTGGGTGGGTTCTCTGTAAGAACATGCTTAAATTAGAACCCTGTTCTGCTGTGTTCCACCTCATATGGTAGAAGTGATTAAATAAAAAATAATAATAAAATATTCCTGTACCATCTTTCATGAGTACTCCACAAGTTGATCTGCATCCATGACTCTGAAAAGTCTTGCAATCTCCACTGGGTACTTTCCACATCCACACACTACCATCGACTGTTCCAGAAAGCAATACATGTGCTTCCTTGTGCCACTCCAACCACTGAAAAGCAGAAATAACAACTTAAGTTTAAATATTATCTATCTTCTTCTACTTGTTTAGGTTTAACTTCTATTTATGAATAAAATATTATACAACTTCACAGGAGTTCAGGCTTCAGAAGGAATCATTATTTATTGTGACAGTGCTGTTTCGTATGTAAATATTTCTTCCTTTTATATCTTGCACTAATATAAGACAAGTCCCCCTAATATTTAAATCACCAAACATCCAAATAATGGCGATGATAAGGATGACAATAACAATGATGATGATGACTTCTACTAATACTACATGTACATAAAACAAGAAGTCAGCTATATTGATGAAAATGGTGGAAATACTACATCACATTACATACATCTTGCAGTACTGCTGTATCGGAGTCACACCAAAATAAACATATTTAAGCATTGTTGCAAAACCAAATTTAAGATCCAAAGATTAAGTAATCTTAGTTGGGTTTAAAGTAAACATAGACCGAACACAGGTTGGTTATACTCAGTGAAGAATATAGTATGTAATTTATCATAAAATGAGGTTCTGCTTTACATTGGTCAGCTTGTAGGTCCTCCCTCACTCCTCAGTGTGTCCTTTATAGATTTACGTACAGTTCAACAGCAACTGTACATATAAGTTTTAAATTGTACCTCTAGATCTGTGGTTTCAAAGTTCCAAACTTGCTTTTTTGTTGCAACATCCCAGACTAAGATCAGACCACTCATGTCTCCAGTGGCAACAAACTTAGAATCGTGGCTGAATGCTGTGCAAGTCACAGAGTCCTTGTGACCTTTATGACAAAAAAAGACAAGAGAAACTTCTATTTATCAAATGTTTAGTGGGGGAGAGGGTGTGTTGCCAGTGTGCAGTATGCTGATAATACAGTATTTTGCTTGCTCCTATCTGAAATGAGGCTAGCTTTCATTTTGGAAAGCTGGAATTTATTTGCAGTTACATTTTAAATAATTTCTTATATGGTGTAGTTAGTTGTTTTAGTCATTTAATTAATTGTAGCATTGTATTAAAGTATTTGAGTTTTTTTGACAGAGCATGGCAGTATTTGCTGACTTACTTCAACACTCATAACGTCCTCCACTTTATCAAAACCTACCAAGACATTCCATATGCGTCTCTCCATCTTGTATTCTCCAAACATATGCCTTGTCATCTTCGCCACCAGTAACTGCCATAGAATTGTTAACTGGGTCCAGTGACACTGAGAATACTGAAGCTGATAACAACATTGACATAACAAAAAAATCAGCTATAATAAAAATGTTCATAGCTGAATAAATGCATGCATTATAACTGTTTTTTTTTTTTAATTCATGGTAGGTTAAAAAATAAATATTTTAACTTGAGCAAAGTCAAAAACTTGTTCCCCATCCATTTTTTAATTATTTTTTAATGAGAAAAAGAAAAAGAAATCATGAACCATCATGAATCATGAACTCTAGAACAGTCCCTCTTTAATGTCATGAAGGAGAGCAAATCAATCCAGCCAAAGCGTAAATATACAGGGAGCAGAGCAGAAACTGGGGAGTTCCCTCACCTGCCATTCTGCTCATTTATAACTGAAAAGTGGACAAATTTCATGTAGTTTACTACATGTTAATGTTATATGTATTACCTGTATGCTTCATGTAGCACAATTCCGCATCATCTTTTTCATCTTTTGCATCCATGTCACCATTTGCATCCCCTTCATCGCCGACGTCAACATCTTCTATCCCAATGGCCAGTCCATCTGATGAAAAATAAATAAAATTTACTGGAAAATAACAATAGTTATGATAAAAGTAAAGATAATGACAATATAATAAAATGAAATACATCAATGAGGATAATAATGATGTAGACGATGATTTAACGATATGTATTTTGTTACTTAATTTTTGTTTTATAATTTTAGTTTGAGGGCCATCAGTTGAAGTACTGTCCCGTGTTACCCTCGTTAAATAAAGTTGATTATTATTGTTATGATGATGATGATGATAATGATGACCGTGATGATGGTGATGATTAGCAGTATATATGAATGTACGTGGTTGATTACAAGGATAACAATAAGAATGATGTTGATGATTTAGTTGGTTATAAAGTCTCTCATCATCTGTGTATAAAGGGATTTTTTTACTTGTTTTCCCTAGCCTCTGATGTTTTGACTCCTGTTTTACGTCAGCTCATTTTTTTTTACACTGAATATGAGCTCAACGAGACTGTGAGAATCAATGGCCAAAATGATAATGATAACTTCAGGTCAACATTTTCTTGCAAAGGGATTTTTCTCACAAATCAAACTTGTGTGTTTTGTTTTCCCATTTCGAAAACAAAACATACAAGCTATAAGAAAGGCCTATCTGTTTCATCCACTTTAATTAGTAATAATTAATTTTTTCATTTTATTTCTCCTACTAATATACACTCAGCGCTAGAGGGCGAGCGCGTGACATAATATGCACTACTACTGGTATGAAATGCGAATATTTTGTTTCTATATATACCGACAATCGACAAAAATGATGACAACAATCTATTGATTTTAAGGGCATTTCTTAGATCATTCCCACGTGCATTTTTATATACCTTCACCGTTGTCACCTTCATCGCCAAAGTCTACAACTTCCTCAAAATCATCCTCCAGGAATTCGATTTCTTCATCAGGGTTCGCTGAAGTTTCCTGCTGGTCCATTAAGCTGAAATATATAATCCAAGTACTGAAGTACAGAACTAGATCATCAACCTGAAAATTCCCCCAACCCTGATTTCACATTAAAGATTTCACAACATCTATGATTCTGGGTCATGTAGTCGACCGTAATGTGTCACTCCTACCCAGTCTTTCTCAAACTCCCTGGACAGAAAAACAAAATGGCGGAAAAGAAGCCTTCGAAAACAAATTTGTTGGATGATCTAAAGCAAGACAAGGCAGAAAGCCCTCTCGACTTTCTATGTAAGTAATTTATCTTCTTAGCTGAATTACTGTAGCTGTGCAGATTGTGAGATGCAAATAGCTTGTTGCTAAGCAAACTCTTGTCACAAAAGCTGCACAAAAGACAAGGGGTAAACAAACCTCACAATTGCAGTTCTTGCAGAGACATTCAGTTTAAAGTAAAAGTCTTCTACATCTTATCTTTATACTAGATTCGTCATCTAGAGGAACCTTAATGTCATTCATTTCTTTATAGCTCGCACTGGTGTCACAAGTGACATTAAAGATGCTATAACTCTTGTCATTGAAAACAGACCTGAAGATCCCATCTCTTTCCTTGCTGAATTGTAAGTACTGCTCTGGGTAGTCAAAGGGTGTGGCATGGGGTGTATGTTTAGGGGGGAGGGGACAGTTTCCATCTTTGTACTTCCTGTTTCTGCCAGTCCCAAAGTCGTAGAGAGAGTTGGCTGTACCATAAGAGATAAGGTAGATTGTCCACAAGCTGTTATAATATATAATCTAGGGTGCCAAGCATAAAACTTTGGGCAATTCACCCATTGGCAAAAGCAGGTCACCAGTAGCTACCATGTGCTTTCAGAGAATAGCCAGGAATAGGGTGTTAATTTTGGGCTTAGGGGCCCTTTGAAAGGGAATCTGTAAACTGTACAAATACTGACTCATATATTTTTTTTTTGGCTATACTTGAAGTTTTGATTGCCATGCAAGTACTACTACAGCATTAATGAAAGCACACCAGAAGCTTCTATTGGCTCACCATTCAAGACCATCATTCCAAAATAACCTTCTCCTTGCCTACAACATCCTTCACAAACAGAAAAGTAAGCATTATAATCTAAATGATGCTACAATTACATGTAAACCTCAATTATCTCAAACTCCTTGATTGTCTGGACTAGTTCTTTTGTCCCATTTTAATTTTATGAATATTGGTAAATCAGCATGAAGATCTGAGGATGTTTTTGTCTGTTCTAGTTTTAGAAATTACCTTTGAGTTCCTTTTGTTCCTTTTTTTCCCTTTCAAAGAGAGAAATTAGCACTCACATTTTATACACTCAACATTTATCGGAAACCTGAAATCAAGTTCTTGGGCCAACTTCCCCAACGCTGGGCAATTCTTCATTCTAAACATGAAAAGTAATTCAAAGATGATATCAGTCTTAAAAATTCCCTTTAAGAGAGTTCATGTAAAATTGTATAGTGATCATAATGTAACTAGATTTAAAGAGTGTCTGTACAACTGTATCCTGGCAGATAGTAATGGCTTACATGGACTTACTGGAAAGACATATAATGACCTTTTGACAATGCTTTGCAGGTAATTATTTTAGTTACTGTTTGTAATAATTATTCATATGTTTTTATTAACCCTTTCAAACAATCTACAAATTCAACAAGAATGACAAATTTTAGTTTAATCTTAAAATACTCGAAAAACAATGGGGTCATGTGAAAGCAGTGGTGAAGACTTTTCATTGCAATGGTCCTTCATAGGATTTAATCCAAAAACTCTGAGTTAGAAACACAGCATGATAAACAGTACCACAGGAAATTTCATGTACTGCTCAGAAGCTTTCGTTTGAGTGGTGCACCAAACAATTTCACCCACAGCTGTGTCAAGATCTTTTATCAAATTCTCCCAACTATTTTCCTAACTAAAACTGAGAAATAAAAGTAAAACCTTTGCCCTATAAATGGCTAAACCTTCGCATGGCTTGGATGATCATGTAAAGTAGTGAGAATCTCCTGTCTCCAGTAGGAGACATAAAAAGAATGTCCCCAGTTAGTACTTTTGTGCTAAAGGCATCGACACTCAAATAAAGTGCCTTTTTTTCTGCAGAGACCTGAGTGGAACAGAGGCAGAGCCTCTTCAGAAGCGAATCCTGTGTTATAACTATGAAGTAGTTCGATTTCCAGTGTTCAAAGTCGGAGTTCTATCAACTTTTATATATCAAGGTTAGCATAAAAAAAATTGTCAAACTTATGAATAGTTGTGCCAAGGGTTGCCATATAGTTTAATTTGAACCTTTGTACATCGCTTTTCCTTAGTCTCTTAGTTTCCTAACTTTGACAAATTGCTTTGGGTGATAAAATAAAAATAATGATGTTATAGCAATGACCTTTGTCAACAGTATGGCTGTGTGTGATGATATTTCTAATGATGAAACTTTCTCTCGCAGTTTAAATAATTGCATGACAATTAATTTAAAGTAGCTCTTTCAGGACAGGTCTCAGAGTCTCCCACACCACATTTTTTAAAAAATTAATTTTATCTTCAAACATAGTTTGCCAGTATTGAGTAATAACTATTGTTAGTTTTGTTTGCTAAATTGTGAAGTTTAGATTTAGAAAGGTTGAATTTATCCCATGGGTATAGTGCTGGTGCTAGTAGTATTTAGTTAACTATTTACATAGGTTTTTTCTTATTTTGATCGCCAGATTTTCTCAAGCAAGCTGAGTCACTTTATAATGAGCTGGACTTGACTGATAGAGGTCTGTGGCTGAGAAAAGATGTTATTAGAGGGTCCCCAATGCATCTTACACCTATCCCGTAGTCATGGTGACTGTTGGGGTGCCATGGACCTAGCAATCCTTTCCCGTGTCTTTGATTTTGTTTCCAGCCTCTCTTAGGGTATCACAAACTTCAACCCTGTCCACTCAGAGATGTTATTCTCCCAACACTTCTTTTGTGGGCCCCTTCTTCTCCCTCCTTGCACTGTTCCTTGTAAAATTGTCTTTGCAAGCCCTGCAGATCTTGCTACATAGCCAAACAACAGTCTTTAACTTGGGTTTCTTCACCTGGTTAAGATGTCATTATAGGGCCTGATGGCTTGCCTGATAATCCGTCTCTGACTGCATGGTGTTTGCTTTCTGTATGAGGTGCCAAGCAGTGCCATGCATTTTTTGAAGGCTAGGATTCTATGTTTTAAGGCAAAATGGTGGTATGATTCAGGATTGAAAGTATACATGGGATACAGTACAGTACAGTTAAAATCTTCCAGATGGTAAACTTGTTGCCATAGGGTTGCACTACACAGTCGACCAGCAAAACTACTCTGATCTTTTGTAACCCTTTTGGCCTGCTCAATGGAGACATTTAATAATTTAACGATATGTATCCAAGGTTCCTGTTTGTATTGATGCCTAGACTTCGCAAACAGCATCCTCTATGTCAAACATGACCAATATAGATATTGGCTCCTGATCACATTTCTGAGAGATTCTGGACTCTGAAACTAACCATCATGATTACAGGATGTTCTTTTTCTCTTGTTTTGGGGAATTTTTTGATTATTAGAAAACCCTCATCTTTGAGTTCTGTTTGGTTAAACAGGCAAAGCTGATAAACATCTCTGTGATGCAATATTGAGCGAGTTAAAACAGGCTGCAGTCAAGACCACTGATGACCCTATCAGGCAAGGATACACTGTAATTTTGTGTAGTGTATGTTAAAGGTAGAATGAAGAGAACCTAACAGGAGATAACTTGGGAGGCAGTCTCTCCTCGGCTGATGCCTTTTTGTTTCATGGGAAGACTAGGAGAGGGTTTGAATAAAGCTTATGCAAGGGACAACCATTGTTCACCATGTGCAATAATTTCTTAATTACTGATATACTGATACTAATACTTAATTACTGATATACACTTAATCAGCCGCTACAGAGGAGAGAGTTCATGGCAGGTGTTTAGAGGGGAGGTATAAGTGAACATAATATTCACTTATACCTCCCCTTTAAACACTTGCCATGAACTTTGGATGCGATAAAGTACAAAGGGCTTATGAAGGAGGAATGAAGAAGGAGATACTTTTGTCTTTCCTTGTGCACTGGTATTTTCAACTTCCCCCTCCCCTTCAAACACTTACCACACAGGCTAGAAGGGAGAAGACAATAGGGTCATAACTCCCCTCCCTCCCTACCCTAAAAATCTAAACAGGAGGGAAAAAGAAGTTTGGCTGCCATGGCATAAAAAGCGGTAGCAAGTCTGAGCAGTGAATGTAGTGTACAGCAGTTTTCCGTTACGTCATCCGGGACTTGCATACGGGTCGATTCACTGAGTGTTAGGGCAGCCATGAATAAACAGTATTTTTGTTCAGCCTTTGTGGCAGGTCTTCTTATCTAGGCTACAGTAACAGTGAAGGAAGCAACAATGTCTACTCTTTAGTAACGAGAACACAATAGTTTTGAAGAAATATGTAGGTGAATCAAAAGAGAAAAAAGAAGGAAATAGACTAGTTAAATAATGTAAATTATCCTGTAATTTGAGATGTGTTCCTTGCAGTGTTATCCAAGTTGGCTCCATGCTAAGTTCACTAAGATTGAACAAAATCATGGCTGAGGTGCGTAAACACTAACAGTTTTTATATAAAAACACTCAGCAGAATAGAGTGAAGAAGTGTGATGTCAAAAAATTGCCAAAATTCAGCCAGTTCTTGCAAACTGGTGAGGAGATATAAGCACCTTAAGGCTCTGATGGCCCCATACAAATCCTTCTAACATTGGCTTGGATAGTAACGTTTATGACCTAGGCCTTTTTAGAAGGGTTACTAGATATTAGGGGTGTTTCAAAATTATTCCAACAAGAACCGTCGTCATGTTTATAGCGGAGATCCCCCGTGCTCTGAAACACATTGTTCTGTTTATCCCAATTACAATAGCCTGTGATGTATTGGTCAATTTCAAAAGTGTCCGTTTTGCAAATAAAAGACTTCATAGACAGAATGTTTACAAGTGTTATTAATTTATTCTTAGGCGTTAGTAAAAAGTGGAGGTAGCAATCAGACAATGAGTGTTGAGGAGTTTGTGTTAACAGCGGCCGACATCTTGTTGGAACAGGTTTGTCACTTCCTCAATTCTTGTTTTTATGTTCGCCCAATTCACAGGCAAACACACAGCAATAGATTTATAGGGCACTGTTGTGATTTTAGATACCAGATTTGAGATGACCACAGTTTTCAATTTCCTTGTTGCGCCACGTTGCCAGAAACTAGCAAGGTTGGTGTCTAGGGCCACTCTTGTTTTCTTGTTTGTGTGGGGTCTGAAGCGATACTTCTGTCCCTGGAAGTCTGGGAAGTAAGCAAGCAATGGCGATGGCAAAAGAAAACTTGATGCGAGTATCATGCGTGACGTCGTCGTCCACCCAGGCCGGAATCAGTTTTCGCACGTGAAAGAAGTACAGTGCGCCGGTTTAAGACCTAACCAATGAGGTGTCAAGATTCACGACAATGGACAAATCAGATAGCGCAGTCAGGGACAGGTGTAGGCTTCGTAGGCTTCTTCAGCTAGTCATAGCCCGCCTTCATGGATCTGATAAAACTCTCCACACAGAATTACTGCAAAAGGTGGAAGTAGTACAGTGCACCGGTTTAAGGCCTAGCCAATGAGATGCCAAGATTCACGACAATGAAACAATCAGAGAACGCAGCCAATGACAGGTATAGGCCTCGTGAGCTTTATATAACCCGCCTTCAATTTATGGACCTGACGAGACAACCTCGTCCCAGGGTCCTCTCCTACTCGTTCCCTGAGAGGACCCTGGGAACAAGGTTGAAGCGGAAGTGGAGTACAGCAACGCTCTTTCCCTGTTGTTCCTGTGTCGGTTACGGGTGTAAAATATTTCAAGATACCAACCCCGAGTTATTGGAACGTCTTAAGAAAGTTTCACGTAGATTTCTTCGTTTCTACAATGATACTTCGATTTGGATAATTTCGACAGAGAAGGGAACAAAGCCAGTAAAATTGAGCGATGTCTCTTTGAGATATATTAGTGCATTTCCACCGTAAGTTATGATCGAGTCTAAGCACAGGACATATATATAATCTGCTTATTTCAAAAAAGCGCGTGTCTGAATGAATCTGAAATTGCATTAACTGTAATCCCCTCATGACTCAGCATCAGTCTCCAAACAAATTATTCCTCACAAGTAGGTTGAGCGTGACCGTCTGGGTAAACGTAGAGGAGCGCTGTTGACAATGACTGACGATTCGACAACCAGTGCGGTAGTCAATTAAATCGTGATGTTACCAATCAGGTTAATAACCATCTAGGATGACTACCGCACAGTTTGTCAAAACGTCAGTCACTGTCAACAACTGTCCTACTCAGGACTACGTTCACTCGGATGATCATGCTCAACCTACTTACGAAATAGCTCCTGGGCTCAAACATGTCACGGTTTTAAACTATTCCTCAGTCTTCCTTTATCCTCTAGATCACCGTAGCGTAGATCACATCTGTATTCTTTTTTTTGTTTTTTGCTCGTTGTGAAGCTATCGACGTTTAGACAGGGGTTAACAAAGAGAATACAGTTTGTACAGTCAAGTGGTAGGCTCATTTTATTTTCATAACAATGCAATATGAAAGAAATTCAACTCACTGCCCATGCAATTAAAAGCTGGCAAGGAACCGCTCCAGACGAAGTGAATTCAACAATGGCACTATTTTGAAACTAAACCAAATGAGTCTTCTCTTTTTTAAGCTCAAATTATAAAAGGAATTTGTGACTCTCGTAAGCAGTAGATGGGTTGTATTTTAATAACAGTGCAATATGGGAAATATCAACTTACTTCTCATGCAATGAAAATCGTCCTACGGACCTCTTCAGAATGATGCTAATAATACTATTGTCTTAAGCAAAACATATCTTACGTGCAATGACAGTTCTTTTTCTTCAGATTTCAAGCATACCAACGTTTTTTGCATTGATAAAACGTTTTACATTTTAATGCCTAACACCCTTCGCAAACACAGGTTTTCATGCTGAATAGCGAGGAGTTCCGCAAGCAATCTCGTGTTTTCCTTTTCAAGTAGATCAACTTTTAACTGGGTTTGTATTTCCCGCGCTTTTCTGGCATCTCGCGACTTTTTCGCCGATGCATTATTGCGTCTTCTGCGTTCCCAGTAACTCGCTCTCTCGTCGTCTTTTTGGCTTACGCTGTTGGACTCCTTGTTATTCTTCCCCAACGGCTCGTCCTCGTTTTGGTCACGAGGCTCTCCAAAATCGCTTGCTCTTTTTAAATCCCTCTCTCGTTCCCCGGCGCTGAATTCCGGCGTAGTCTTCAGGGTCGTCATTAAATCAAAGTTTTCTAATGCGTTGGGCATGTCGGAATGTTCACCTGGCGTGTACTGTTCTGGAAACGGAAGATCTGATGCTTGCGAGTCCTCGTTTAACACTTTTGAAGGCCGCGAAGAGCAAACATATCGCCCGCCCGCGGTGGACAGGGCACGAAACTTTGCGTCAAGATAGAGATAACCAGTGCGAAACATTTCTGAGTTTCTGATAGCGTTTGAAAACGCTTCTTGGTTCAATACTCGCGCTCTTTTTGTTAGCTTTGCGCAGTTTACTTCATCGTAGTCCCTCCTCTCATCACGGTGAAACGCAGCTCTTTTGCGGTCAAAAGGCACGCCATTACCCAAGGATTGAAACGATTCTTCGCAGCTGTTGAAGTTCTTGGTGCGAATGTTAGGTTCAAAATTGTTCTTCTTTAAAGAACGATAGTTCTTGCTGAACTCTTTTCCCTTATCCATGGCATGCTATTCTTTTAATGTTACCTCTCACCTAAGTTAACAATGCAATTTTATAAATGCTATTTCACCAGGAAGCAGCCTGCGATTAATAGTGCAGGTGTTTGGGTATCAAGTACGCGTGAGTTGGCCTCACGTTACGTTACCTAACGTTATAAGCACCTCCTTTAATACTAGACATGTCTACAGCACCTTCACCCAAAAAGTCTATTAATTCTTCAAAGTTTGGCGATCTTCTGATTTTCCCCCGCAAAACCCTCTGATTTGGGCACGTGGCCGGCTTTCTGGTCAAGCCGACATGTTTAGTTAAAAGCCATAAGCCGCGCACTGGAATGAAACACTATGATGTTGGAGTAAATTGCGTCGAATTCATCAAACTGCTTTTTATTTTTTAATGTACTGTTTATCAAAGGGTACGCTGTTTGATTGTATCCTAGCGTTAGTATTTTCTGTTTTCCCCTTATCCACTCAATTTTTCTGGTAATAAATTCCTTTCTTTGACACTCATAAATCATTCTGGGTTTTACTCTAACTTTATTACCGCTTATTAGTGTCTCAAACATTATATAATACACAAAGTTAAGATCTCCGTTATATAACATATTTCTTCTCCACACGTGAGGTTCTCCCACCTGATTAAAAAAAAGAAAAAAAAAAAGAAAAACAGGGAAAGAGGGATTTTCTTTGCTCCAAATTGGGGACTGCACGATTCCATTTATTTCTGAGGACTTTACATAATGAATATTTTGGAAATTTTTCCGAATTTTCGCTTGTATTATTCATGATTTCCTAGATTCGCCAATTCTTTAGATGGTCACCGAGGCAGTGTGAAGCCAGGTACTTCGGGCCTGTGACAGTCCCAGCCACCCCCCCCCCCCCTCAAAGAAAGACAGACCACACTACCTGGGTTTACATCCCCTGCTCTTTTTGAGAGAAGCAATGTAGGTTCTTTAATCACCCCGTCCGTCCGATTATTATGAAAGGATGAAGGAGACAAGGCCAACCGCTTAATGTCACTGCGTTCAATGATGCGATCATCTGGACTGAAACAAGGTCGTAAAATCACAGCCAGCATGATATAACCGAGTTTTTTAAACACCCTTGTTTTTCCACCTGAGACATACCGCTTGGCAGACAGGCGCGCGCTCATCCGAGTCAGCTAACTTGAGCAATTAGGCGAATTTCCAAGTAGCTTTTCTTAATTTCACATCTGCAACCTCAGATGATGCATTCTTAGCTTTCTCATTGGTTCACTGCCTTTTGTCGAGTATCAGCCGTTATATTCTATGTCCTAGCCTGAATTTCATCCGATTGCTTCGAGTCGTTTTCTCCTCTCAGAAACGTCTGAATCGAGCGGCCGTTAATGCCATCCAGTGCGACTCGAAGTAATCGGATGAAATTCAGGCTATCTATGTTCAAACTTGTACGGAAATTATTGTGATTGCGACAAGCACAGCAGTGAACTGTAATCCGCCGCAACTCACAGCTGAATTCTGCACATTAACTTGGGACTTCTTGTAAAAGTAGTAAAATGGACGAAAGCGAATGAATTTGAGGACTCAATAAAACGATTATTTTAATTGCCCTTGTTGGTTATCATGGAATAATGGTTAATCATTCAGTCAAGCGTATTTATTCATTTTGATTAGCATAAAGTGTACTATATAAGCAAGGTAACTTTTGAAGACTGATTGGTCACATTCACAAGAGTTAGGACTATGGTTAAAATATGATTTAAGACTTAAACGCTGGCTAAAAATATTTGGAGTTTTCGGTGCCCTTTCGTACAATATTCTTCATTGATTCGTGTGTACCAAGTGTTTACCCTCCCCTCCCCCCCTTGAGGTATCCAACTATCCAGTTTCCCTTTCAAATTCCGTGCGGGTCTCGCACGTGTTTAACAGACAAACGCTTCCTGAATTTGTTTACTACATTTATAAAACTGTTTTTACCCAGCCTTCAGGTTAAACATTTTATTTTAGTTTCGTAGTTCATAAAAAGTCAAACATCACGTGTGTTTTCTTTACTGACATCCTACGCCGGCAAAATTAACAGGTGTCGTCAAGCGTAACTTCGCACTTGAATGACCAAGAAGCGAAAAACACCAAAACACCAAGATTTTGTTTTAGAAACGGAGTCAATATAGTCATAAATATGCACCGTGGAAAGGTGGTCGGAGCGAAAATCAATGCAACCAGTTTATGGCGATAACGCTAGCCGGAATACAGTGAATCTTAATCTCAGTGAGTGTTTCTTCAAACTCGTTGATAATTCGTGAAGGGTCAACAGGGGAATTCGTTATCGCGAAGGAAGTTTGCATACT